ATGTGCACAAAGGACTCAGGCCAAACAAAAATTACATTTTACCTCTGAGTCAGTATTCTGTGATCTTTCAGCATTTTGTAAGACTATGAGATGACTTCATAGGAATTGCCTTTGTTGCATCTTGTCAGTAGCTCTTCGGTGATAAGTATCAATCACTATGGAGAGGCATAAAGCAGGCAGAGGTCATGGCAATGATTGCTTAATGGTATCCTGGCTCTCAACCAGTCCCTCTTCTCCCCTGCTGCAGTTTTTGCTATCAATCCTTTCTCTATTGATTTCCTATCAGATGGGAAAAAAAACTTATCAATATCTCTTTTAACAATGGTACAGAGCTAGCCATGATTTTAACATTTATATGGACCACAGAGGGCACAAAATGACCTTCCTTGGGCCTCCATTTGAAAAATTTCCACAAAAATCTCCAATTAGATCAGGCTTTTCTGATAACAAAAGCTAGGTCATTGTGAGCAAAGAAGTGGATAGTGGCAGGGAGAGGCTGCTAAAGCTTTTTCCCCAAATGCCACTTCTCAGTTCCAGCCTTGTTATTGCAAAACTATTAAAACTACTAAGCATTCAACTGTCCCAATTCATTTTCTTAAAAGTGGTTTGTGCTTAGCCCTTGGGTAAAACAAACGTTTACTGCTACTGTGGCTCTAGTTATGCCTCCTCCCCCAAAGAATAGCAATATACTTATCTATACACACACACACACACACAAACACACACACACGGCTGGGTTGACTGAAAAAGATTTTGTTTTTCTCAGCATTAAAAAATAGATTTCAGTGTTGTTGTTGTTGTTGTTAATTGCGAAGTTGTGTCCGACCCATCGCAACCCCATGGACAATGTTCCTCCAGGTCTTCTTGTCCTCTACCATCTTCTGGAGTCCATTTAAGTTCACACCTACTGCTTCAGTGACTCCATCCAGCCATCTCATTCTCTGTCGTCCCCTTCTTCTATTGCTCTCAATCTTTCCCAGCATTAGGCTCTTCTCCAGTGAGTCCTTCCTTCTCATTAGGTGGCCAAAGTACTTGAGTTTCAACTTCAGGATCTGGCCTTCTAAAGAGCAGTCGGGGTTGATCTCTTCTAGGACTGACCGGGTTGAACGCCTTGCAGTCCAAGGGACTCGCAGGAGTCTTCTCCAGCACCATAGTTCAAAGGCCTCAATTCTTTGGCGCTCAGCCTTTCTTATGGTCCAACTTTCACAGCCATACATTGCAACTGGGAAAACCATGGCCTGGACTATAAGCACTTTTGTTGGCAGGGTGATGTCTCTGCTTTTTAGTATGCTGTCTAGATTTGCCATAGTTTTCCTCCCCAGGAGCAAGCGTCTTTTAATTTCTTGGCTGCAGTTCCCATCTGAGGTGGTCTTGGAGCCCAGAAAAATAAAATCGGTCACTACCTCCATTTCTTCCCCATCTATTTGCCAGGAATTGAGAGGGCCGGATGCCATGATTTTGGTTTTCTTAATGTTGAGTTTCAAGCCTACTTTTACACTCTCCTTCTTCACCCGCATCAAGAGGCTCTTTAGTTCTCTTCACTTTCTGCCATTAGAGTGGTATCATCTGCATATCTTAGGTTGTTGATATTTCTCCCGGCAATCTTAATTCCAACGTTTGATTCATCTAGCCCTGCCTTTCTCATGATGTGCTCTGCATATAAGTTAAATAGGCAGGGTGACAGTATACAGCCTTGCCGGACTCCTTTTCCAATTTTGAACCAATCAGTGGTTCCGTGTTCGGTTCTCACTGTTGCTTCTTGACCCGAATATAGGTTTCTCAAGAGACAAATGAGATGGTCTGGTACTCCCATCTCTTTAAGAACTTGCCACAATTTGTTGTGATCCACACAATCAAAGGCTTTTGCATAGTCAATGAAGCAGAAGTAGATGTTTTTCTGGAACTCCCTAGCTTTATCCATGATCCAGCGTATGTTGGCAATTTGATCTCTAGTTCCTCTGCCTCTTCGAAATCCTGCCTGTACTTCTGGTAGTTCTCGATCCACATACTGCTGGAGTCTAGCTTGTAGGATTTTAAGCATAACTTTACTAGCATGTGAAATGAGTGCAATGGTACGATAGTTTGAACATTCTTTGGCATTGCCTTTCTTGGAATTGGAATGTAAACTGACCTTTTCCAATCCTGTGGCCCCTGTTGAGTTTTCCAAATTTGCTGGCAAATTGAGTGTAGCACTTTTACTGCATCGTCTTTTAAGATTTTGAATAGCTCAGCTGGAATACTGTCACCTCCACTAGCTTTGTTGTTGCTCAGATTTTCTAAGGCCCATTTCACGTCACATTCTAGGATATCTGGTTCGAGGTCAGTGACCATCTTATTGTGGTTATCTGGGACGTTAAGCTCATTCTTGTATAGTTCTTCTGTGTAGTTTTGCCATCTCTTCTTAATCTCTTCTGCCTCTGTTAGGTCTCTGCCATTTTGGTCCTTTATCATGCCATCTTTGCATGAAATGTTCCCTTCATATCTCCAATTTTCTTGAAGAGATCTCTGGTCCTCCCTATTTTGTTGTTTTCTTCTATTTCTTTGCACTGTTCATTTAAGAAGGCATTCTTATCTCTTCTAGCTACTCTCTGGAATTCTGCATTCAATTGGGTGTATCTTTCTCTTTCTCCTTTGCCTTTAGCTTCCCTTCTTTCATCAGCTATTTGCAAAGCTTCCTCAGACAGCCATTTTGCTTTCTTGCATTTCTTTTTCTTTGGGATGGTTTTAGTTGCTACCTCTTGTACAATGTTGCGAACTTCCATCCATAGTTCTTCAGGCACTCTGTCTATCAGATCTAATTCCTTAAATCTATTTGTCACCTCTACTATATATTCATTAGGAATATTTTAGTTCATACCTGAGTGGCCTAGTGCTTTTCCCTACTTTTTTTAATTTAAGCCTAAATTTTGCAACGAGAAGCTCATGATCTGAGCCATAGTCAGCTCCTGGTCTTGTTTTTACTGACTGTATAGAGCTTTTCCATCTTTGGCTGCAGAGCACATAGTCAATATGATTTCTATGTTGACCGTCTGGTGATGTCCATGTGTAGAGCCGTCTCTTGGGTTGTTGGAAAAGAGTGTTTGTTATGACCACCGTATTCTCTTGACAAAATTCTATCAGCCTGTGCCCTGCTTCATTTTGTACTCCAAGGCCAAACTTGCCTGTTATATGCCTGTTATTTCAGTACATGACCCTTTTTATAGGAAAGAGGTCTTGCAGCCCCTTGTCTCCCTGTTTATTTCAGGCACTTTTTAGAAGTACTTGAGTTCCTCTCAGTTTCTTCCTACTCAGATGACAAGAGACCTTCTCTCTCTGGTATCTGTTATGTAAATTGGCTGTCCTATCCTTTTGTCCTCCTCCAGTTGATCAGCTTGAACTTTTATCCTAGCCAAATTGGACCCTTTGTTTGTGTGAGGAATTATTGTCAGCTAAAGGTTCAAGATGGGTCCAGCAGTAACTTCCGTGATTATTGCAAAACATTTTTCTAGTTTCTGCACTGCATTGCCAATTTTCATGGTACTTAATCTCCATGTAAGAAAAATCAGGAGTTAAAAATGAATTGCATTTGTTTCACACTTTCCTCTAAGGACATGAGAGCATAATTTCAGCTCCCTTTATGTTAGGAAGCATAAAGTAGCATTTTTAGTCTCATAAGACTTGATGAACTGAGTTAGAGGGAAATGGTAAACAGTTTCAAAATTGATTGAAATTTGAGCCTGGGAATCTCACATCTAGGTCTAACACAAATGAGCAAAAGCTAGGCAGAATTAAATCTTGAGGTGTTGAAAATGGGTGGAAACCATTGTCTAAATCCAGTTCCATACTTCACAGTGGTGGCATTCAAATATGTGAACAACCGGTTCTCCGTGTGGATGCCACTTCCAGAAGTCCATTCTGGGCCTGGGCAACAAAAATTTAGCTACCAGTTCTGCCAAAGTGGTGCAAATTGGCTGAATCCCACCACAGATACTACATATCAAGATACTGTGAATTTTACACAAAGGCTGCTTTTGCTTGGTTTATTCTAATGGTCTGGTGATAGCTTTTGGCACAATTCAGTAATGTCTTTGAATGTGGGGCAAGGCTGGGAGACTCTTATATTTGCCTGAGATGAATGGGAAAATGTTAACTACTGTATTGAAATAAAGGCAAAGTGAAGTTTTGTGCCATCCACAGTATTTGCAATGTAACTGCTTAAAAAGGAATTTAAGAATGAAGAAAGTAGATCCTTTTCTACCAGTGTAAACTGCATCAGGCAGACTGAATAGTTTATCATTGCAGGATATGTTGGGGATCCATGCAGACTATAGAAATTGGAGATATTTTAACCCTGCTAGGCAACAGTGTTCAGCTGCCATATATATGGTGAGATGTTACAAGTTCCAGCAGTTGCTATAACAAAGTGTGCGCATGCACACACACACACACACACACACACACACACACACACACACACACACAATATGCTTATGCCAGTCTGTTTGTAGACAGATGGGGACTTGAATGGGATAGAATTTTCTATCACAATGCTAAACATAAAGTCTTCTGAGAGGGACTATAATGAATACCATCCTCAGTGCCAGTCCAGCCGGCTTTCCTATATTTCTATGAAAGCAGTTTAAGTAAAAAAGACAAAAGTGAAAGGATAAACCATCTATAATTGTTGATCCTAATTCTTATAGGCATATATACTACCTTATTTACAAGATGAAGGGAAGACTGCCCCTTTGTGGTGGCCATCTACATGTTTTATTCATGCACTTACTGCTGAATATGCACACTTGAAATATTTCTGGATATGATATATTTTTGCAGCTGATTGGCAAAGAAAGGAAACAATAGCAAGTGTGATCACTAAATGTGTGTGTGTGTATGTATGTATATGTATACACACAGACACACACATATATATCATATCTCTGAACTGCCCATCTCCCTTGAATGTACAAATGTAGTCTGATGAAGATTATATGGTTGAACTCGCTTGTGATTGGTTTCAGGGAACACGTGTGTGGCTGCAGGAACTGGATTATATGCGGCCCTGCACTCTTGGATCCTGTGCTAATGGCTCCATGCTCTTCACTTCAGACTACGGTGAGGTAAGTGAAATTTAAGACTTTAATGAACCAGTGAAGAAAGTACTCTTGGATAATTCCCTTGCCCATTTAAGCTAAATTAAAAAAAAAAAAACATTTGGAGACTCAATTGATACCTCCTAACATGTACCAACTAGGATGGCCATTGGGTAATGTCATCTTGCCTGAACAAGCATATTTTTCTTAAGACTTTGCTCCCCACTCTCACTTGCAAATTGATTTTTCTGAATTGCTATTAAACTCTTTGACCCTGAAACAAAGCACACAAGTTCTCAGGAAAGACGGCAACACACCTAAGCCAACTAGGGCAGGCTCTTGAAGCCTTCAAGCCATTCACAATAGTTCTGCAATTCTGCAGCTGGCCAGGTTTGAAATTGGAGATAATCCTGTATTAATACCTTGAATTGGTCATTCTCTGTAGGCAAATCCTCACCCTTCTGAATCTCTGATGTATTGGGGAGGGAAGCCTGCGTTTTCCCTTGCGTATATAAGATAAGATGACTTAATGCAGATCAGTTATCTTTTAATGTGACCTAACTGCCATTACAGCATCTCAATGAGGCTTGCTAAAAGAGCAATAGAAAGATGGATATTCTTTCAGTGTATGTTTTTTTATGTTAACAATTTACTAGTACAGAATCAAAGATGGAGATGCAGGAGTTTGATATAGTGTCCCTGTGGCAACTGACAATCCATTACAACATTTACATGTTTGAAAATAGGCCTGAGCCCTTAGACTTATATACTGCTTCACAGAGCTTTATAGGATTTCTCTCTTTTTTTTATCAGTCCAGGAATGGTAAAAAAGGTGGGGGACTTCACCAATCATGATTAACAGCCTGAAGCGATCCAAATCATAAGACTTTTCTACACTGGACTCTTCAGCTGTGTGTAAACCAGTGATAAGGAAGCCAGTTTAAGTAATCTGTTTCCACATTTCAACCTTTCCCTCTGTCTTTCCACCATGCAGACAAGTTAGTGTTTTATCTGGATCACATTAATCATGATTGGTGAAGTCCCCCACAGAGAGAAATCCTATAAAGCTCTGTGAAGCGGTATATAAGTCTAAAGGCTAAGGCCTATTTTCCTGTCCTGAGGCCTAGAAAGTAAAAGTGGCAAACATTTCACCTATTTTCTTTTTTAGAAAAACAGCTTTTCATTGTTTCACTGGGGTTAATTTGTTTGTTTTTTTTAAATGGCCAGAGGACAGTTACCAATGACTGGAACAGAGAGAGTGATCCTGCCAAGTATATAGGAGCCAGTTCCAGCAGTGTAGGTGGGGCATAATAGAATCAGCAGAAATAAAAAAAAAATACTTTTGTTGTATAGCAGAAAATAATGGGCATAGATTGCCTTTCCTAGTGGGCTAGATGTGGGTGACAGAAAATGCCATGTGTTGCTGTCCTTAAGAACTTGTCAGTGGCCTTTATTCACAGTGAGTCAAGCAAATTAATTCTTGCTCATTATTGAATTAGATTATTATAAAATGTTGTGGATAGGTCTACCCTTGAAAAACTGCAACAAGCACAAAATGGACTAGCAGGATTCTTTTGCAGAGGTGTTCAGCAACAAAGGCTCATTTCCTATTCCTTTACTTTAAAAAGTTTAGTTGATAGGAATATGAGACAGGATTTTAACTCCAGCAGCATCTGGCTTATGGAGTTTTTTTCCCAAAGAAATCGTACTTGCTCCATCCCTGATAGTTTTAAGTGGTTGGTACTATAGTGTTTTTTTGTCTTTAAATGGTAGTGTATCGATGTCTGCATTCTTCATTCTCCCTGACTTCTAAATTTGAACTTGATTCTTTTTAATATTACTCTAGTGATTTTCTTAATTTTGATTGCTTGGAAGTTCTTTCTAGGGCTACCATATGAAAGGTTTGCTTAAAGGACGTGGGAATACAAGAAATTGCATGTTTGCAAGCATGCATATGATTACTAATTGGCTTACCCTGCTCTTGATGTACAACTTTAATCAGGCCCTTTACTATCACATCTAATTCAGCAGATGATAATCATCCAGGACAGGGGTAGGCAGCCTTGGCTCTTTTATGACTCGTGGACTTCAACTCCCAGAATTCCTGAGCCAGCATGGCCCAGGAATTCTGGGAGTTGAAGTCCATGAGTCATAAAACAGCCAAGGTTGCCTACCCCTGATCCAAGATATATGGTCATTTTGCAGTGTGGCATCTCTCAATGCAATCTCTCCCTTCCCACTAGGTGTTCTGCTATCCCTGGGCCTCTCTGCCCAAAGAAAAAATCCTGCCAATGCATCAGTCAAGTGTAGAAGGTGTGGAGGACATGTCCCTGCTAGGAGACCTGCATGAGGCTGCCATCTTGCTCAATCTGCACCAGCGCTACAAGCAGAACCACATCTATGTGAGTGAACAAATTAGACTGGTGGCCCTGCTAATCTCTCCAACAAAGTGCTAAACAACATCCTCAAAAGAGAAGTTACCTGCATCACTGTATCCTCATCCTATGATAGGTAGACTTGGCATCCAGGTGTGCAGGAGCCATAACTCTTTGAAGTGTGCTTCGATGCTTTGATGTCTTTGGGTCATGAGCACAGAAGCTTGGGTTAGAGACCTCTGAGAATATTTGTACAGCTTCTTAGTAAAACTAGGGCCATGCCAATCCATCAAATAGAATCAAATAGCAGAATGGATTGGTGGCAATACATTACATTTTTGAATACTGTATCTATCCAAGTTTTAAAAACATGCATGTAAGTTGAAACACAAACATAAGTGTTCATATCCATGCCAGATTTCAGCCTTCTTTCCCAACTCTAGTTTTCTGTTTGCAAAGAGAAAGAAAGTGCTTTTACATAACATACCACTTTCTTGAATTCCAAGGGATGGTACCCATAGTGCAATCTAAAGATTCTGCCATCTAATTCCTCCTTTTGGCGTTAAACATCCAATTTCTACCTATTTCTGTAAATATGGATGGAAGACGAGGAGGAGCAGGTAAATTCTGCATCAAGCAAGATGGCTGCGAGATTATCTGGGAGCGCAAGGAAGGGGATGAGGCATATTCCCTTATCTTCTTACCTGTGCACAAGCGTTCTTAAATTCTGATGTTGAAATGTAGATCTTAGGTCTGTTGCATCGCAACGGTTACTAAGGCAACAAGGACTGAAGGCATTTTATATTCTAGTAAATGATCAATTAAATGACCTATTTTCTGGGAAGCGTCTTCTTTTTGAGCAAGCAATGACCTGCGAATAATGCATTATGCTGTCTAGTGATAACCTATTTGTTCTTTTACCATTTGCACCCAGCTTACAATTGGACTCTCACTCACCTCTCAGCAAAAGTTCTTTACAGTCCAGAGCTCATAATCCACCAGCTTTTGGAGCTTTGATTTATCTGCTGCTCTGTTATATCAGATTTTTTTCCCTTTCCTTTCCTTTCCTTTCCTTTCCTTTCCTTTCCTTTCCTTTCCTTTCCTTTCCTTTCCTTTCCTTTTTTTCCTTTCCTTTCCTTTCCCTCAGAAAAGGAATGAGAATAATAATATTTACATCATGCTCTTTCCAGATTCAGAACCTCCACATGCATTGTCTAAGGGCCAGATAGAATTACAGAGGTGAACCTGCATCCATTTCTTATATGTTGCATTTTGTGTGTGTAATATCTGATGCCAGCTGCTCTACACATAATGAGATGAGATCACTACATTGCTCATTTCTTTGGCCCTGCCAGGCACTGCTATGAAGGGGGGGCAGGAGGGGGGCACTGCATGATTTATTGCTTGAGTTAGTAGGAAGAAAGACGGCAGCAGTTCTAGGTGTCTTAAAAAGTAACATATAGCAATCCTATAATACTTGGGGTCAGCCAGAGTGAATATTTATGCAAAAGGCTTTTTGTTTTAAAAAGCCAGAGGAAATATTATAGGGGTTTTTGTTGGTTTTTATGTTTTGTTTTTGGGGAAAGGGAGATCCAAATCTTCCCTTAGGGGAAAAAAACTGCAAAAAAATTAACAGATTTTTTTTTTTTAAAAAATAGTTTTTATTTACTATTAGTCATTTCTCTAAGGAAACAATTACAAGATGTATGAAAAATCATGTAACTGTGCACTGCTTGAATACATTGTGCTTGCATTTCCTAAGGTAGAACAGTTTATTAGTTCCAAAAACCACCATTGTGGTGGAAAATCATTGGTGATCAGCCAGTCTTGCTTAAAGGGGAATTTCTTTCTAAACAATCCCAGGTGTTTAGTCATCTTGGGGACCAGAAGCTGCTAGAAGAATAATGTATGACACTAGTGGATGACATTAAAAAGAACAAGCTTTCTAGGTGTTTGATAAGGTTAGCAAAATGATAAATATTGCAGCTCTGATTTAAAAAAAATCAAAGATCTTGGAGAGTTGAAACTTCTCATATTTATTGATAACTCAGAAGTATTCAATTTTTGTACACAGCGGAGCAGGTTTGGAATTAGAGAAGTCTACTATGAGCACTTTCACAAAGTGTTTGCGATAGTTGGCATGCCTAATAAAAAAAAATCACCCAGCCCTGCCTGCCATTCCCTCTGTCTTTTTTGTTGAGGAAGGGAAATGTCCCCCCCCCTTTTTTTTTAATGAACTTGGACACACTTCCAAACAAAGCAGAGTCATAGCTTTCATCATCATCTTACTTTACACAATGCTTTTGAGCCTTCCTAGATATCTATAAGCTTTCTTGAAAAACAAAAATACTACTTTGTTTTCCTGACCATTGAAAAAAATACAAGGATACCGTAATTCAGAATAGAAGAGAGCATCTGGTAACCCTGGACTGAGTTATAGGGAACAACTGCATCAATTACTTAAGACAGGGCTTTTCAACCTTTTCACCGATTGTACCACTTTCAGAATATGGCAACATTCGAGTACCACCAGTCAACTAGCAAGGTGTCAAAAACTTGGTGACCAAAAAAAAAAAAAAAAAAAACGGAAAAAGCCCTGACAGCCCCAAAGAAGCACCGATCAGCTGGAAAGCGGTGTTGATCCTGGCGCTTCCACTGAGCCTTGACAGCCCTGCAATTCCAGCCATCTCAGGCTTGTGCGGTGCTGCCACCGGTTCAGCTCATTCCCCTCCCCTGCTACCACTTTTCTAGGATGGTCATGTACCACCTGCCAGGTGCCAATGTACCACAGGTGGTACGCATACCACCAATCGAAAAGTCTTGACTTAAGACACATTGGAGTTTAATCACGTTCATATTAGCCACAGCAGCTACATTTTGAAGGCACCCTTTATTTGGAATGTCCTCAACATTCCAAATAAGGCAACTGGACTATTAGAGTGTCTTATCCCTTAAATAGTATCATGTAGAGCAAGAAAATAAAGTAATGGGATATTAGGACTCACTACCTGATTCTTAAACATTTATAGGCATGAGGCTTTCATTCTTTGCTGTGACTACGGAGGTAATGGGTAAAGGTTTCCCCTGCTCAATCGTGTCTGACTCTAGGGTTGGTGTTCATTTCCGTTTCCTAGCCAGGGAAGCCAGAGTTGTCCAAAGATGCTTCTGTGGTCTTGTGGCCAGCATGACTATATGCCAAGGCACACAGAGTGCTGTTACCTTCCCATCAAAGTGGTACCTGTTTATCTACTTGCATTTGCATGCTTTTGGACTGCTAAGTAGGCAGGAGCTGGGAGCTGGCAAGAACGGGAGCTCACCCTGTCACATGGTGCTTGGGTCTCAACAAACCCAATGCCTAATCGCTAGGTCACCACATCCCCTATGGAGACATACATACACTATTTTCCTCTTAACATTTTCTGTCTAATGCCCCATTTTCAGTTCCAGTGGTTTCTGCTTCTCAGGAAGTAGGATGAGATCCTAAAAATAGAAGATGTGTCCTGTTTCACCTTTCATGAAACATTCAATAAAGAACATGTATTATAGCAGTAGTCCATAAGAAGATCTCAGTTTGAAAAGTAATTCTTGGCTTCTAAAGGTCTGTTCTGCAGATTTGTACAAATTATATTTTCATCTATTAAAGAAGATATTTTGGTCTTCATCCTGAATTTGGTTAATGAGTTCATATTGTATTCTGGTCTTCACAATACTTTAGATTTATCTATTGCCTTAGATTGTGCAGACCTTAATAGCTTCCTCCAACAATGTATTTTTAGAAACCTTTAATGTACCCTCTTACATTCCTTTTTTTTTAATGAGCTGACAAGGCTTCATCCTTTAACATTTTACTCAAGATATTGTTTCCATTTACACCTATTGATTTCTCCCCTGTCAATGATGGAATCTCCATTCTCAGATAATAGCTTCTGATGTATTTTTTTAAAAAAAGCGCAAATACCTCCTGGTCAAAAAGCTCACCACTGAATCCATGCTGGTTCTTCAGATCAAGCTATATATTATGCAGAAGGTGTTCAATTTGCTCAATTCTCATCAGAATCTCAATGTATTTTCCCACTATGGGGCATAGCTGAACAGAAGTGGTAATTTCCATGTTAAAAACTGCCTGGGAGAAATAATGAAACATGCTCATTATCATGAATCCCCATAGTACCATTACAAGAAGATGAAGGCTAGGGGAGCATCTAAAATTTGTCGTAGTAGTTCTGCATCGCTGGGTGATTTTGTTCAAAACATTGTTTGCTTGCCTCTGCAAAACAACTGAGAAGGGTATTTGTAGCATAGAGAGTGCTCTGCTGCAGTTTTTAGCTCAAACAGACTTTTTCTTTAAAATGCTAATTGAATAAGAGAGACTTTTATTATGATTTATTGTGCATATCATGTTCTTCATTCGGGAATACCAGAGCACTTTAGAAGAACACTTTTGACTGTTTCAGATTTAATAAAGTTAGCATAACTTAAAGAAAAATATCATGGATCTCAAGTACTTAGGTCATAGCTATGACTACTGTCATGGAGTCCGAAGATAGTTTAGTTTAATAGGGGAAGTTGCCACTCATAACTTGGTCATAGGATGAATGCATGAGGCTGATTGTGGACTTTGTTCCTTTCATGTCCTGTTCTGCTCCCTGTTGAGATCTTTAATTTAAAATTATATTTCAGTGGAAAAAATGTGCTGAATAACATGAGAATATCTTTTCAAATGGTGAAGAGTAGTGCCATGCTAGTTGAGGGATGATGAAAGTTGCAATCACATGTATTTTGAGTGTAGTATATTAAGAAAGGTTGTATGGAAAAACATTATAATAAACTTGTAGTAACTATCAGCTTTGTTCCAGTTACATTTTTAATATCATAAGAAAATAAGAGAGTGAATCATTCTTTTCATTACTTGATATTCTGTAAGTCTGAAGAAGATTTTCTATTTATTCTTTAATGGCTTCTCTTTTTTTCTTAATAATCCAAATCTTTATTCATTCTTCTTCTTGATTGGGGTGCCTGACTTCTGGATACTTCACTATTCTTTATGTAACACGAAAGAGGCAACTAGGGTACAGTCTAATTGCATAATTACCCATAGTTCTGCCAACTATATTAAGAAAGGTGGTAACAGAATATGGGGAATTTTATAACTTAAGCTGTGCTGGTAGGACCTCTAGTTCAATGGATTAGAAAAGCATAAAACTGTGGAAAATTGATATAGTAGCCTGGGTGCCAATTTCTCTTGGTTATTGAAGAATTAATTGGAGGTCACATATGGTAATATATCAGCCTTTGGGTCAGTTGATTGCTGGGTGGCAAGGCCTGTTCACACCTATACATGTATGTGTACACAGAAACACACAATTTGCCCATATTGTTCTTTTCTACACCAGAGTTACCACTTGTATTAAATATTCAGGTAAAGTTATTCACTTAATCTCAAACCACCCCTCCCCCTCTATAGCATTTCTGATAAAGGTTGTTGGATCCTACCGTACAGTAACAATGGAAAATGCAAGTGAGATCTCCCATTCAGGATTTACTTGCAGTAGACCAATCTAAGATCTCTTTTCCCAGAGCAAACGAAGGCAGAAACTTTAATGTTTTCCCTCCCTTCCAATGCCTCTATGTTCTTTGGAACTAGCATTCAGCTACCTTGTTAATTTCACAAAACACACTTCCTTCCAAATTATCAGTTTTTAAGAAAACATAAAAACACTGAAATTGTTTTGCCTTCCTTCCCTTCCCTTTCAGACAAGCATCGGTTCTATCTTGGTTTCTGTGAATCCCTACAAACCTATTGCTGGGCTGTACGATGCATCCGCCATTGACTTGTATCGACAGCACTGCCTGGGGGAGCTGCCCCCTCACATCTTTGCCACCGCCAGTGAGTGCTACAGCTGCCTCTGGAGGCGTCATGACAGCCAATGCATTCTGATCAGGTGAGAGAAGTAATGAGGCCACAAGCTGCTCCTTCCCAATTTGTCCCACTTCTGGTACTGAAAGATGGGTGAAAACTTCAGACTCATTCTTGCCATTATGAATTCCTTGATTTGCTTGTCTTGGGCTGTCTATTAACAGCGGAGAAAGTGGAGCAGGAAAGACAGAGAGTACCAAGTTGCTGCTAAAGTTTCTGTCAGCCATGAGCCAGTTCTCGTTGGGTAGCTCTGCTTTGGAGAAGACAACCCATGTGGAGGAAGCTATCCTGGAGAGCAGGTAAGAGGAGCTTCCTATGTGTGGGCAGGCAATGGGAAGATTGTTTCTGAAGAGCCACATCATGAGAATGATGACATTTGACATCCTCAGTATCAGGGGCATACCTTCCAAGGGTGGAGCTTTTATTCCTCCCTTTCGTGTGCTCTGTTGCACAGGAGCTCCGAAAAAGGCAAGTTTTGTCAACATATAAATCAGGGGTAGTCAACCTTGGCTCTTTTATGACTCGTGGACTTCAACTCCCAGAATTCCTGAGCCAGCTCGCTGGCTCAGCAATTCTGGGAGTTGAAGTCCACGAGTCATAAAAGAGCCAAGGTTGACTACCCCTGATCTAAATGGTCTCTATATCATACAACCAGGCTTGTATTGTTGAAAAATGTATTCTGTGTAAACGTATCTAATATTTCTGCCAAACAAATCTAATTTTCCTTTTTTTCACTAAAGCCCAGTCCTGGAAGCTTTTGGAAATGCCAAGACAGTCTATAACAACAATTCTAGCCGCTTTGGCAAATTCATCCAGCTACATTTTTCCCAGCACGGACATATCCAGGGAGGGAGGGTCACAGACTGTATCCTTAACTTGAATGGCAGCTCTTCAGATATTGCTCACCTCTAGTTTAAAAAAGGAATGGAACCAATAAATCATCAGTACGGTTAATTTATAGATGGCAGTGATGAGGTAGTCTTCTGAAAATTCCATAAATGAGGGCGGAGAGATTACACTATAAATGCTTTTTATGGAACTCTCCCAGCTCTCCATCAATTACTTTATTCTTTTTCAAAGTTCAGCAAAGTTTAACTCCTTAGATTTAGGAAACAAAACATCTCTTATGTTTAGGTACAATAATATTCATTTCCAAGATTATTTGCCAGCTATCAGAGAATATGTTTATAAGAGAGTCTTAATGACATTCATTTCTTAACTTCTTGCTCAGATTTATTGGAAAAGGTAAGTGAAGTTTGTTCTCTTTTGTTTTCCCAACACTGCAGAAGCAGCCAGGGAATGATACTGAGTCTAGCACCACGGAGTATTCGCAACAAAACTAGGTTATGCCCCTTGCAATTGGCAAATGTTTTATTTACTGTAGTTTCATTTGTAATTAGTTCTTTATCATCTCAGAAACAAGCTTCCAGAGCACGCTTCTCTTTTCCAGGATGCAACTTCTCTGTTGTATTAATGTTGCTCAGTGTGAACAGCTACTCCCTGCTTTGATTCAGGCATTCCTCATTTCCAGTGCATTTTATTTTAGGACTCAAAAAGTCAAAGGAAAGTTTTGTGGAAGGAAGCATATGAGAGTCTAAAATACTTCTCCTTCTGCTTGCAGTCAGGCAGGCAGAGACTAATGACTAGATCAGGGTTTCTCAACTTTCTCAACAACTTTAAGATGTGTGTATAACTCCCAGAATTCTCCAGCAAGCATATTGGCTGGGCTGGCGAATTCTAGGTGTTGAAGCCATATATCAGTGGTGGCGAACCTATGGCACGGGTGCCAGAGGCGGCACTCAGAGCCCTCTCTGTGGGCACGCGCGCCATCGCCCCAGTCCTAGGCCTTCAGCTGGGTTTTATAAAACCTTTTTGCTTTAGGCCTCCGCCGCCGTGTGCAAAACAAAGGTTCAATCAATCAGTCAATTTCAACTTCTCGCGGGAAAAAAAAAGATCTTGCAAAGTTGGAATTGATTGATTGAACTTTTTAGTCCCACCCAGTCTGCTGTTACCACTGCAGCCACGCCCAGCCAATGGGCCACACCCAGCCAATGGGCCACACCCACCCAGCACCCAACGATGCATAAGTGGGTTTTGGGTTGCAGTTTGGGCACTCAGTCTCTAAAAGGTTCGCCATCACTGCCATATATCTTAAAGTTGCTAAGGTTGCAAAATGCTGATCTAGATGAAACAAGCAAAGAGGCAGCATGAACACATTCACCAAAACAAACCAGCCTGCTTTACAGCCCCTATTGTGTACGTACAACCATAGGAAAATTTTGATGAAAGGTAGTGCAAGTTTTCATTCTTTACCAAAAATGTATTTACTTTTAATGAAGCACATAGTTTGATACACAACAGGGAAGAATAACAGACCATGATTGTGATGTGGAATTTAGATAAGATAGATAACCTTTATTGTCATTTTTTTTTTTTTTGCTGTGGGCACAACGGCACACATCAAAAATGAAATTTAGTTGCCCGCTCTCAGGTGAACACATACATAACACACATCTAACATACTATATACAACATATGTATAGACCCACACCCTTACTCCTTCCTGCATGGATATCTGCCCATTTAAATGAAAAAAATGTGGACACCATTCAGGATTTTTGTATATTGGTGGTAAAGTAAAGAGGCTATGAACCCAACTTGCTTCATTTTTCTCAAAACACCCAAACTTGGTGCATATAAATATTGGGAGTGTTACTCATGTGTATTGAGTTTATGCTAACTGCTTTCTGTTTTTCTTTTACAGAACAGAGTGGTTCACCAGAACCCAGGAGAACGTAATTATCATATCTTCTATGCATTATTAGCTGGTGTCAGCGGGGAACAAAGAGGTAATAGTACTTCCCAAAGGTGGTCATTGCTATGCAGTGGATGCAGTTTAAAGTGGTGGTGCTAACAATAATCCCAAATGACTTGGTGCAAATGATCTACAGATTTGCATTCTCCCACTGGAACCAGCCCAATTCTATTTGGAAGGAACCATTGGGGAATGGGGGTGGCAAGATTCAGTGGCGCTGCTTTTGAATAACAGTATTGGTCTTTTGGAACAGCCTCCCAGTAGCTATTCAGTTGGCTTTCACCCTAATTGCCTTCTGGAAGTATTTCAAAACTGAGAGGTTTTTAGGGCTTTGGGGCCATTATTCTTATTGATAACCAGTGTAGGGATTACAGCATTGATGTAATCTGTTCCTATTGGAAATGCCAGTTATCATATGAGCCACTGTACCCTGAACCAGCTTCAGCTTCCAAATAGTCTTCATGTAGCACATGTTGCAGTAGTCTAAATCAGGAGTCCCCAACCCCCAGTCCATGGATCAGTACCGGGCCGTGGCATGCCAGCAACCAGTCCACACAAACAAGGAAAGCACCATCTGTGGGATGCACGAAAAAAACCTTTCTCCATGGAACCAGTCCCTGGTGCCCAAAAGGTTGGGGACCTCTGGTCTAAATAGCTGCTGACAAGACTGTGAATCCATTTCAAGTAGAACAACAATAGGTGCACCATGACCTATAACTGTTATTCAAGCAGGAGCTGTAAGTCCCAGAAGGACACCCCCCCTCAAGTTATAGACTTGTTTCCTCAGATATAGCCTAATGAAATACCTCTGGAGCAGACAGAAAATCTTGATAAACAGTAACTCTATGTCAATCTTCCGAGTGGCAAATTCAACATTAAAGAAACTCTACGACCTTGAGGTGCCATATGAAATACATTTTTATTGAATACACATCCCGGCACTGAAGAAGTAAAATCAACTACTGTATAAGTTTCCCGTGCAAAGTTCTGCTTAGTTACCAATAGCTTTTCCTAACCCCCACCCACCATGCATTCACGTTGGCCAATCACATTCTTTCTGTTTGTTAAGGGAACGATCCACTTCTCTGCCAGACCCCTGCTTTGGATGACCTTGGTTCTCACAGTCCATGGACGGGTTCCTGAAACTCCCGTTTCTTTCCCAGATTCCTGCTTCCCCCTGTTTCTGTGGCAAGTTGAGCAGCTAGAGAGATTAGCAAGCATCTTAGCAATTCAACCGTGACACTCTATCTTGCTAGAGGATAAGAGAGGAAAGAAGTCGAACCTCTGTGGCACCCTACAAGAGAATATTTACCAGGCCAATTTCTCCTTCCTAGCTGCTAGTCATTAAATCAGGCACTTGGGGGGGAGCAGAACCATCCAATCCTCAACTCCCATAGGCAATCCAGAAGAAAACTATGGCCGATGGTATCAAAGGTCATTGAGAGGTTCAAAAGACTGGGTGCGCTATTCTCATCCAGGTCCTGACAAAAGTAACCCATTAATGCAGTGTTTCTCAACCTTGACAATTTTAAGGCATGTGGACTTCAACTCCCAGAATTCCACAGCCAGCATTGCTGGCTGTGGAATTCTGGGAGTTGAAGTCTACATGCCTTAAAATTGTCAAGGTTGAGAAACACTGCATTAATGTAACCCATGTTGTCTCCATTCCATGTTCCAAGCTTGAAGCCTGACTCAAAAGCATCCATGTAATCTATTTCCTCTGGAGTGCATCACAGTTGACTCCTGACCCCCATATCATCAACCTTTGCCGAAAAGGGATGTATGGAGGCCAAGTAATGGTCTAACAGCTCTGGATCCAGGGAGGAGCTCACCTTAGTACGAAGGGGCTGCACCATAGCCCCTTCAAGGCCAGCAACATCATTCTTTCCTACAGTGAGACATTAACAATTTCCTGGATTCAGAAAGTTACCTCTTCCCCATTTGCACAAAGGAGCAAGGAGAGGCATAGATCTAGTCCACCAGTGACAGAGAATGTTCTATAGAGCATCCTATCCCACTTTATCCAAGGTCAAAGGAATTCCATGTCTCTAAGCGAGATGATGATCCCATCACCACTCTGGACCATGTCTATGTAATTCATTCTTCTTGCAGATGAAATGAAAGCAAGGGAGCCTTAAACTTGTTAATCCAGCTTCTATTTTAAGTTTTGCACGATACCTGAGGGGCTAAGAAGGCTGGTGATAGTATTGCATCTGATTATATTTCCCATCTTAGCTCTCTTCTAAACAGTGGTGCAGTTCCAAGTTCCAGTGGTGAGATGGGATTACTCCTCCACTGATTGCATTACAGTATACCAAAATTGAGCAATGACCAAAGTTTCTCAAAACATCCCCATGTCAGTCATTTTCTGTCCATTGACTAGGTAGGACATGCCATTCCAAGCAGCTATTACTAGAGAGAATATGTTTAGGTATGCAAATCAAGGGACCAGAGAAGATACTGTTACTAGCCAGCAAGCCGTCACAGATTGGCTGAATGTTTTCTGCATTCTGCTATTGGCTAGGAAAGGCAGAACTGATTGGCTACCAGTTCTCTATGAATCCTATAAACTCACCAATGTACAATCAGGTCTGATTATAGCATCTTGGCGTCAGCAAATATAGCAACTAAGATCAATCCTTGCTTGGTTTTTAAGTGGAATTAGAAAAAAAGAGAAAATGAAGGCATTAATTAATGTGCCCTGACCTGCAGTTCATCCCTTCTTGCTTTGAATTCCCATAACCTGGATGTTTTGCAGGTTGATTTCCCCCCCAGAATTATCTTCTTTTCCTGAAAAAGATGGAATGAGTCTGTCAGCTACAGTAATCTGCTATATCTTCTCTTTTACCTTTTTCTTCTATTGCTTTGCTCTGTCTTATAAATATGTTCAGATAAATGTATCTGAAAGCCTGTTTCCATCTTAAAATGCTATATTAACCATAGCTGTAGATTTATAGGAAAAACAATATGTTGCTTCGGTAACAGGAAAATATTACTAGAATTATTTGTGGACTTACATTAAAATTCATGTAATGTATGAGATTTGCCTATTTAAGCTGATAGATCTCAAAGTTCATGACCAAGGCTCACGTCCCAGCATTATTTATGGATATCCCTCAAGCATATGTCAGATATAGGGTACTGTGGAAATCAAAGTGAAATTAATATTATAATATGTAATGATGGGAAAAAAAACATTGGAAAAAGATCTGATTCTTCCCCTAGTCAGCCTCTGATGGAGATTCTACTGACAGAATAATCAGGAAGGTATTGCAGATTTGCAACTGTATTTTTTAGCATGCCACTAAGTAGGTTTAGAGGTGTTTTCCAATTAAGTACCTGGAAAATATTGTAGCCTATGAAATAGAAGTTAGTTTAGAGAGTATTCTCACCTTGAAGGTAAACCTGTCATTCTTAAATTAAGGCAGCTTCACCGAGTCACATTTTGAGCAACTGCAGCAAGAATAGATGCATAAGTCCTTTATCTACTACGAAGATTTTTCACTCAAAATTCATCCCCTATTGTGACCCAGACAGAACCACTTGCATATTTGTTCAATCCAGGGCCGACAGACCACTCAATAGATTGGATAGATTGCATAACAGATAGATTTATCTGATTGCATAACAGATAAATATGTTTATTCAGAGAAAATACTTGCTTTTACATTGTAGCTTCTGGATAACACATCTCTCTGTTCATTTCCATAGGTAAATTGATAATGAATTTTCCCCTCTTCTTCTGCATAAGCATCACATGTTAGCATAGGACCTCTAAGCCGTGTGGCTGGGAGGCATGAGGCTAGATGAACAAAGGCATTCCAAACTGGGCATGTAGCCAGTATATCCTGAGAGGAACTCAGAAACTCCTCCCACTGACCCATTAACGTGAGGTGACTGACTAACTAAACTGCATTTCCCATAATCCATCTCTAAGGAAACAACACTAAACTCAATAAATGCCAGACAGATATTTTAACATACTGATACATGCTCTCTAGTTAGGGTTACATAGAGCTGTATGATCCAGAACATCCCCTTTCCAGATGAATTTACCAGCCCAGGAAAAAAAAATGTACATTCAAACTGAGGATGCTGTCCTCCCAAGGCTGGTATTCATTAAAAGAAACCAAAGAAAACTATTTGTCTCACTTTCATGCATTTATATGTAACAATGCTTTCCCCATAAGCAGAATCCTATCAACTCTTTCTTTTGCTCAGAGGAATACCTTAACTGATGGGACTGATTTTATGCCATCAAATGGGTGTTGACTTTTAGCAACCGTATAAGTGGATTTTCCCCTGGAGTGGAACACCTGACCATCCTCTCTTCTCTACATCAGTTTTATTTCCCTGTAGGCAAGATATTTATTTCAGCAGTGCTGGCCATGCATGGCTAACCAGTCTACTGTTTTGTGTGTTTTGTTTCATCCTGCAGGATTAAACTGGGAAAGTTAATATGTGCCACTTTGGGGATCAGAATATATATTTTTTTAAAAAGCAAGCTGTTTAATGTTTGCCTTTGCCTCATGTTTGCTGGTCTCCTTTTTCTATGTCCATTACCTTTGCATCTCTTCTCTGCCTTTCCGCTCTGGTCCTTAAGTGTTCTATTTCTCCTTCTGGGAGCTGCTTTTCTACAGAAGGTCTCCATTTGCTGGAACCCAAGAACTATCGATACCTCAGCCAGTCTGGCTGTATAATCAATGAGGACCTGGATGACCGAGACATGTTCAGCAAGGTTATGGTGAGTTTCTTCCTTGACTCTGGGCAAAGTTTGATGGATGGATTTCTCTGCCCCCACTTTTTTTTTTTTTAAAAAATGTACCAGTTATGTCTTTTTATGAAGACAGATTGATTGGAGGGAGCAAAATGCCTACAGGCCAAGAGGGTTTTGCATTCTTGAATGTGGTGCCTGATAATGATGTGCTTTGTTTAATGACAATTAAGGGTCTATTTAGACTGAAGTAATGTAATTGGAAGAGAAATCTCATCTTCCCACCAGTATTTTGTCTTTCTGATTTTGAATGCCTGCTTTTATCATGCCTGTTCCTTTTACTTGGGGGAAATATCTAAGGGAATCATTTAGTCTGCAAAAATCTGGATACTATTTTTTCAAGGTGGGGAAAGTAAGAGATAAAGTAATCAGACATTTATTATTTATAGAGTACTTTAAAAGCAAAGTCCTGCATAGAAGCTGAATATCAAAAGTAGGCAATGGAATAGGGACAAGAAACAGGCATACAAAGGGAGGGATTAGGAGGGAATTATTCTAATCAAATGCCTCAAAAAATAAGTGGATCTTATTACAGTTCCCTTGCAGATCTAAAAACCATTAAGTATGAATCCCCCACTTAATAAGATGCAGTTATGATCAGTTTCTATTGTAATAATTATTCCTGTATGTGATTCAGTAAATCTGTGGAAGCTCAAATATTCATTATCGCCAGAAAAAAATCAGGAACACTGGAATCCTAAAATTTGAAGCCATACCATTGCTAGCATTATGGTTTTTTTTAAAAAAAAATTAGCTGAATAAATTGAGATCAGATTGTAATATTTATGGAGCAGCATGACAAATATTTATTGATTGACTGTTTGCCACCTATGTAACTGAAAAATGTTGACAATAAGTTTCAGTTTAAGAAAAAAAGGAGAATAAAAGGATAACGTTTTGATGGATATTTTTCCTCCCTTTTCAATTATTCTGAGGATAATTTCAAATGTATATTCTGGCAGTTTGTTGGCAAGGATTAAGAATTTATTCAAGGAAGCAAGTTATATATTGACTCTACTACTGCATCAATTACTGTTTGGCCATAATACTTGGAAATCAATTGGTACCCCTATATACCATGAGGATAATATTATAACTTAGCTTTGCTCTTTACAAGAAATATGAAAATTGCAATAAGAATTTAGGAACATGTGAATGAGAGCTATGATACTTTTTGGTATTATTGAAATATTAAGATTCCATTCCACACGATTGAGAGTTACATAGCGCAGTGTTTCCCAAACTTGACAATTTTAAGGCATGTGGACTTCAACTCCCAGAATTCCACAGACTTCTGGGAGTTGAAGTCCTCATGCCTTAAAATTGTCAAGTTTGGGAAACACTGACATAGCGTATTCCTTAAACCTCTTGAAAGTAAATTGCACTGCATACTATGGTGCTCCTTCCTACTAAGTGGTTTTGGCTATCTAACTTTAATTTATAACGTCATTACAGAGAATGTACCGAGAACATCTTTATAGAGGATGCACAGAGAACTTTCTTTATACATTATGGAGAGGATGAATGTACTAGCTTAGCTTTTGAATTATCACCTGAGACCAAAGTAAGAGCCATTATTCCAAGCAAGGCTTTTATTGTGATTCCTCCTTTGTGACATTTTTTTTCCAGTGCTACTTTGCATAATCTTTTTAAACATAATAGTGTCAGGTAACTGGAAGAGCACTAGTAGCTATCTGTACAGAAACACCTGGCTTCTTGAAGGTATCATAATGATTCTGAATGTGTTTTGAACAGACTGCTTTTGAAGTTATGGGATTCAGTTCCGAAGAGATCAGAGACATCTTCAAACTTATATCTGGCATTCTACAACTTGGAAACATTGAGTTCATGACTGCTGGAGGAGCTCAGATTACCACGAAAACGGGTACGTGATGCTTATTGTGAATGAATCCTCACCTGGAATCTGCTCTTCCCTCATAATTTTGGTGCATAGCAATAATTAAGCAAGTAGACTATTATGGCTTTTTTATATTTTTCCTGCATTGCTAACAGGTAAATGAATTCCCAGGAATACGGCTATTGTCCAGTGTAACACAATTTAAAAGAACAAATTACTTGGTTTATATGAAAGGGTATGTGTATGTATCTTGCCTTTGTGGTGTTGCCTAACCAGTCCGTTAAATGTGCTCCCCTGTCTCAGTAGACCAATGTTCTTTTTTCATTTAGTTGCTTAGCAAATGAATAGGGTAGTTTAGCACCAAAGTGGAAAAGAAGGGTTTGTCTTTAAGAGTATGCATTATTGGGAGCAACTTTCTTCCCTTCTGAAGCGCCAAGTAACCGTATTCTGGGTTTTCCTCTTTGGGGAACAAGGATCTCTCAATGATATTTTGGGAGAGTAAATATTTCAGAGCTGTTGTCACATCTAATAAAATCTTCTTAGCATAAGATCTTCACCGTTGTTGCTTAGTTTCCACTTTGTGAAGAGGTTTGTGTAATTTATGCTTACTATCAAAAAGAGAAGTAACATCTCTTATTGTCAGTTCTCAATTGTCTGTCTCCTAGTGCTGCATAACGTCAGTGAACTGCTTGGCTTGGACACCTTCCAGCTGTCTGAAGTACTTACTCAAAGATCCATGTTTCTACGTGGGGAAGAAATTAGCTCTCCCCTCACTGTGGAACAGGTGAGTGAGTTAGTAATTAGCTGCTTTGCAGTTCATATTTATTATGAAGGGTGATTGCCCCTGGATGGCAGCATTCCTATGAGTATTAAAGGGAAACGCCACTTGAGGAATGCCTTGATTTGATAATATATTACTTATTCCCAGAAGAGAAGGATTCCTGGAACATTCTTAGTGCTTCCCGAATTAAGCCTGGGTAATAAAGGCAGGTATTGGAATGGAGGAGAGAATGGGTTAATTAACTTTGTTGAGAGGACCATTGCCATGGATGTTGTACAATGTAAGTGAGGAAATGTGGAACAACGCTTATGAAAAAATTAATAGATGGATTTTACAGAACTCACTCATGAAAACTAGTAAAAATTCTTTTTAGAGGATGCAACCTATTTATACTAGAAAAATTTTTCTGCCTGGGTGTTGGCTGAGAATCAATATGGATATGGTATGGTGCATCTTTCTCATCATTAGCCTTCTTCTAAAGCAGACATGTAAAACACAAGGCCCGGGAGCCGGATGCGGCTCGTGAAGTGGTTTCATGTGGCCCGTGAAGCCATCATGGAAACAGTGAGGGAATGGCCCCGGCTGCCTTGGCCCTGTCCCAGGCCGGCTGGGAGCCAATGTACAATTTTGTGGTGGCCATCTTGGCACTTGCCCCAGTGGACCATGCCTTGGCACTTGCCCCGGTCCTACCCCCTTCTGCCAGAGACCCTCAGATCTGTCCCACTCCTGCCAGCCCCCCCCCCAGGCACCCTTGACGTGAATGATGTAGAACTGGCCATGCCCACCCAGTAGGCCACACCCACCCAGTAGGCTGCACCCACTCTGGCCACACCCATCCAGCCCCCCAAGGGCAACTGCAATGCTGATGCGGCCGTCAGTGAAATTGAGTTTGACACCTCTGTTCTAAAGCAACAGGACCCCAATACTATTTCTTGCTTTCATCTAGCTGGTAAAAGCTTCCTATTAATATATAGCATGGCAATGTTGACATGGACCACTATCTTGTGGCTCTGATATTTGTGAGGTTCCAGGTTGCATGAAATAAACGGAGAAGTCCACAGATTTTGTATGTATTGTAAATTCTAAACAAAAAAAAGAGTCCAAAGTATTTCATTAGGAAGTCAGAGAATTCTTTTAAGGTTTGAATGAGCTCTAGCTCTTTACCTGAGGATGAAAATCAAGAGCTCCTTGAGTCAAGCTTGATGTCTGGTGGATTTATAAACACATCCATGTAGTTTGCTTGACAGAAATATGGAAATATTTAATCATTGCCTTCTTCTGGAGCATTTTTCATTTTCCCAGTCTAGCCACAGTCTGCTTCATTCCTACTCATACTTTACTTAGCTCCTAAAATGGACTAATTGCATTGAAAAACTAAGACTCCAAAAATGCCAAAGTCTAGCTTCAGTGCTTGTATGGAACGTGAATATGAGCAAGAGGGTATCACGCATAACTCTTCCCATCGTTGACTGGTACAAAAATAGGAAGCTGGGGTTTATAATAGTAAAGGTAACCTTTCCTTGCTAATTAGGTTTCCTGCTTCTAAATGCCCCTTTTCTCCCTCCAGGGACAGCAGTCAGCTGTTGTCAAGTATCATTCTCGGCTGAGAAGGTTGGAGATCTTAGTCAGCTTCCATTGTACTCAAAGCTCATTACCATTCCAAACTTTGACATTTGAAGTATGTCAAGCAGAAGGAGCTAAATAAAGTCAATGAAGGCTTTGACAGAATGCCTATGGCTGTGAGTCTCTGCTGCCCCTGCTTGTGTCACACTGCTGGGTGTGGAAAAACAGGCACTAATCTGAAAGATGTAACTGAGATGTTAAAGGACTATGCAGTCTGACCACTAGGGTTCCCCTTGTCTTTGTACTTCATTAAAAGAATTAGCTGAGGCCTTAAATATATGTTAGGATGACTATCCTGACCTGGTCTCCCATATATCTTCAATAATGTTTAGTTAGAAACATGTCAAATAATTTTGCCCAATTCTTCCTTTACTTTCATATATTGCAACCAATGAATTGGAAGGAGTAGAGGGAAGCTCTTAAAGGCATCATACTTCTTTTTTCCATCTTTTTAAACATTCTATAATGGTAGAGTAAGTATATATTGCTTCCAACATGACATTTAGACTTCAGAATAGTTGTGATGTGTTTCTTGATTATGACTTCCTGTGAAAAAGGATCCTAGGATCCTTTAGTTTCTGGGACAAAAAAATTATGGATATCTTCAGCCTCTTTCACATACATAGATAGTAGTGATGAGATGTTTGAGCTATCTAGATTAGAACTTAGTTCTCACAAATAATGGCTTAAGAAGTAATTGTGAAGTCTTACATGAACAAATAGCAACAGAGGGGTGAGCAACTGAGTAGCATATTTGGGAAAGGTTCTGTGTGTTAGGGAGAAAACTAGCCTATTCTTCTAAGTGTATAGATTTTTCAATTAAAAATAGATACCAAAAGACTTCAGTTTGAGGGGGTTGGGGTGCTCTCTGACCTTGCTTGTTTTTTTGCAGACTAGGTAATATCTAGCTAGACTAGCACCGATGATGTTACCCAGTTTGGGTAATGAAACGTCTGCAAGAAAACAAGCAAGCTCAGAGAGCACCAAGGACCCCTCATGTCAACCCTGAGCTACAAATATTCTCCTTTGTTAGAGTTCAGTTTGTAATACTTTAATCTAACTGGTCTTAGTTGGAATGAGAAGTCTTGGTTGGTGAGAAGCAGTTCATTATGGGGAGTGTAGGCACTAGGTTTTCCAGTCTTTCCTCCTAACAATTCATTTCCCAGTAATCATGTTCAGATCCTGAAGTTTTTCTGAGTATGTCTACTTGGTGAGGCACCTAATAATATGCTACACTCAGTTGTCTCAAAAGATGGCAGCACTAACCTTGTCTGGCTTGGAAGCTAAGCAGGCTCTACTTTGCTTAGGGGCTGGATGGGAGACCAGCAGGAATTAGTAGGGCTGTAGACAAGACTGGGAAGTTGAAATTGAAGGAACATCTTAGAAGAAAACCATGACAAATTACTCTTGTATTTTGCCAAGACTGCTTAATAGATATATCCATTAAATCACCCTGAGTTCAGCTTGGTTCTTATAAAACATTACTATTTTTGCTAGCTCTTTTTCAAGTGATGTAATTCATTTTTCATCATGCATGACCATGGTAAGTGATAAGATGTCTTCCTCCCTATTTGCTCCTAGGCTACTGACTCCAGAGACTCTCTTGCCATGGCCCTTTATTCACAGTGCTTCTCGTGGATCATTGGAAAAATTAACTCAAAGATCAAAGGGAAAGAAAATTTTAAATCTGTGGGAATCTTGGATATCTTTGGTTTTGAGAATTTCCAGGTCAGAAATTAAGCTGTTGTAGATTGTAGCATGGACACAGATAGTAGCGATGCATGTACAAAAATAAGATGATATCTGGAAATGGGAGAGGATGGTGGTAGTGACACAGGGAGGATGAGCAGCAAGATAAGATCCTCAAGAGAGTTCTGGAACATGGATAATGAGGAGGTTTTTTGGTCTATGGCTGTATAAATTGTGAGATGTATTCTGGGAGTGATTCATAAAGAGCATGAATATTTATCACAGCCTTCCTATCGATATGTTGGGACTACAAATGCCAGTTGTCACTATTATAGCCTTAGTTACATGATGGCTTGGGTTTAATAGGTGTTGAAATCCCAATAAATCTGGAAGACAGAAGGTTATTATTATATTATGTAGTCTGTTATAATAGAAGTCTCTCGGGTATATATGCACATCTGCATGAATGTTGCCTTAAACACACATAGGAGTTTGATGTTTGTTTGGGTTATTTTTGTCTTCCTCAAGCCTTACTATAGCCTTCGTTTTCTATCTTACATTCTATGTTTTGTGAAGTTTTGTGCCAACACTTGCATCAATTGACATTCTAGGGCAGGGATAGGCAACCTTGGCTCTTTTATGACTCGTGGACTTCAACTCCCAGAATTCCTGAGCCAGCATGACTGGCTCAGGAATTCTGGGAGTTGAAGTCCACAAGTCATAAAAGAGCCAAGGTTGCCTACCCATGCTCTAGGGCATAGGCTGATAAAAACAGGTCTAAGCACATCCACCATCCCATCCTTGTTTCCCCAGTTCTTTGTGATCTTTGAGGGAAATAGGATTTTCCCCGGATCAAGATGAAAGGAATTAATATTGGTTTCTTTTTTCATGGACAGGTAAATCGTTTTGAACAGTTTAACATTAACTATGCAAATGAGAAGCTCCAAGAGTACTTCAACAAGCATATCTTCTCCCTGGAGCAGCTTGAGTACAACAGGTAGAAAAATGAGACTGTCAAACATTGGGGATATTTTTTATTTTCATTTCTCATTCTTGCTTTTGGCTAGAACAGTGGTTCTCAATCTGTGGGTCGGGACCCCATTTGGGGTCGAACGACCATTTCATGGGGGTCGCCAAACCATGCTGTCCGCCATTTTTTTCCCTTTTCCCTAGCTGTCCTACTCCCTCTTATTGGTGGCCACACCCACTTGGGGGTCACCACAACATGGGGAACTGTATTATGGGGTCACGGCATTAGAAAGGTTGAGAGCCACTGGGCTAGAAGATGAGAAAGCTGCTTAAAGAAGGAAGAGTGTTTGGTCACATACATTCTAGCATGGGAAAGAGTATTAAGAAAATAGTACAGTATTACCCATTTCTTCACTGACTGGAAGTTTTACCTACATTGATGCTTCATTCTTTCTTTCTTCATTTTTCTCTTCCTTCTGTAACTGCAGTGATTTGTGTTTTTAACCATTCTCTGCAAATGAATGTTTAATTGGCTTTGTATTTTTCTTTGGCAGAGAGGGAATAATCTGGGAAGCCATTGATTGGATGGATAATGCAGAATGCTTAGATCTTATTGAGAAGGTAGGTCCTTCTCAATAGGTAGGGTGGGTAAGGATGGAAGGATCACCAAGTCTTAATGTCTAAATTATGCTTTAGCCCTGAACTGGAATAAAAGGACACATTTTTGTTAAGGACATCCATAGGCCACAAGATTTGGTTCAGACTCCAAATTGATAATTTATAAAATGGTCCACTTCATCTGAGTCTAGTTGGGGGTTGACCAAATCAACTTGAACTATTTCATTTAAAAAAAAAAAGGAGGCCAATCCAAGGGCCTTGGTGGCACAGTGGTTAGAATGCAATATTACAAGCTAACTCTGCCCACTGCCAGGAGTTCAATCCTGATCTGCTCAAGGTTGACTCAGCTTTCCATCCTTCCGAGGTCAGTAAAATGAGGACCCAGATTGCTGAGAGGAATATGCTGACTCTGTAAACCACTTACAGAGGGCTGTAAAGCACTGGGAAGCGGCATATAAGTCTAAGTGCTGTTGCTATTGCTACAATTATTTTAATTTATTGATGAAACTGGAGTGAATAGCAAATAATATTAAGTCTTGTCAGAGGATAAAACTTGCCAAATTAAAAAAATATCTGGGAAGTGAAGTGATTCATGCACTAATCACCTCCTGTTTTGGCCACTGCAACTTGCTGTAGATGGGACTACCCCTGGACGGTACATTTGATCCAGAATGCACTTGTGTGAGCAGTTATGGATGTCCCTCATTTTGCCCACAAAATATCTTTGCTTTGGAAGCTGCATTGTTTACCAGAGGCATTCCAGGTGCAATTCAAGTATTGGTTGTCATCTATAAAGTCTCACATGACTTACAGCCTACTTAACTATAGGAATAACTTTCTCCTTTCTGGCCAATTGATAAAGTCTGACAGAGTTTGTAAGCTCACAATTCCTACCTGTAAGGCATTATTACTTTATGAAACCTAGGAAACACACCACCTCTGTAGCTGTACCTGTCCTGTAGAACGTGATCTCCTCTTAGGGTCAAATAGTCCCAACTTTTGGGGCTTATATAAAATTGCAAAAACTTGGCTCTTCCAACAAGTTGGGGGAATGATTTATCCTCTGGTGACTATCATGTTAATTTAAAATTTTTGAGCTGGTTATTTAACATTATTATTTGTTACTTCTGTTTTCTATGATTACTCTTACCCTAATATGTGAACCATTTAGCACTACTTCGATGAGTAGGGTGGCCAATAAATAAATAAACAAATAATCAAATGAACAAATAAATAACTAAAGCAAGTAAAAGTAGCGAGATACTGTAATACTTTAATTTTGGTAATACATCTTGCTTTCCTCACAAGTCCAACCCAATTTTGCAACCTTAAACAAATGTTGTAATCACAGAGTAAACTAATGGTTCACCATTGGCACAGTTTTGCCAAAAAATGGAAATAAATACTGATTTTTGGCAACACCATTGTAAAATGTGGTCATATGAACACCACCCCCAACTGTCAGAAATTTGAATCTGGGTTGTAAGTACACCCAAGAAAGTCCATTGTAACTTTGAACAATGCTAAGTGAGTGGTTGTAAGTTGAGGACTTATGTATATATAAGCATAGCATATTACAGTCTTGCATTCTTGAGAGTCCCGGATAGATTGCTTTCACTTTCATTTTTAATGTGTGATTTGTTTACTACCTCTCCCTTACGAGTGAATCTCTGTTCCAGGCAGCTAATGAAAATCAGAAGGTTGTTGGCTATATTTCCTATATCAGTGGTGACAAACCTATGGCACGCATGCCAGAGGCAGCACTCAGAGCCCTCTCTGTGGGCACGCGCACCGTTGCCCCAGCAGAGTTCACCAGAGTAGCGAGCACGTGGCCTTTGAAAGCGATAGAGGAGGAAGTGAGCGAGCAAGCAGTGGTGGCCTCCCGGGGATGCCCTGGAGATGGCAAGGGACTGGCCCCGGCCACGCTCACCCAGTCTGCTGTGACCACTGCAGCCATGCCAACCCAGTGGGCCACGTTCCCCATGCCCCCCCCGAGGGCATCACAATGCTGATGCAGCCTTTGCGATAAATAAGTGGGTTTTGGGTTGCAGTTTGCACTCAGTCTCTAAAAGATTCGCCATTACTGCTCTATATTTTTAAAACATTTCATTATCTCTCCTTTTGGGAAAAAAAATTGTTTGGTGACCATTGATAATATAGTTTTTCCTGACAAATATTTATAAAATCAGATGAACTTGAAATATATTTGTAATTCCAGGTTGTTTTTTTGTCTTTTTGTGTGGGCTTTTTTTTTTTTTTTGGAGTTGTATTGCTTTTCCTTTTTTTCCCCCTTGTTCTTAAAATGGAACAAGCACCACAACAAAATATTTAAATTCAGCTGAGAGGATTAGAAATGTTAATACTTAAAACAATTAAGTTGCATTTATATATTTGTTGCAAAACAGCAGAAAACAATAAGCTCTCACATATTCTCTCTCTCTCTCTCTCTCTCACTCACACACGCACACACACACACACGCACACACCTCACAGAAGACCCAGAAGATTGGGGGCATCTTGGCTAACAGCTTAAGCGATAAGTGTATTCCAAAGCCTTACTTGGCCTTTGAGTGGCATGCCATAGGGCAAAAAGAGAGCCAGTTTGCTGCAGTGTTTAAGGTGTTAGGCTAGAATTTGAGTTAGAGATTGTTGAGAATATTCGTAGTGCAGGTTGTAGGTTTGGCAGGGGTCCGAAGACCTAGAATTTGAGTTCTAGGTCTTCCTTAACATGAAAACCGGCTGATTGACTTTGTGCTAGTGACTCTCTTAGTCCAATCCTCAAACAGTTGCTGTGGAGGTGAAAATAGGCAGTAATATTAAGTATGTTCACTGACTTGAGTTACATATATTTAAAGGTGGGGAAGAAGTAGAGGAGGAGGAGGCCTAAAGTAACCAAATTAAATTTAGAAGCTGATCTTTGCAATGACATTTTTAGTAACAAGTTTCCTGAGTTACTAAGATAGATGGGCATGCAAAAGGATTGCCTCTGGATAACAGCGGCTTGAAAATCATTAATAAAAAAAGGTTTGCAGAAACTTTGCCTATTCCTTTTTGCTCTTCAGATTTGGAATGATCATTTGGGCATATTTTGGGTAAAGAACTTCTATTTGCAGGCAACTTTCCTCTCTCTCAACAAACGTAGCAAAACTGTTTCTTCTTTGAAAAGAGAAAAGTAAAAAAAAACCAAGCAGAGGAGAAGCATGGAGCTGGTTTCAAAATGGTCCTTTGGGATATCAACATTTTGGAATTCCAGCCTTGATGAAATGCAGTTATGCAAATGTTCGTGACTGGGTGTTTAGGAGAGGGAGTGGAACAAGAAATAAGCCTCAAATGCTTATGTCAGCCGAGTGCTCAAATCTATAAAATGGAAGTATGTTTCAGGATTTGCTGTTCTGTTTTGGACGTTTCTGCCAAAGTGAAACATCCCCCTTAAAAGAAAACACAAATGGAGAGAAAATACAGTAAAGCACAAGTTGATAACAGAAAGATAATGAATGCTCCATAAAATAACCATAATGAGCATTGCACATTGAAATGTCAATCGAATCTTTATTTAAAAAAAAGACTGTAAACTCTTTGTGGACTTTTTGCTGAAAATATATAAAAATGAACTGGTGATTTCAGAATTTATTTATTCAAAAGATCTTTTTTATGGGAAGAAGGGAACAATGACCTCTAACTTAGAAGGGTGAAGATGGCAATCATTCTGTTTATAACTGCTGCAAAGAAATTTGGAAGTAACTTCTTTAGGTATTTTTTTCCTCTTTTGTTACCTTTCACTTTTTCTTTTCTTACCTTTTGTTTCCTCTTTTTTTAGTTTTTTTTAAATTAAATTAAATCTTAAAATGAAAGTTACATTTAAAAAAAGAAATATATATATATATATATATGAACCAACATGGATAAACCTTGGATTGTTACATTCTTGTGGCTACTCCTCACTCCCAGCATAGTAAGAATGCTTGGTCAAATGCAATACAACTGTGAAAGTATGGTTTTTAGCCAACTATTTTTAGCCAATTCTAAACTCTTTTAGAATTAAGATTTTGACTACAATACCCAGAGTAATCCATTTTAGTATATTTATCTTGCTTTTCTAAAGCTCTAGTACCCCTTTGGCTTAGCCATCCACTATGCCGTTTGTGGTGAAGGGTCTACCTTTCTCCTTGTAATGTGATTGCAGAAACTTGGCTTGCTGGCATTAGTTAATGAGGAGAGTAGATTCCCCAAAGGCACAGACAGCACCCTCTTGGAAAAACTGCACAACCAGCATGGGGTAAGTAGGCATGCATACACACCACTGCATTTTTCAGCTGCTTAATTTGGGCTCAGTCGTTTCAAGAACTGAGATAAACTCTGGGGAGGGAGGGAGGGAGGAAGGAAGGAAGGAAGGAAGGAAGGAAGGAAGGAAGGAAGGAAGGAAGGAAGGAGAAGGAAGGAAGGAAGGAAGGAAGGAAGGAAGGAAGGAAGGAAGGAAGGAAGGAAGGAAGGAAGGAAGGAAGGAAGGATCAGACTAGAGTTTCTTGAAAGACAAGGTTTAATAGAAAAGCAACCCAAGCTCTCTTAGCCATTTGCCAAGCTGTCCAATGGGATGAACAAAATAAGAGAAATATTAAGGAGGAAACATTTATTTAATTACATTGGACTCATTCAGAGCTATAAAACATCAAAACCAGATCTGGAATTGGCCTTAGGAAAAACATGTCACTAGAATTATCTCTGTGACTGGCATCAGCAAGTAGCATGTCCTCTGCATTTTGGAGCAGCTTACTCTTTATAAATATCTACAAAGTTAGAGTGTATTGCACTAATATAACCTAGGTATTATAGTCTATGTTGAACAGGAACCAGTTTTGTATCTTCATTCCATGTATCAGGAGGAACAGAGAAGAGTTAGGAAGTTCAGGCCTGGCTTGGGAAGCTATTTTGGTGAAGGGACGCTTGCTCTTTTGTGATGGGGCCAGAGTTGCTTCTCCTCCCCAGAGGCTGCCCACTGATAACATGCAGATCTGCAAACTTTCATTGATTGTTTGCTTGTTTCATTAGAAAAATGAAAGTGAGGCAAAAAGCCCCACTTCAGAGCACTTGCCAGGGAGGAGATAAGAGTATTCCGAAGGGTGTAGTCTCAAAGTTCAGAAAATGTCACACATACTATAATTAATGGAAAGAACCCTCCAGGAATATAATATACTTAATTTCAACATTTTAAACTTTCTTCCCTTTCAACTTGGCTGTTTTTGGCTTCATTCGTAATCAGAACTATGCAGATTTTTAAAAAGGGTGCAGGAGGAGAAATCAAGCAGAACCTGAAATTCACATTTCATCTTTTCTGTTTTCCTTGGCTGGAATTCTACACTAGCTCTGTCCTATGATAAAAAGGTTGCTCGGGCGATAAAGCTCAATTAGCTCTTTTCAGAGCAAGGCAAACAGAGTTCTCTCTTAAGCAAATGACCCTGAGAAATGAAAAGCAGCTAAGATGCAGTGGGTGGAAGTTAAAATTAGGTTAATAATTCAGGCAAGGCTAGATTTCCTTGTTCCATTTATTTTATTAAGGGTAAAATTTAAAAGACATGAAGTGGACTTTACAAAGAACGTGTCCTGAGGAATCAAGAAGGGAGTGCATATCCAATTAGAAATCAGGGGTTCTCAACCTTGGCGACTTTAAGACTTGTGAACTTCAACTCCCAGCAAAGCTGGCTGAGGAATTCTGGGAGTTGAAGTCCACAAGTCTTAAAGTTGCCAAGGTTGAGAACCCCTGAAAAATGGACGAACAGTTTACAGGGAAACAAGCATTTATCTAGAACATGCTGGCTGGGGAATTCTGGGAATTGAAGTCCACATATCTTAAAATTGCAAGGTTGTGAAACGCTGATCTAGAAAGATCCATCCTGGCTCCTCAGAATGTGAATTCTGCTACCAGAGACCTTTGCCATGTTTCTTCTTGCAATGATCTATTTTTGGCTAAATTGTCATGGTAACTAGAGGCAATCTCGTTAAGTAAAATGGCATACTCCGTGCCTAGTTAAGCGGCCCTGCACCATTTCTGCAATGTGCTGCTGTTTTCAGGTTGTGATATTGCGAAGTTTTTGATTAGAAAATGTTACTTCAGGTGTATCTGTGATAACAAATGTACTTCCCTCACTTTTGTTTCAGAACAACCAATATTACATGAAGCCTCGAGTGACAGATTTCCATTTCGGGATCCAACATTATGCTGGAGAAGTAGGTACATTTTAGCTTTATAGCTGAGAGGAAGCTGGCAGTATTCAAGAGTTTTTGAACAATAAGCCTGCAATTCAAAGTAGGCATTTTTATGGTTGCAGTGGGCAAAAAGCCAGAGTGTCTCAGATTTCTTTAATTTGAACAAATAATAGGCTTATTGAGGGCTAGAATGCATATTAGTGTTGCTGTAGCTTAGAAGCTGTTACACACTCTCATGTTTAGGGCTTATATTCCTGCCCTTCATATCTTCATTAACTGTTGAAGATGACATACGGTCCAATAATGTGCAAGCTACACTCCCTGCTTTGAGACTGTGTAATCTAGGCAGCCCTTCCTGATCTGGCATCTGTGCTGATTAGATGATCATGGGAATCAAAGTCCAATGTATCTGGATGGCACCAGGCTGGGGAGCATAGCCGTAATGAGTACTTCAAGCCACAGGTTTTTTATTCTGGAAGAAGTGGCTTTTGGGTATCGCACACCTGGGCAGGTTCTGTGATGAAGTTTTGGTCATTAGTGCCTGAAAATAGGCCATGGTCAATACAGGGCAGCTTGTCAAACAACTGGTGAGCTATGGAATTATTTATCTGCAAATGTTTATTTTGCCTTTCCTTTGAGGAAGCATGTTGGCACACATCATCTTCCCTACCTGCCCCCACATTTATTTCCCCTTTACAACAATTTATTGAGGTGGGCTGGACTAAGAAGCCACAAGTGGTTCAGAGTACCATTGTGAGCCTAATGGCTGAGTTGGGATTTGAATCTGGTTCTCCTGAATCCCAATCCAGCTCTCTGTGTTGGTTCCGCTACTGCAGTTGAATGAGATTAAAAAAGATCTCCATTTGCTTTGATAGTCTTTTGGACAGCTAAATGAATTGTTCAGCAATTTTTTCTTGTCATATCTATTTGCTCAAAAAAGGGGAGGGGGAGGAGGAGTCCATGCATGATAAATTTGGTTATTTGTGTCTAAAATTGTTACCTATAGGTCCTCTATGATGTGAGAGGCTTTCTGGAAAAAAACAGAGATACCTTTCGAGATGACATTTTAAACATGCTGAAGGATAGCAGGTAAAGAAGCTAGAGCCATTCCCAGTGAAGCAGAATTAAGTTGCTAATGCTAAGGAGGAGGAGTAAAAAAAGTTTGTGGTTGGTTGTTTTTGTTTTTGTTTGCATAGGGAGAGCCACTCCTGAAGTGCTCAATAATGTAGCTGGAATGGGATGTGGGCAGAGGTTTCTAGCAGTCACTTGGGCCATTTAGTAGGCTGGGTACTTTGGACCTCCAAAACCTCTTCATGCTTCCTGGAGGGCAAGCTCTCCTATGGATGGTCAGATGTCTCTGCTTGTCTTGGTGCTTATCTGCCCTTAAGTTCTAGCACTTCACAAAGACATTCTTGATTCGTATATTATCATTAGGGAAGAAGGATCCATTTCCTGGTTTAAGACAGCAGCAGCAGCAGCACGTGAGCTCCTGGTTTGGAAGTTAGTGTTCCATGGCCTGTTTTCCTTTCTCTTATATTTCTCTTTCCACACAGGCTGGATTTCATCTATGACCTCTTTGAAAGAGTTTCTAGCTGCAACAGTGAAGACACTCTGAAGTTGGGAACTCAGAGACGCAGACCAACTGTCAGCTCCCAGTTTAGGGTAGGAGCAGGAGGCCCATGAATGTGCATGTGAAAGCGCCTGCAGAAACATCTCAGTAGATATATTTTTGTTTCTTTAAATCCAGTAAATCAAAGAAGTGTACCACCAAAGTAGATGAGGATTCAGATTGTAGGCCTGCATCTTCTATGCTTCGGGCTCCGCTTTTTTATTTATTTATTTTTTTAAGCTGCGAAAACTTAAAAAAGGATTGGGAAGGGAGATGTGATGAGCCAATGAATGCGATGCAATACTTCTTCTGTAGATATCACAAAAGATGTTTCAGTATTTTGCAATTGTGCTTCTATAGCAGTTTCATCACGCTTTTCATGGCTGAGCATCAGCTGTAGGAAATATCGGACCATGTGACAGCTAATGCTCAGTAGATTTGTTTTCATCTTCTCATTTTTATTTTTTTTTTTAACATCAGAATTATAAATGTGTCCAAGGCACTGGAGAATGATAGCAAATCTGGTCCTGAGAATGAATTTCTCCAGAGAAGTAACATCTGCTGCTCTTTTCCAGGACTCCTTACATTCCTTAATGGCTACTCTCAGCACTTGCAACCCACTCTTCATTCGCTGCATCAAACCAAACCTGGAAAAGGTGACGCTCTGGAGGTGGGGAATGCCGGACGAACAGGGAAGGGAGGAGGGAGATTCACCATGATTTTCAACGGCAGCGAAGTTGAAGCTTTGCTGACCGGAAAGGGTGTCTCTCCTTTTCTGAGGGTTTCTGGATTCCTAGAAGAAGAAGTTTGTGTCCAGGATTAGCACACTAGATACAGAAGAAAAGGCTAGTTTGTAAAAGGGCTGCTGTATGCAACACAAATACTCTTTTTAATGCCTTTCTTCTTAATACATTGGGAGACAAACCTTGCATTTAAAAATTTTCCTTAAGCCTAGTGACTGTTTTGTATATCTAATTCATCCCCTCTGTGTGCGCTTGTGTGTGCATTGTACATGTATGTGCATGCAGAACTAATTAATTGAGATGCCAAGAATGACTTTTGCAGTCCACCTGTCATACAAGCAAATGACCTAAGCTGCCATCTCTCACATTTGGTTGGTTTACTCTTGACTGTTCTTTAGGCTCCAAATCTCTTCAGTCCAGATGTTGTGCTGAAACAGCTGCGATACTCAGGGATGCTGGAGACAGTGAAGGTTCGGAGAGCTGGCTTTCCCGTGCGGCGTCTTTGTCAAGATTTCCTCTGCAGGTAGAGACAGCGCATTTCCTAGGAATGGGGTGGTTGCAGAGAAATCAAATATAATTGTTTAGAACAGCGTTTCTCAACCTTGTCAATTTTAAGGCATGTGGACTTCAACTCACAGAATTCCACAGCCAGCAATGCTGGCTGTGGAATTCTGGGAGTTGAAGTCCACATGCCTTAAAATTGTCAAGGTTGAGAAACACTGGTTTAGAATGACTGGCTTCTATGGAAGAGGAAGCTTAAGAAAACCACATCTGCCCCCTGGGTTTCAGCAAACTTATCTCTTTTTCTTCCCTCAAGCCAGTTAATGATCACATGTACTATTATACTCTTTTTATCTGTTCAGAGGCATTTATATATAGTATCTGTCTTTAATTGAAGTATGGAAAATAATTAAACGTCTTTTCCTTCCCCACCTCCCTGAAAAGCATACTGAATTTATTATTCTGCAACCAGGTTAAATTTCATTTTATATGTGTAATGCTTTGCAGCATTAAGAATTATTGCAGTTCCTCTTCCCAGATGCCACTTGTATTGTTTGGAAAAGTTAATGGAGCTAGTTAAAAAACCTTTTGTTCTACCACAACTCAGAAGCAAAAAGAGAACTAGTATAAGGAGAGCAGTTAATTGCATCTAATGCTAGGATTTGTTGATTCACAGCTGTTTCTGATTAAGGGCATTTGTTTGGTTATTACAGATACAAAATGCTTTTGAAGAATTGGAGCAACCCAGACAGTGCAAAAACCACATGTGCAAACTTTTTGCAGATGTATGACAACACACAGAGAGAATGGAAGCTGGGGAAAACCAAGGTAAAATCTATTTCCCCAAAGAAGTAAATTGGGAAAGGCCACGTAATAATACTGTCCACAGTTACCTACATGTATGATGATTATTAGTTTTAGAAATTTGACCTAGCTCGGTTGTGCACCTGCTGAGTCTCACGTATTTTCCATCACAGAAATCTGAATATATCTTCATTTCTTTCTCCCAGCAAGCCTCTTGAGAAGGATAACATGCATCCTACTGTTCTGCTCAAGAGTTCATTGGCATGGGGTCCCTGGGTATGATTGGTTGGCTGATAACACCGTATAGAGCAGCGGTTCTCAACCTATGGGTCGCGACCCCATTTGGGGTCGAACGACCATTTTACGGGGGTTGCCAAACAACGCGATCCGCCATTTTTCCCCCTCGGGGCGGCGCCACGCATGCGCGCCGCGTCCGTGTGATGGGGGTCGCCGTCACACAAACATTGAGAACCACTGGTATAGAGCATAAAGTGTTATATAAAAAAAAATTCATTAAAAATCATTAGTTCAGGGACAGTGTAGAAGTTGTTTTGACCCATTACTCCTCTAGTCCTGCATGTTATAGCCTCTTGATTCCCATCTGTTCTCTTCCTATCTTGTTCCCCTCATCCTCTCATATAAGTCAGCAAGCACTTAAGTTTATTAAACAAAACATCCACAGAGAATGAACTAAATGGGTCCAACAATGCACTGGAGCACCAATTTTTCCCAGATTTTGCTCTTTTTCAAAATCAGTAGCAGGGCTGCTCGTCACTCTCTCCTGTTTGACTCTTACATCATTTCTAGTGAAATTCATTCTCTGCTGAATGTTAATTAAGGTCAGGAAGGATATTGAAGTGCCTATGTTTGTATTTAAACTGATACTTCAGTTCCTCAGCTAAGCGCAAAAAGATTTTTGGAGAGTTTTTTAAATAAGAATTTTACTAAATGTTACAATTAAAAAAGTTAAATGCAAACTAAAAGAAAAAGAAAAAAGTGCAGAAAAGAGAAGTTTGGGGAAATGACTCCAAATATTTCAGTCATTATTGAACAGTATAAATATCTAGAAATAGTATTTTATTCATTCATTCATTCAATTCAGACAAGTCCAGGCAGTTGGCATCTCAAAAACAAGAAATAATAAAGTAAAGAACAGATATGTGTATATCCAGGAAGAACACAACACTACCAAAATCTGACAAAAGAACCACCAGGGGCTCATAAACTTCCCAATCCTCAGGCCTTGGAGCAAAGCCAGTTTTTTAAAGAGTTGTGGAATGACTAGAACGTGTTTAATAAAACATTATTTGGAGAATGGACACAAAGTACAGTGATAAAATGCAACTAAGACAATGGGGTCAATTAGGAAATTTTACAAAAAGGATGTAGATTATTAGATGCAATAGGAAGAATGTTCTGTTTGGAGCAGAAATCTGGAAAGTAGGGAGTAGAATGCCCAGAATCATAAGATTTAAAAAAAATCATACAAAATCAATTCAGTTTGTGGAAGACAAGCAAGCCTTCCATGGGAAGCTATAGTAAGAGCTTACCATGAATGGCTTCCTTTTTCTTCCACGAACTGAATTGGTCTTATCTCAAGATAAAGTTCATATTGATAGGGTCCTGGTTAGGTTTTGCAAAGGTATCTCTTTAGAAGAATCTAAATTAACAGTTAGGGAAATGCTTGGATTTCTTAATCCAAGAGAAGGATTGGAAATCTGCCATATATGAATTGTTGGATAAATGTTCACTGTCAGTCCACCTATTCCTTTAGCAACTAAGGAGCTAGGAAAGTTGGTTTCAGCCCAGTTAAAATGAAGACAAATGCTATGTATTATTAATGAATATAACAATCCTTGGCTATATATGTTTAATAAATAAATAAAATCAGAACTAAAATTTGGAGCTGTGTTCCAGTCGAAGCAACTATAGAATTGTGGGCAACTGTAAAATTGGGCATTGGTGAAATGTGTTTTTTGATTCTTAATCTTAAAAAAAAAATCAGACTGAATAAATAAGCTAGAAATTTAATGAGCAATGCCTACTGAGTTTCAGTATGTTCATTGTTATTTGGAGTAATACACTAACCTTGAATGGAAATAAAGAATAATATGCTATTTTTCAGGGTCACTATACAGAACTTCCTCTGTATTAAGGATGTGCAGAACCTTCAGTGTATAGATCATTCTGGACCTAGTACTGTCAAGTTCAGGCGGTCCATAACTGGACCAACATATACATGTTTTATCTGGATATGGAACATCTATGTTTGGTCCAGACTCAGATCCAGTCATAGGTGTTTCAGATCTAAATATTGAGGGTGCCAAAAAGCTGGCAGTGATAGGCAGGGGAAAACAGGCTCTGGGGAAATTGGCAGAAGGAGGAAATGAATGGTTGGATTGTGCTGTGCATGACATGAAGTGTAGCAAAGGAAGTGGAATGAAGGCCCTGAGATGATTGGTAGAAGGAGTAGTTGATGTGGCAAGTTGGAGTCTGCTGTGTTTGGAATGTATTGTAGGAGAGAAGAAAGGGAAAGGAAGACAATGGGACAATTGTTTCATGGGCTGGTACACAAGTCATTGACAGGAGGATTGGGGGGGGGAAGGAGCTTTGACCTACTTGTCCCCCAGATCTTCCCAGAACTCGTCTTGGTTAAAACCCAGAACACGAAGTTCCTGATTTTGGTTTAGATAGACTAAGAATCTTTTGTGGCTAAATACCAAAGCCATAATTGTATGTCATATGTGGGACATATGGAACAAGGCACTTTTCATCCATTTTATGCACACCTCTATGCTGCATGTCTACCAATGATCATATCACAGAAGAAATAGAATGCTGACTATTAAAATTAGGACAAAGGCCAATTAAGTGCAATTAAGAATTCCTGCATCACTTTCTTTATTCCACCCAACTAAGGCCTCTCCTACCTACAAAAGCCCTGTGCCAGGTTTGCCCCACCATTTTCTTTAAGACTATTTTAGATGTTCTAAATCAATAAACCACTGAGGAATTCTGTGGGGCAGTAATTAAAGAAGTAGCTCAGCAATAGCCTGTGATCCATAGGGCAGGGAGTATCCCTCCATTAAAGACCTTCTAGTGTGATCCAAGAAGCTGCCAGATTTTACCAGTGCCTTTAACCCTCCCCCCCAAGTTGCCAAAATCCAGAAGAAACTGTAAAGCAATTGGATCAGAATAATCAAGGACATTTGGGGCTATTGTAATTTGTTTCTATGCTTTTTCTGTTCTTTTTCTTTTAGTATTAGGTTGTATTTTTCTTGGGAGTAGGCAGAATTATAGTATGTTCTGCAGATGGGACTGTCTGGAGCAAACTGGAGAGAGAAGAAACCTTAGGCATCAAAGTAAAAAGGAAATGGCTATCTTTCTGCTTGCTGAACACTTGAAGTTAATAAATTAACCTTAGAGCCATTAAAAGAGCAGGCTGTAAGTGACCTATCCGTGGACAACTAGCCTTTGATCTCCCCAGGAACAATAGGACTTTCTCTCCTGCACACATGTTCACTCTTCATTTTGCTGGACCATCTGAAAAGGACTGACTGTCTCAGTGTCCTGTATTAGTGCAGTTCTGAAGTCCAACTTTATAGGCTTCTCTTTGCAGAATGAACAAGAGGAGGAACCGCAGGATGATTGAAAGATTGCTTTTCTTTCTACTGAATGCTTTGTTCCATTATCTGAAGTTATAAGATAGAAGCAACCGTGGCCAGTTTTAAGAAAGATATTGGCAGGTAGATAAGGTAACCATATTCATGGCCAGACAATGACAGTTTACTCAATAATGCTTTGTGATTACACAAAAATAGATACAAAATTCTAGCGCACACAACAATCGTCGTCTTCTTTTTTTTTTTTTTTGAGTAACATAAAGTTGACAAAGAAATAAAAAAGCTTTGGATTGGGAAAAAAATCAGGCAGATTAAACTTAAGATGCAAACTCTTTTTGGTAGCAAAATATTTTTCCAATCCATTTGGATTGGAACAGCACATTTGTACTGTTTATTTTTGTGCTATTGGGATAGAAACACCTTTGATGTCAGTTTGATGGGATGTGACTATGATACCCTGTAGGATTCAAGATGCTTGTAAAATTTTTTTAAACCCATGTGATTAATACTAGGCTGGTTCTCATAATCTCTTTCACTAGGGCAGGGGTAAGCAACCTTGGCTCTTTTATGACTCGTGGACTTCAACTCCCAGAATTCCTCAGCCAGGCACGCTGAGGGGAAAGGGAGAGGTTTCTAAGCTGAGCCATGCTGGCTCAGGAATTCTGAGAGTTGAAGTCCACAGAGTCATAAAAGAGCCGAGGTTGCCTACCCCTGCACTAGGGGGAGGCACTTGGAAGGCTTGAGCAGAAAGTAGATGAGGGGAAGGAATGTGAGTTGTCTGGGGTTGCCGCCTTAAATTTAGCTGGCTGTAGCTTTGACCACTAGATACATCAGAGATTGCTCCATCTAACAGCTTTCCCCAACCAGAGCACCTTCCAAATCTAACCAACAAGTTCCCAGAATTCACAAACATCATGGCCATCTGTAGGTCAACAAGCCTGCCCAGAACCTTTTAGAGGGATGCATTGTAGATAGAAGACAGCACTATTATCATTATAGAAGCATTTCTCACCCCTTTGTACAACACACATTATATGGGGGTGAAACCAAGATTCACTCTATAAGTATAGCAGGTTCTTTTCAGCCAATCCTGGCTCTCTGGTAAGAATGCTTACATAATATATATGCCCATATTGTTGTTCATATATTCTTTAGATACGCTCTTTTTAATTAAAAAAAAATCCTATTTGTCTCTATGGTAGTAAGTCTTGTAAAACCCTGTTTTATGTTTTTTGATCCAACAGAATTAAACATTTCCTTAAATAGAAGTAAAAAGTTAATCTGGCTGCATTTCTGCGTGCTGCTCACAACATAGGAGTGGGGAGAGGAAGCAGTTGGCAATTCTAGTTCAGGCTATCTTTTCCTCAGGTTTCTGAAAAAAAATGAACGGGACTTAAAACAGTCCTGAGCTTAGCTTGTGAAAGTGGTCCCTTTGTTTTGGCCTAAGGAATGGGCTGTAATTTCCTCAGCATGAGACAGGAGGGAAGTATAGCATCCCCTTTTGTTTTGGGTTGTTTTTTTTTTGTTTTGTTTTGTTTTTGAGGTGTTGTGAGATTGCAGGTACTGTGTCCCTATCCAGTGAGCCTTCCAGGTGTGCCGTGTTCTGATTCCTATCTAGAGGGCAACAGGGGGCGCTGGGAAGTTATGAGCATATTTGAGTTTGGGTGTTGGCTTCAACATGTGCTGAGCAGGATGGGGAAAGGAGTAGGAAATGCTTCCTGCAGCATGTATTCAAGGGGTATTTCTATACTGAGCAATTGTTTGGGGGAGGAAGGAAAGGGATTAGTGTAAAGAATTGTGGAGCACAGGAAAGGAAGAGGAAGGCAAGACGGCCTTTGTATTTCTCATTAGGAGCAGAGCAGCTGCCAGTTGTGAATGCTGGAGGGTTGAGTTTTTTCAGGGATCAAAGGAAAGTACAACTAATCAGAGAAGCTCTGTTCTGCTTCAATGCCAGCTTTGCCATTCACGCTCTGGACTTCTGGTTTTCTTCCTGGATAGATACACCTGCAATTTTCTTTCTTTTTTCTTATAAAATGAATGCTGCTACATCGGTGCATAAACAAGATAATATGTCCAACAATTGTGCTTTAACATTTGTTATGTATACACTGTTTGCATTCAAAATTCTTCCCTTCCTCCCCCCCCACCCCCAGTCTCTGGAATATTTCAATATTTTAATTCAGCTTATCCAACTCACCTATGCAATTCAGTGATATAGCACTGATACTGGTTTCTCCCCAATACAGCTTTTGGAACAGTATACGTGTGACTGTGAGGTCCCCCCTACCACCATTTTGAGGCAAATTGGGAAATTCAGAATTCTTTCAAAGAGGAGATAAGACATAGTGATAGAATACTTTGGCTATGCTACTCTTCCTGTTTTAGAGCATTGTCAGAAGATCAACCCAGGTTGCTCTTGAGGGTCTTAAGTGGGTTGGAAAGTCAAGTGCACAGAAATAAGGTCTTAATAAACAGAGTGAGGAATAGAGTCCCATAAAGATCATTTATTTATTTATTTATTTATTTATTTATTTATTTATTTATTTATGAGACTTATATACCACTTTAAGTGCAAGCACTCTCTAAGCGGTGTACACCAGTAAGCAATGTATATATATATTTACATTGCCCCCAACAATCTGGGTCCTCATTTTACCTACCCCGGAAGAATGGAAGGCTGAGTCAACCTTCAGCCGGTGAGATTTGAACTGCTTACCTGCTGAACACAGTCAGCTAAAGTGGCCTGCAGTACTGCACTCTAACTGCTGTGCCACCTCGGCACATCTTTTAGCTGTGTTGCTGAGATGCCATTGGATACCTCTTTAATTGTTTCTGGAAGAAGCAAACGTAAAATGCAATTGGATTTATAAGATTGAGTTGTGGTGCCTTTACCTTAAGTGAATGTGAAAGATAAGCCATGGAAGTGACCAAAGCAGAGTTCTGGGGGTATGCCATTAAGTCTTCATACTTCCTTAGTCCCAGAAGAATGCTACATTCAAAATATCAAGGCCTATCTTATCTTTGTCTCTATGAGTTTATTGTTTAATATACTTGGCTGAGTACATTAAAGTCCATTATAAGGAGCAGATATCAGTGAATCAATTTAGTCACCAAAAGCAGAGTGGGTGAAGAAACCATTATGGCTCCATGGAGCGCGGACCAGGGCCATCTTTTATTGTCTCATTTCTGCCACATGTTCTAAGATGCTTTTGCATCCTTTGTGGCATTGCAAAGAATCCTAGGATTCACTGTTTAGACAGTCCATTGCTTCATTATGGATAAAAAAAATATTGGTGTTTAAATACCAATACTTCCCCCACACACAAACACACTTTTCAAATACTGTATAAGTCAGGAATGAGAAGCAGGAGTGGAAAATTAATAAATTATTGTGTTTCCAGGCCCTGCAGTTGGAATTTTAATACCTCATCTTTAGAATATCCACTAGGACTTTTGCAATATAATTCTCTTCATTTATGTTCCTTTAAAAATCTGATCTGAAAATGTGTATATAAAACATTGCAACCACCATCTGTTAATGTGCATGTCAAATTAAGCCTGACTCTTGAGGAGATAGATAATTCTAGAAAAAAAAATACAAAGGAATACTTCAGGGTTTTTTTAGCAGGCAAGAAAACGAGGGAAAGGCTGACTTGGAGGAGAAATGCTAATTATCAGCCAAAGGAATATGGATGATTTAGTTGTAGTGCAGAAATTGGTTTGGGGCGCCTCTTCTTTCTTATTTATTTTTGTTTATTTTTTGGAAATGGGATCTTTCACATAATTGAACCAGTTTTCCTGTGCAATCCTCTCACTGTGGTCTTCTCTCAGTCTTTATACGCAGGTGGTATCCTAAAAGCGCTTTAGGAATTTTAAATGGAAAGCTCCAGTTATCTTAGAAAGATAAAGCTGTGTCAGGAAAAGGGTTAAACAAAAGTTGTAAAAGCAGTGCAGCCTCCTCCTCTCCTCCCCTCCCCTTCACTCCCCCCCCTCAATCCTTGAGCACAGTGCGGGGGCTGGGCTGACACTCCCTGCTCAACTTTTCCCTTGTCTATCGGTGCTGATTCCCGAAGGGAAGGGCTGGCGGAAGAGCGGGGACGGCTCCGTTGCAGGAGCGTAAAAGAAGCCCTCCGGGTCTGGTTACTCTGAGCAGGCAGGCCGGCTGGCAGGCATGGGATCTGTTGGTGCTGCCTGGGACTTGCTGTTTCCTCTCTTTTGTGTTTGGCGAAACTCCTCCCCGGGGTACTAGGTTTTCCTGAAGGAGGTTCTGGAACAAAAGCTGGAAAAGGCCCGGGAAGAAGAGCTGAAGAAGGCGGCCACCATCATCCGAGCCCACGTCCTGGGCTACATGGCAAGGTCAGTGCTTGAATTGCCTGCTTTGCTTGGCTGGCGTTACTGCCTGCCTGCTGCCTCTGCATGTACTCGATTTTCCTCCCCTTCCCCCCCCCCCCCACTTTTTTTTCCTGGCCTCCCCATTCCTGCTGGAAAACTTCCTAGTGTTTCTAAGAGGCAAAGTTAAGCCACTCACTTTGACTTTCTCCTGTTGCATTTTTCGTCCTCCATGAAGCTGCCCTTATCTAGATCCCTGGCTCCCTTCTCTCTGCCATTCATTGTTCCAAGCACAAACTCTGCTTTGATTTAGAACAGCTCAGTATCAAGGCCATAACAGCTCTGCCCGGTTCCTGTTTCTCTCCAGGGGTCTCTTGGTAGAGTTATAAGCAGGGGGGGTTATGTTTCATCCCTGCTCTGTGTCTCCTTACCTATGTCTCTATTTTTAACTTACTATCATCTCTTCTTCCATAGTGAGCTGGGCTTTGTCTCAGCTTGTTCAGGCAAATTGCGGTGTACTGCATGCCCATTGGGATAATCACTTGCATTCATAGGGTGCAGCGGTGTTGCTATAAGAAGTAGATGGTATATCTTGCAGGATTGCACCACTGCACATCCATGTTAGGACTAATTCAGTGTGATTTGTGTAGGTTTGTCTTAAAACCCTTTTTAGACTCCCTTAATGTTACAAAGAAAAACTGGAACACCTATGAGCAATGTTGGGTGAAATCCCAGACCCCATTGGGCCAGATAAAACTAGGAGAGAGGGAAAATGTATAGAACTAATAAGGATGGCTCCCCCCCCATAACAGTCAGAAGAAAAATAGAAGTCTTTAGTTTTTTTTACACCTTTAGTTAGTGTACTATTGCTTGCAATCTATAGGAAATGTACTATTGCAAAATCTATAGGAATACTTTTAAGTTTTTGCCAAGCAAACTAAATCAGGAAAGTTGATGAGATTTCACCCCAGGGATAGATAACCTGGTGCATTTCCAATTTTCCTGCCTAGAGTTACTACAGTGTCTTGCCAGTGGCCTTGATTGCTGGAAATGGATTGGAACTGAATAGTTTCCAGTCATGAACAAGGGTCTACATTTTGTCTAAGCCAGGGGTGGGCAACCTTGGCTCTTTTATGACTCGTGGACTTCAATTCCCAGAATTCCTGAGCCAGCCATGGAGTTCTGGGAGTTGAAGTCCACGAGTCATAAAAGAGCCAAGGTTGCCTGCCCTGGTCTAAGCCAACTGATATTTGAGAGAAGACTGTGGAAAATTTGGTTCTACTGTACTTAAACTAGATGTGTCTTTCTGCTAAAGCTATTTTTGCCAGTAGGACCACATCTATAATTGTCACACAAAATATCTTTTAAAACATTTGCACACTTGTATGTATGATACATGTTATTCTACTTGTACAGATAGCTCTTGACTTACAATAGTTCATTTAGCAACTGTTTGAAGTTAGAACAGTTACTGAAAAAAGAGACTTACCACCATTTTTCACATTAAAAACTGTTGCAGCATCCCATGGCCATGTGATCAAAACTCAGATGCTTGGCAACTGACTCATATTTATGATGGTTGCAATGTCCCGGGGTGATGTGATCACCTTTTTTGACCTTCTGACAAGCAAAGTCAATGGGAAAGCCAAGTAACTTAACCATGTTACTAACTTTAAAAGTGTAGCAATTCACTTAACAGCTGTGGCAAGAAAAATTATAAAATGGGCCAAAACTCACTTACCAAATGTCTCACTTAGCAACAGAAATTTTGGACTCAGTTGTGGTCGTAAGCTGAGGACAATTTTAGAGAGGCAAAGAACCACTATCATTAATAAGCGACATATGGTTAATTTTTAAAAATTATTATTTTACTTTTTCTGGGTGGTGTAAATGCAAATTGGATTTTCTGCCATGCCATCCCACCTGCCAGTCCCCAGCCATGTACCGTAGGTGGTGGTGTGACTTCTCTGGCTTCATGGGATTTAAATGTGATGCTCCCTATTATTTACAGTAAGCGGAATGGGAATAAAACTGGATTGGGGATGCCGTTAAAGCAGAAAAGCAAGGAATGGGAAGGGCTGCTAAAGGTTTGTGTTTCACAGAGCTGGTATGGAGTAGCTTGGGTATGCACACTGGGGGGGGGGAAGAGTTAAGGTAGAGAGCGAGCATGAACAAGGAAGGTTCAATATTCCTTCCTTTCATCCAAGCCCTTCCATTCCCAGTCCATCAGTTTGATATCAGTCTGAGTATAGACCTCCTACTAATATTTATTTGATTTTTATCCTGCCTTTATTACTTTATAAGTAAGTCAAAGTGGCAAACATATCCAACCCACCTTTCTCCTCCTGTTTTCTCCACAACAACAACCACCTTATGAGGTGAGTTGGGCTGAGAGAGAGTGATTGGCACAAGATCACTCAGCAAACTTTCATGGCCAAGGCAAAACTTGAACTCGTGGTCTGGTTTCTAGCTCCATGCTTTAACCACTAAACCAGTGTTTCCCAAACTTGACAATTTTAAGGCATGTGGACTTCAACTCCCAGAATTCCACAGCCAGCGTTGCTGGCTGTGGAATTCTTGGAGTTGAAGTCCTCATGCCTTAAAATTGTCAAGTTTGGGAAACACTTCACTAAACCAAACCCTGGGGTTTCAGCAGGTTTTAAAATTTTACCTTTATATCTTTGATAAGAAGCCTATTTGGAGGAGTGAAGTGAACCTATTTTTATTGATTGAAGTAGTATTTTAAGGAAGTTTTGAGTCTCAGAGTTCTGCATGATACAGTCTTAGGGCTGCAGAACGCGCTGCTACTATTTACTGGGACCATCTCTGAGGGTTTTGGGGGTTTTTTGCAGGGATTTCTCTTGCTAAGGGCACCAGCTTCTTAGTTCCTATAAGTATTCTTGCCCAGGTGATGCTTCTGTTCTGTACAAACATTCAGGAATGTAGTGTAAGATCTATTATTTCTCCTACTTCATCACTATAAAGGTAAAAAAGGTTTCATGCCCTCTATTATGAATTCCCAGAAGGGATCCACGTGCATTAACCCACCACCACCACCACCACCACATACACACATATATACCCATCCCCAGCTCTAGATTTTGAGTTCCGGCAAGGAATATCCATGACAGGATCTGAAGCCAGAACCTGTGATATTCATTATCTACAAGTTGGAGGTAAAGGTTTTCCCCTGTCCAGTCATATTCCACTCTAGGGGTGGTGCTCATCTCCATTTCTTAGCTGAGGGAGCCAGCATTGTCCAAAGACTCTTCCATGGTCATGTGGCCAACATGATTCGAGTTTGCGTTGTCAGCTTTCCACAAGTTAGCCATCAAGAAAACTGTTCCTGAATATCTATCTGTAGGACACCTGACCTCACTGCTAAACAGCAAATAACTTTCCGGCAGATGAAATCCATTATAGTCTTTTATTTTTATTCTTAAAACTGATTACTTTCATCCGTTAGGATGGCAAGCGGGATAACAATCTTTGCTTGTCTTTATGGGAACATCAAGAAACAGACTGATTTAAGTTAGGAGAAAATAAAAGTTGTGAACTGACCCTATTTGGAGAGATTTAGAAACTCGAATTTGGCATAGAGAGAGTAAGTTTTGCACACACACCCCAATTATTCCATTTGTTGTGCGTAGCAGAAGATCACATGCAGAAACTGAAAATAAATGGCAGTTTTAAGATGCAGAAACTCCATGGAGTTTGGCAAAGTTTGGGAGGATGGCAGAATAGCTTCTTGGAGCATTGTCCGCATGGAGACTTGATTGTGTTGGGCATTCAGATCAGACGTCACAGGGCAAAACAGCAGCTAGGGAGACTTTTGGAAGAAGGGTGATTTTATATTGGTGTGACCTCCATATTTATATGCCTTTTGACTTAGGAAGAACTATCGAAGAGTGCTAGCCAGTGTTGTGACCATCCAAAAAAATTACCGTGCTCACTTCTGGAAGAAGTCTCTCTTATGCCTGAAAGCCTCTGCCGTTGTCCTGCAAAAGCACTGGCGTGGGCACCTAGCTCGCAGACTCTATCAAGACCTGCTGGAAGAAAAGCAGAGGCAGAAAGAGGAAGCTGAGGAGCAGAGGCAAGAAGAAGAGAGGATTAGAAGGGAGGAAGAAGAAAGGCAATGGCAAGAAGAGAGGGAGCGTAGGAGGAAGCAAGAAGAGAAGGAAAAGAAAAGGTACAATCCGCCATGGCCATGTTTCTGAGAGCTATTTACTTTACTTGCTTACTTAATTAATTAAAACGTATTTAAATTTATTTGTTGCCCTCCTCACCACAAGGTCACTCTGGGTGGCTTATAATGTTAAAAGTAATAAAATCATAACGTATACAGTCTTAAGAATAATAAAAATACAACTTATAATTAAAAGACGGGGCAGGGAGCGGAATACACAGGGAGTTGGATCTGCCGTTGGTCCATTTCCAGTGTGATGTACCCCCATTGGGGCCCTAGACCATCTAGCAGAACTGGGTCTTCCATCTCTCTTACGGAAGATCAGGAGGATGGGAACAGATCTCACCCCCTCCCCAGGGGTGGGGGTGAGATGTTCCAAAAGGCAGGAGTCAACAGCAGAGAAGTCTCTTCTCCTGGACCCCACCAGCCAGAATTTCTTGACCAACGGGGTCCGCAGCATGCCTCCTTTGCCAGCCTGGTTGGGGTGAGCCAATCCCATTGGGCTGAGATGGTTCTTTAAGGAATTTGGATCCATGCCATGCAGGACTTTAAAGGTAATAACCAACAAAGCAAACTGGCAGCCAGTGCAGCTTGCAGAGCAGTGGTATAACAAGGGCCACTCTAGGGGTCCCAAGAACTGCCTGCATTCTGCACAAGATATAACTTTCAAATGCTCTTCAAGGATAGCCCCATGTGGAGTGCATTGCAATAATCCAAATGTGAGATGACCAGGACTTGAATGACTGAGTGCAGGACTCCTGATCGGAGAAAGAGCACAACTGGCACACAACACAAAGTTGTGCAATCTCCTAGCCACAACTGCCACCTGCACACCGGGTCTGTCTGGAGTAGTGCCATCTCATCCAGAACTAGGGATGTCAAAGACTTGGACCTTGAAGTTCCTTGCACTCAAAACCATTTGGTCTTGCCAGGGTTCAGCTGAAGCAGTCCAAAAAAGGCATTTTGAACTATTGGAGACATGGAGCTCCATACAAAGAAATCTCTGTAGTTTCATATAACAATCAAGTTGTTATATGAAACTAATAATAGTATGTGAAATGAATAGATTCCATTTCCAGGTCCAAAGCAACTTAAGGTTGGTAATCCTGAAGGCAAAGATAAATCAGAGATTGCAAAGCAGCAGCTGCTGCTCTTTTCTGAGCCTGTTTCTCTGACACGAGATTTATAAAAAAATAAACTACATTTGGTTCTCAAAAAATTCAACTTTTTCCAAAGGCTCATCCACCTTTGCTTGCACATGTCTTGCTTTCCCCTCTAGTTTCCCAGATTAATTCCAGAATTGGGAAATAGGCTTAATGGAGTCTTTGTCTTTTGTGTACATCCAGCTGTTCATCTGTCTTAACCTGAGTGCTTTTTCAATTATTTTTTTTATGATGAGTTGTTATTAATATTTTTTATGATGATGAATTGTTATTCATCATAAAGCAAACTTTATTTCTTTTAGGTAGCCACAGGCAGACCATATTGTGAGTGGTCCATATATATATCAAGTAGCAGTCAGTTTCTGCTCTAAAACCTTTAAGGAAATTCAACCTTCAGAAAACCCAAGCTATTAATTAAAGGTGCTGTAATAAATTCTATGGTTTTGAAGGTTTTGCAACAGCTTTTAACCAAGACATAAATAATAAAGGCAGGCATACCATTTAAAATTGCATTGATTTTCAGTACTAGAAACTGACAAGAATGTGTGATTATCTGTTACTTCTTTGTGAAATTTCTGGCAAGCTGTACTGTGTATTTTATTGGATAATTGTTTTTTTTTATTATTTTGAACAGGAAAAAGGAGCAGTTGGAAGCAGCACTGCAGATAGCTCAGGTATCTCCTATTGTTTCTCTAACCTTCTACCTCTTCAGAATCCCCAGGAGAACCCTAAGCTACCCAACTTGATTTTTCTTCTCAGTGCACTGTTAGCTGTGTGCATTTCTCCGAAGTAGCTCTGGGGCACATTTGATTTACAGGACATCACTTTTAAATCAAAATATATGTGATGCTAAAGTGGAGAGGGAAGTTTAACCTTGTCCTCTTAACGCCCTTGTCTCAAATCTACATACACCATACCCAAAGCTCCTACCTGACTTGAGAGAGAAGCTTCTGAAACTGTAGTGACAATTGATGCTTTCCTTTTGAGCCAACCAGCAACAGAAGGATGATTTTTTTTTTCAAGTCATGCAGAAGATTTCAGGAAATTGTCAAAAATCGATTTAATATTTTAGGAACTGGGTTCTGTGCATTTATACAGAAGTCTAAATCAATGCAACATCTCTGTGGTACACATAGGGAGACCTTTTACTTTCATCTCTAAAACCCAATGTTCAGAATTCGACAATGCTGAAATCTTACAAAAATTATAAATGTCATAAGATTTTGACTATTTTAAAAAAAATGTTTTAATTTTGAGTGGGATTCTATGTTGGATTAGAACTCCAGATATTCACTGGAGAATTCCAGTGAATCCAGTTTTTTGTCTCTTAATTTGGGGCTGGTTGAAAGGCATTAAGAAAACATTGGTTCCAACCATGTAGAGCAACAGGCCTCATACAGTAGTTTTCTTTGGCTCACTGGTTGTTGTTTTTTTTTTTTTTGTAAATACCATATAAATACTAGTGTATCAAAGGAGATACACTACCCATAATGATTTTCTTTTGAATTACATTCAGCTTAGGGGGATTTAGCAAATTGTTCCATATTGTATCTTTGAAAAATTAGAATTAAAAAAAAAAGTGAACGGGAGCAGTGAACCACCACTTGGCCATTATGATAGCTCCTGAATTTTTGGATCTATTGATGACTGTCTAAACTGGGGTAGGTAACCTTGGCTCTTTTATGACTCGTGGATTTCAATTCCCAGAATATGGCTGGCTCAGGAATTCTGGGAGTTGAAGTCCACGAGTCATAAAAGAGCCAAGGTTGCCTACCCCTGGCCTAAACCGATGTATGAAAGCTCATTCCTTTCTTGCATTTTCAAATCAGATGGAGGTACTAAAAACCCAGAAGGAGAACCATCCACTGCAGGAAGAGGAACAGCGTCAAATGGAGGAGATTCTGCGGTTGGAAAGGGAAATTGAGAAGCTGCACTGGCAACAGAAAGCAGATCATGTGTCCATTACGTGTGAGAATACCAAGAATGAGATGAAGCGGCAACGGGAAGAAGAAATACAGAGGCTGGAGAAAGAAGCATCTAGGGTTGCACAGGAGTTCTTAGAACTTTTAGATTTTGGGAACCTGGACGAAAGTGTGCAAAACCTGGAACGCTCCCTGTCCAATGAAGGAACTCTCAATATTGAATGCAGCCTTGTTGCTCCACTAGCTGAGGAAGAAGAAGATGAAGGTTTTCCTGCTGATGAAGAAGGGCCACCAGTCCCCAGCCCAAGTCTGTTGAACCAGGACAGTAGCACCAGGACCAGTGATAACTATTATTCGGAGGAAGACACATCTCCAAATATGCCAGTGTCTGGGGAGGAAGAGAACAGAGAAGGCGATGCTCTGCTTCCTTCTACTGAGAGAGCTGGAAGCCCTGAGACAGAACATCTGAAAAGCATATACTGGATAGGCTCAGAAGTAATGCAGAATGACACATTGGAGGTGGAAGATCCAATTTACAGCTTGCCTCCAGATGTGGAATCAGATTATGACCATGAGGAATATGATGGCATTGTAGATATCAGCAGCACATCAATTGAACCACTGAACAGGGAGGAAGGCCTGCACAATTCTCATAGCAATGGTGTGGATTCCAATCGTGGAAGCTTGGACTCGGTGAGAAACCTTCATAACCATGGCAGTTGAATATTCCTGTTGTTAACCTGTTTCAACTTGCAGAAGTGATCATGTCAATCGTATTCCTTAATTGATATCATTGTCAAATGTAATCCATAAATTCCAGTGAGCAACATTGGCTTCAGTTCCATAATGGAGGAAAGGCAGGACAAAGTTATGTTTTCACATGCCGTCAGAGACACATATATCAATTTGTTCAGTCCATTGTGACATTTACTCTGTTAGTTAATCTGTTATGACAATGCATTGTTTATGGCTTACTTATTATGCAAACCTAAAGAACTATTTACAGCACTATTGTGTGTCTGTCTGTCTGTCTGTCTATCTATCTATCTATCTATCTATCTATCTATCTATCTATCTATCTATCTATCTACAGTGGGGCAAAAAAGTATTTAGTCAGCCACCAATTGTGCAAGTTCTCCCACTTAAAAAGATGAGAGAGTCCTGTAATTGTCATCATAGGTAGACCTCAACTATGAGAGACAAAATGAGAAAACAAATCCAGACAATCACGTCTGATTTGGAAAGAATTTATTTGCAAATTATGGTGGAAAATAAGTATGTGGTCAATATCAAAAGTTCATCTCAATACTTTGTTATATATCCTTTGTTGGCAATGACAGAGGTCAAACGTTTTCTGTAAGTCTTCACAAGGTTGGCACACGCTGTTGCTGGTATGTTGGCCCATTCCTCCATGCAGATCTCCTCTAGAGCAGTGATGTTTTGGGGCTGTCGCTGGGCAACACGGACTTTCAACTCCCTCCAAAGGTTTTCTATGGGGTTGAGATCTGGAGACTGGCTAGGCCACTCCAGGACCTTGAAATGCTTCTTACGAAGCCACTCCTTCGTTGCCCGGGCGGTGTGTTTGGGATCATTGTCATGCTGAAAGACCCAGCCACGTTTCATCTTCAATGCCCTTGCTGATGGAAGGAGGTTTGCACTCAAAATCTCATGATACATGGCCCCATTCATTCTTTCCTGTACACGGATCAGTCGTCCTGGTCCCTTTGCAGTCAAACAGCCCCAAAGCATGATGTTGCCACCGCCATGCTTCACAGTAGGTATGGTGTTCTTTGGATGCAACTCAGCATTCTCTCTCCTCCAAACATGACAAGTTGTGTTTCTACCAAACAGTTCTACTTTGGTTTCATCTGACCATATGACATTCTCCCAGTCCTCTTCTGGATCATCCAAATGCTCTCTAGCAAACTTCAGATGGGCCCGGACATGTACTGGCTTAAGCAGGGGGACATGTCTGGCACTGCAGGATCTGAGTCCCTGGCGGCGTAGTGTGTTACTTTGGTCCCAGCTCTCTGCAAGTCATTCACTAGCCCCCCCCCCCCCGTGTGGTTCTGGGATTTTTGCTCACTGTTCTTGTGATCATGTTGACCCCACGGGGTAAGATCTTGCATGGAGCCCCAGATCAAGGGAGATTATCAGTGATCTTGTATGTCTTCCATTTTCTAATTATTGCTCCCACAGTTGATTTCTTCACACCAAGCTGCTTGCCTATTACAGATTCAGTCTTCCCAGCCTGATGCAGGTCTACAATTTTGCTTCTGGTGTCCTTCGACAGCTCTTTGGTCTTCACCATAGTGGAGTTTGCAGTATGACTGTTTGAGGTTGTGGACAGGTGTCTTTTATACTGATAACAAGTTCAAACAGGTGCCATTAATACAGGTAATGAGTGGAGGACAGAGGAGCCTCTTAAAGAAGTTACAGGTCTGTGAGAGCCAGAAATCTTGGCTTGTTTGTAGGTAACCACATACTTATTTTCCACCATAATTTGCAAATAAATTCTTTCCAAATCAGACAATTTGATTGTCTGGATTTGTTTTCTTATTTTGTCTCTCATAGTTGAGGTCTACCTATGATGAAAATTACAGGCCTCTCTCATCTTTTTAAGTGGGAGAACTTGCACAATTGGTGGCTGACTAAATACTTTTTTGCCCCACTGTATGTATGTATGTATCTATCTATCTATCTATCTATCTATCTATCTATCTATCTATCTATCTATCTATCTATCTATCTATCGGGAATATATAGATCAGTCTACACATAATCCATGTCAATTTTTATATATTCGGTCACTGGATTCTTCCTTCTATTACAGTTTCATATTTCCCTGTGAGACTGGGCTTGTGTGTTTGCACTCACACGTGAGTGTATTCAGATGAGGACCATTAATGGTAAAGAATGTCTTCCATTATAAAAATGATAGGAGAAAGTCAGGGCTTTTTTTCTCATAGAACTCCCAGAACGGAGTTCCGGCACCTTTTTTGGATGGAACCTTGTAGGGTAGGCAAGGCAGGTTGTATAAGTTCCGGCACCCTTTTTTTTTTTTAAGAAAAAAAGCACTGGAAAAGATTGATATCAAAATAGGCGTACTTCTTTTGAGCTTGGACCAGTGTTCAATTTGCTTCTAATAGTTATTCTGTTGCAAGAGCAGCCTCTGTGTTCAGTTTTTACATAGAGTATTACATACTCTAAATCAAGGGTGTCAAACTTGCAACATCACGTGACGTGTCACAACGTATCGTCACTTTTTTTTCCATTGCCGGCAGTGGGGTTGGTGCAGTTTCGCCATGATGCATCTGGCCCACGGGCAGGCAGTTTGACACCCCTGCTCCAAATCTCCTATCTAAGTCATTCTCAATATTTGTTTTTTTCACCCATCTCAATATATCCTTGCTTCCTTCTTGCTGGATCCAAATCTGGTTTAATATTCTTCTTGTGGGACAAATAGAAGTTTGAGTGAAGACATATTTTGCCCATCAAGGAAGTGCTAAATTACTTCATGCAAAATTTCCTTATCAAATTAATTGCTCTACTATTTTTTTTTCTTAACTGTGTTATTAAAAGAGATCTCCCAAGGCGTATAATTCAGGCAGACAATTCTAGACAACAACGTGATATGTTTAAATATAATCTTCTGGTATTTTCTTCCATGCTATTATTTATATATGGCTGCCATGATTGATTGATCGATTAATTGATTATGTGCATTAAATTAGTTCTGATTCTGGATGCTCGCATAAATAGAATTTCTCCAGGGAAATCAATTCCTATTCCTATTCTGGACCTTCACTGCACTGAGTCCATCCAACTCGCTACTAGTCATATTTTTTCTCATTCATTTTTTAAACGAATTCTTGAATGAAAGGTCTTGATGCAACTTCTGTACAGTTGTTACTGTACTTAGGAAATCAATTTAACATGTAATAGAAGTGACATAGTTACCAGATAACAATAATTCATTTTTCTTCTAGTTTCTAGATACCAAAGATGATGAAGAAGGGGATACTTATATGGACACAGATGAAGAATTCTGTAGCGGCCGGGTTACTCTGTTCAATGGATCTGGGCCCGCATATTTTCACAGCTATCTCTACATGAAGGGTAAAGGATTTTTTCAGTTCCATGAAGTTAGCAGGTTGTCTACTTCTGCAATTACTCATCTTAAGTTAATACATTCTTTTTTTTTCCTCCTCTTGTTGCTGCTTGGTCCTGTATTCATTCTAGTTATAAAAGTTGTATCTTTTATAATATAAAAGAATTCTTTGCTAAAGTTTTAGCATGCCATGCAGTGATATCAAAATGGCAGTCCAAGTATTTTTTCTAGATCAAGTTAAACCTTTATGAATAGATAAACTGAGTTTCATATTAGGATGAAGAACATATACACCCACCCAGTTATTCCGTAAATGCCCACAGGCATTTTCCTCCTCTCCTTCCTACTACCCTTCTCATCCACCACCACCCCTACATACTCTACTCTGGCTATCTTTCCACAACTCTCCAGTGGCTTTTCTTAAAGTTCAAAAACCATTTGTAGCTAGCTCTATTATTATCAAGTTACTTGGCCAGTAGCCATAGGCACTGATGAGATAATGTTCTGACAGCAAGATAATGCTTCCCACTCCCAATCTAGATTTATAATTTATTTGCAATGCTTTCATTACTATATTCTCTGTGAATCTTAAGACAATCCTCCCCTTTTACATATAAGTTATTTACAGCACTCTAGATCTTCAGGATCTCCTAAAAGAGTATATGCTGAGCTTTGTAGGTGGGGGGAATTAAATGCAGATCCTATACACTTTTCATCACACACTTGGCACATTGGTTTTTGTGAGCCACATTTATCCAAGCTTCTTCTATAATAACCATATAGTAATGGTTCAAAATCGCTATTAGCACTAATAGCTAAAAGGCTTTTTCCTCAAAAATAACAGTAATCAATTTTATGAGTCCTTTGTGTTGTAGAAAAAAAAAAGAAACTGGTATAGTGTTTTATTTCTTTTTTTCCTTTTCTTTCTTTAAAAAAATACCCTTGTTTCCCTTTTCGATAAAATCACAGATAGTACAGGTGTAAATAAATTATGGGATGTAAGTTTTCATTTTTTCATTTTTTATATTGGCAATTGAAGAGAATTGGAAGCTATTCTCATTGGTTTAGTGCAGGGGTAGGCAACCTTGGCACTTTTATGACTCGTGGAATTCTGGCTCAGGAATTCTGGGAATTGAAGTCCACGAGTCATAAAAGAGCCAAGGTTGCCTACCCCTGGTTTAGTGTTATAGATGGATCACTCCCTGTTGGCCTGAAGAGTTCTTCATGTCTGTATCCCACGGCAGGAGTTAACTCCTATTCTGTTGGGCCAATAGCATCTGTCAGTCCCATATGCGTATTGATTTTTGTAACTTATTCTTTTTATGGGCTTAGTAGTTTTTTTATCTTGATTCATTTTCAGCCTCCCAAAATCACAGTAGTGAGGTGAACAGCCATATCGATTGTTTAAATAATAAGTGGATCTTAACTATACAGGAAGTATTTCATTTTTTAGGGTAATCTTACAGGCATGGACAGAAATATGAATATATCAGTGTCTGGTCAGATACAGCTGGAGCAAATGTGGAGAATACTCGGTGTTTTTCCAACTTGGTTTCTTTCCCTTGCAGGAGGGTTGATGAATCCCTGGAGGCGGCGTTGGTGTGTCCTAAAAAACGAGGCCTTTATGTGGTTCCGAGCCAAACAGGAGGCCTTAAAGTCAGGCTGGCTTTATAAGAAAGGAGGAGGCATGTCCACGTTATCTCGTCGGAATTGGAAACGGCGCTGGTTTGTCCTGAGAGAAGCCAAACTGATGTATTTTGAGAATGACAGTGAAGAAAAGCTGAAAGGAACCATTGATATCAGGAAAGCAAAGTATGGGCAATGCCATTATGTCTCTCCTTTCAAGGAAAACAAGGCTAGACCATTTAACCTAACTCTTTGTTCACTGTTGGAAGGCAAAAAGCAAAATTCTCTGCAGCCTGGCTTTCAGAGAAATAATTTCAGGGTCTAAGTCCCAGAGTACTTCAATCTAAGCCCAAAAGCTGTGAGAGAAAATTGACATCTCTCTGAAGGGGACATTTTAAACTTTTGAATTCCCATGTTCTTATTCATGCAAAATTATTATTATTGTCTGAAAACTATCTACCGTATTTTCCGGCATATAAGACGACTCGGCATATAAGACGACCCCCGACTTTGGAGAAGATTTGCATAGTTTAGAAAGCCATCTTATATGCCGGAAAATACGGTAGTCAATTTGACTCCCGTTTGTCTTTATGATGTCCATTTCTTGTAAAGAGAGCTTTTTACCCTCCTGTTCCTTCTAACTTTCCATTAGCTCCATCATTAATATTAGGCTACTAACCTACTCCTGTTTTGGATTCTTCCAACCGCTTTGTCTGAAAAATCAGCCTTGGGAGCTACTGAAAAGCCCAAAATTATATCCAAATGTAAGGAAAGGTTAACTCAGCTCTACACCTGTACCAAAAACAATGTATTAGCCAGTCATTTGGAGGTGAAAAACATACATAGTAATATGGAAGAAGTGCTAAACTATCGATACCACTAACTGTGGTATCCTTCTGAATTGTCTAGTCTTGGGAGTATAAATTTTTGCAACAGTTTATATCCATAAATAGTGCTGGGATATTAGTGTTTACTTATCTCACATATTGCATCTTGTTCCCCATAATAGTCAATAGCTATATGAAACTGCTGGCAGATATCAGGAGTTTTAGAATGGGGCATTATTAGTATTTTGATGATACTAATATTTACTATTCCTTAATCCAAGGAAGCACTTAGTATACTTCAATATTACCTGCATTTAATAATGATTAGGTGCATTAGAACAAGTTGAAGTTAAATCCAGACAAGACAGTGGTGCTGTTGGGGAAATATGACACTGGACTTGTGGACTGAGGTTCAACCTGATTTGGATGCGACTGTCTTCCCCAGTCTTAGAAAGCTCCTTGATCTTCAGTTGTCATTGGGTTTGCTGGTGGCTACTATAGCAATGAGCCGAGGTGGCGCAGCAGTTAGAGTGCAGTACTGCAGGCCACTTTAGCTGACTGTGTTCAGCAGGTCAGCGGTTCAAATCTCACCGGCTCAAGGTTGACTCAGCCTTCCATCCTTCCGAGGTAGGTAAAATGAGGACCCAGATTGTTGGGGGCAATGTAAAATATATATATATACATTGCTTACTGGTGTACACTGCTTAGAGAGTGCTTGCACTTAAAGCGGTATATAAGTCTCATAAATAAGAAGCATTTTTAGATCCCTGACTAAGAAATGTTTGCTTAATCCACACTAAAGTCTCTTCTGTTGTTCTTTCTTGTATGTTTGACCTTACCAGGAAGGATGACCTGAGCTGCTTCTATAAGACAAGAGAAGCTCCAAGCTTCCTTAATGCCAAACATGCCAAAGAGAGAAAGGCTAAATTTTATTGGATAACTTTGGCAGTCTGGTTCTTAATGCATGGTCTTTTTGCAGGGAAATTGTGGATATTCATGAGAAAGAGAATGCCCTTGATATTGTGACAGGTGATCGGGTTTACCACATAGTGGCGGAGTCACCAGAGGATGCCAGGTATGGGGTAAAACAAAAAATGTTTCTGTCTCTGAGCTGTTTCCTCTACAGATCCAATTCCTAGAAATACTGACTGTTTTTTCCTTTGTGGAGCTATAAGATCCACTTTGCAAGCAATTCACAAGCCCCATTGAGCTGGCATATAAAATGTGTAATCTCTGCTGAAGTAGCACATGGTTACAGACAATTCCACTTCTATCTGTTGCTATATTATAATTCAAGTGTCAGAAGATTATTCAGGAGACTTAATATTTGAATATCTGACTGTGAAATATAATAATGTCTGCTTATTATGTAAAGCTTTCATCATCTGAAGGTAGTTACTGTATTGTATCTGTTTGTGCCATATTATAGCTTAAATTGGACAATTTATAGTTTACATTGGGCAATCTATTTAAGGAAGCCGATATATTAACGGCCTTTTTAATCTCTTGTGAATGTTCTATGCCACAGCTTCAGACTGTACTTAAACTGACCCTCACAATTGGCTTTTTCATAAGCTGTTTTCCAATCCAAAGTAATAACTGGGCTATAAATATGCAGACATTTATCCTATGACTGCAAATATATCCTACATATCTTGTGTCAAACTGAGAACAGCATATGGCACATTCTGCATTGAAAGAATCACATTTAGGCCTTCTAAACATTCTTACACAGCAGAACTGAGAAAGACCTATACCCAATATCTTGGGGGAAAAATCACCATCTATCAATGACAGAGTCATTTATCACATTATCACATATGCTTTCTTTTTTTTGTTTTGACTTACGGTATTATCTAAATCCAGGCAGTTTGTTGGTTAAATCACAATTGGCTATATCTAACAAACTGATTAATAGCTTGTGATTTATTATGCATGATCACATTCACTAGCCATAACAGAAAGCAAAACCTGATAAATGTGATGGTTGAACTTAGAATAAACTAATATTTTATAAATGTTCCATAGAACACATACACCTAGCTAATAATTGGCTAACTTTGTAGGAAACATTCAGGGTTGTTATGATCCATCTGCCTGGTAAATTATATAAGCCTGGCATTGCTGGCCATCTAAAATGGATTCTGATTATTATTTTATTTTGATAGTGACTGGTTTAATGTCCTAAGTCATGTGCATAGTGCAACAGAGCAACAGCTGAGAGAAATGCAAGATGAACAAGCCAATCCAAAGAATGCGGTGGTGAGTAACAATTAGGAGAACATCATAACGGAGAGATTATGTTGTTTCTCATGAATTCAGTAGCTGATTATGTCTTAGTGATACGGTTGCTACTGATCAAAGTGGTCTAATTGGCATCTCATAGAATCACCATAGAAGACTCAGTCCAAAACTATAAACTAAAGGCCCTCATTAGTTGATACCACTAAATGCAACAATAAGTGCTACAAGCCACCACAAATGGTGTAATATAGATTCTCCGGAAATTGACGATAGATCCTTTTGTGCATTTTCTGCACCTGGAATAGAAGTGTGTTTGCAGGGTCAGTTTGATACTGTGTATGCACAAAGAAGATATTTGGGGTTCCTAATACCCCATCTTGAGCGGAGACAGAGGTAGGGCACATAGTGCTTTAATTCCAATCGTTTAAGAACCCAGCTAGCTCCTAACCACCTTGGTCATTCCGGATTCGCTGAAACAAATTGAGAAAATAAAAGGTAGGAACAGAAAATATGTAGTTTTGTACCAGTTCTGTGTTTACTGTTATAAATTCATGTTATTATTTTAAAGGGAACCCTTGATGTTGGGCTTATTGATTCTGTCTGTGCATCTGATAATCCTGACAGGTACGTTTTGTATTTAATCATATTGTGATTCTTTCTCCTTGGGTTTTTCCCTTCTATAATTTTAACATTATTGTAGTATGGCAGCATGGCTATAATAGGGAAGTAAATTTAAATAAGTTAGTAACACAGTTGTTAAGTGAATCTGAATTGCCCATTGATTTTGCTTGTCAGAAGATCACAAAGACTGATCACATGGCCCCAGGACATTGCAACCATTATAAATATGAACCAGTGGCCAACTATCTGAATTTTGATCATGTGACCATGGGGATGCTACAGTAGTCGTAAGTGTGAAAATGGTCATAAGTCCCTAAATGAACCGTTGTAAGTCGAAGACTACCTGAATTTAAATTGCCACAGACAAAGAGCTGCTTAAATTGCCTTCACCCATTTTAAATGTCTTTCCAAGGGACTTGGTGCTTTTTAGTGCATAGTCATTGATGCCAAAACCTACCGCTCGCCTCTTAGTAATATTTGTTGCTTTAGGTTACAGTTTTGCTGCTAGAACTGTTTTATTCCTCAGCAGATTGTTTGGAACAATCTGTATAGTGTGTAATCCTTCAAATGTGCGTGTTTGAGAAGCATAATTGCACAGTTCCCCTTCCTTGGGTGGCTCCCCTCTTCTGCAGACCAAAATAACATTTTGACATTCTTTTGAAAACATGGTTTTGCCAATGGCCCTGGGAACCTCCAGGGCAAGGGTAGGCAACCTTGCTGGCTCAGGAATTCTGGGAGTTGAAGTCCACGAGTCATAAAAGAGCCAAGGTTGCCTACCCCTGCCCCAAGGGATTCAGAGCCCATCTGATGGTTGGTTTGATGGTTGCCGCAGGGGGGTGGGGGATGTAATTGGACTTTGTGTTGGAGTTTTATTTCTGTGAGCCTCCCAGAGTCACTGTGTGTTGGGCAGCCATTTAGTTTTCTTAATAAATAAAATAAGGTTGTCCATGTTGGTCAATGGTGACAAAAAAATTGGTAGCACCCTTTGAAAAGCAAAATTTTATACAAATAGTGTTACAGGATTCCTGATTTTTTACATCCTTGAAAAAAGAAGCATAAACTCAAGCTCAATAACATCACCTTAGATTTGGATTTCAGAAAAGTGTTATTTTAAATAATAGTGTTGATTAGAATGATGCAGCTAAATAAACTGAAATATTTTAATGGTAAAGACATATTTTCCGTAATAGAAATCTATATTTAGCCCATAGTTAAACTGTCTGGGCATGGGAGAGTCAATGCAAGCTAGCCTGGCCATGTGTTTTGGTCAAGACAATCCATTTTATCTGATTCTCTGAAAAAAAGGTCTAAAAAGTAAGGGATCTGTGTTAGAGAGTGCTTGCTATGCTAAGAACATAAAAACTAACGGGCTGGATCAGATGATTGTACTATTTCAACTTCCAGGTTTGTTCCATATAATTCAGTGACTGTGGGAAGGCCAGTAGCAAGGCATGAGGTCAATATTAATATTGAGTTCAAACCTTATCTTTCCCAGCTCCTGGTATTTACAACATATTATTTCCCCCAATAATGGAGGCAATACTGAACATACTTTTTTTCCCGAAATGACAAGAAGGAAACCTACATCGTGCATGTTTTCTTACTAACTATTTAGTCTATGGGGAAATATTCTGCCTTTTTGGACCTCTACCGTTTATTTATTTGTGTAATCATTAGTTTAATGCCTACCGGGTCAGAAATTTTTGTATAGCATGTTTGTGAACATCCTGGGAAGTAGAGCTGTTCACTTCTCTTCCCAGGAAGTAAATTCTGTAAATGTTAAACAGGTGAGTACAGCAAGCTTTCTATGGCAAGGAGGAGATGAAGCCTCTTCCTTCTACTTTGCAGGCCAAATTCCTTTGTGATCATCACGGCAAATAGAGTCATTCATTGCAACAGTGACATCCCTGAAGAGATGCACCACTGGATCTCTCTCCTACAGAAGCCCAAAGGCGAATCCAGGGTTGACGGACAGGAGTTTATTGTGAGAGGTAAAAAAAAAATAAAAAAAAAAATGAAGATGCAGAGGTGACCAAGGCAGAAATAATCTGCTAAAACCTAAAGGTGCTTTTCCAAGAGGCAATTGGATTTTTTTTAGTTTTTTTCCTTAAAAACATTTCACTTCTCACCCAAGAAGCTTCTTCAGTTTCTCCAGAACTGAAGAAGTTTCTTGGATGAGAAGGAAAACATTTTCAAGGGAAAAAAACAAGAAAGTCTTTTGGAAAAGCACGTCTGGGACTACCATGACTTGGATGATTGAGAATTTCTATAGACAATCAGCTAAATCATTTCTTAGTGTGAAATGTTGGACTTCAATTCAAAATTCCCAGCCAATATAGGTGCGGGAAGTATAGTTTTTTTCTGGAAGACATCAAAAATAAGAAAGGCTGAAAATAGCGACTATCAGTTGAATAATTATCAGGTTTTTGCTTGTTTTATGTCCCGGCAAAGTGGAAAGATGAAACATTCTGCTACCGGTAGTAAAAAAATTCTTTTAGACTGCCGTTTTCAGCCAGTCACTAGAATAAATAACCCAGCTTAAATCTTCTCATCTACAGAGAGAGTAGCGCTGGCAGCAGCTGGATTAAAGCTATTAAATTCTGAGCCAGGAATTCATTAGGTGGTCATCTGGCAACCCCCTCAAAAGCTCTGCAGGGGTATTGTGAGGATTGCTTTAAAGATACATGGCAACTGTATATATGTTTGTATAAATAATACTGAACAAAACATGCTAAACTTAATATGAAGCTCCCTCCCTTGGTTGTGTTTGGGTTGTTGTTGCTTCTCAGGAAGTCATAGGTGCTTTGTTGTTGTTTGCAAAAAATTGTATTATTGATAGTTTATTCATCAGTGATATTAATTGGTATTTTGGACTTTTTACTAAAAAAAAGGAATGTGAGATGCTTAGAATCTCTTTGGATTGAAGTTAATAGAAACTCCAATGAATGAATGAATGAATATTGCTTAGTTCAAGAAAACGCAGCTTTGGGGGTTGGGCAATCATATTAATATAAATTCATATACCGTATTTTCCGGCGTATAAGATGACTTTCTAAAGCCTGGAAATTGGCGCCGAAGTCGGGGGTCGTCTTATATGCTGAGTCGTCTTATATGCCGGAAATTACATAGTTTCCGGCGTATAAGACGACTTTCTAGGCATGGAAATCCGTGCCGAAGTCGGGGGTCGTCTTATACGCTGAGTCTCCTATACACCGGAAAATACGGTAATTAAAATATATGAAAAATAATTATTCCCCGTGGATTAATAATTTTCCTCTTTAGTCACATTAAGAATGATTACTTGGTGGCAACTTTTAGAGGAGACCATACCCCAAACTGTAGGGAAGCCAGCTGCAGCCCTGGCAGCATCATATAGTGCAATCTTTAGTGCAGTTACTTTAAGTAGAAAGTCAGATGGTGAGGCCAGAAAGTAAAATAAAATAAAAAAAAAAGATCTATGATGCTTCACCACAGCCACATCAGCAGCCAGGAGCAGATGTACTAAAGGAGCCCAAGTTTTCTGTTGCTGAGTTCATGGTTCCTGTATTTTCTGCCAGGGTGGCTACATAAGGAGGTCCAGAGCAACAGCAAGACGTTGTCCCTGAAGCTGAAGAAACGCTGGTTTGTACTGACCAGCACTGCCCTTGACTATTACAAGTCTTCAGAACGCACCGCAACCAAGCTTGGGACCCTTGTTCTCAATAGCCTCTGCTCAGTGATTCAGCCTGATGAAAGAATCTTCAAAGAAACTGGTAAGACCTATGTAAGGAAGTTGCAAGTTCTTCTGACACCTGCAAAAATTTTGGAGGAACTTGTTGCATTCATTATGAGCAATTACAAATAGGTAGAAATATGTCTGCATTTATAATTGGACATGGGAGAGAAGCAACCTAGAACTAAGGAGAAACTTCCTGACAGTTAGAATAATTAACCAGTGGAACAACCTGGCTCCAGAAGCGATGAATGCTCCAACACTGGAGGTTTTTTAAGAAAAGACTGGACAGCTATTTGTCTGAAATGGTACAGGGTTTCCTGCCTGAGCAGGGGGTTGGACTAGATGATCTCCAAGGTCCCTTCCAACTTTATTGTTGTTGTTGTTGTTATGCTATGGGCAGATGCCTATATGTTGCATGTAGAGCAGGAATAGGCAAATTTTTATTTTATTTTATTTAAAACAATAAAATAAGGCGAAAAAGAACATAATGCATGAAAAATAATATCAGTAAATAGGGAATTTATAGTTATAACATTTAAGGTTTGTTGATTAAATAAATATATAAAATGAAACTCTTCATCTTCAGAAGTAATTGTAAATCATTACAAAATAATCAACATTACTTATATTAATGTCACCATTGTTTATCATTATCTAAAATAAGTGCACGTGATCAAATGAAAAATAAATACTAAAAACAAATCCTTGAATAGCAGCATGTCAGAAGGTGCCAATATAGCCAACAGATTTTCTGCGAACAGATTTCACAGATATTTATGATACAAAGAAATACAACAAAATTAAAAGAATCTATTGTAAAGCAGCTTGATGAGAACGTGGAATTCCACAAAGGCAGCAATGAGTCCAGTCTCGCCTTTATCCACACCCTCACCCTAAAGTACCTTTCATACTATGAAAAGATACAGTTATTGTCGGAAAGGTATAATTACGTTGCAGATATAGTGCATCCAGACTCTAGAAATAGACTAAATCACCGTTTGTTAAGATACAGGTAGTCCTCGACTTACGACCACAACTGAGCCCAAAATTTCGGTTGCTGAGACATTTGTGAAGTGAGTTTTGCCCCATTTTACGACCTACCTTGCCTCAATTGTTAAGTGAATCGCTGCAGTTGATAAGTTAGTAACTCGGTTGCTAAGTTGAATCTGGTTCCCCATTGACTTTGCTTGTCAGAAGGTCACAAAAAGCGATCACATGACCTTGGGACACTGCAACCCTCATAAATAGGAACTAGTTACCAAGCATCCGAATTTTGATCACATGATCCTGGGGATGCCCCAAAGGTCGTAAGTGTGAAAAATGGTCATAATGGTCGTTGTAACTTTGAACGTCTCTAAATGAACTGTTGTAAATCAATGACTACCTGTATAGGCTGATAACCCTGAGGACAACTTTAGCTCAACGTTGGAAAATATATGCCAATAATATCAGACTAGAAAAAGCAAATCTGGAAGACACGCGCAGCGCTGGCTAAATTAACAGTATAGATCAGAACAGTGGGGGATGTGAGTTCTTACACTAAAGCACACATTCTTACATATCGTATCATTATTTGAATTGGTTCAGGTATACAGTTGGTCTTTCTTTTACATAGTCATTCACGTTTAAAAAAAAACGGAACAGTCTTTTACATTTTCCTTGAATGTTGGCTTAGTACAGTGTTTCCCAAACTTGACAATTTTAAGGCATGTGGACTTCAACTCCCAGAATTCCACAGCCAGCAATTGTCAAGTTTGGGAAACACTGGCTTAGTAGAATGAAGTCCCTTCTCATCTAGTATGGGAGGAAATTAAGTTGCTAGGAGAAATGATTTGCTCTGCTTCTCACTGACAACTTGCTGACCTTCCATGCTTGGCTAGAAAAATAAAAACAGAACAATATAATTAGATCTTAGCTCTGCATTCATATTTGAAAAGCCCCGCCGTTTCTCGAACCAATATTGTGCATCCTGCAGATCTTAATATTTCATTCATTGGTTTCTTGAAGCAAAACAGGTTTCCATGTTCAGTGAATAATGGAACAGTCCTGATCAAAGAAGTTTTAATTAGCATTCTGATAGCAGAACCAATAGCTTTCAGTGCCTTTTGGCTGCACGTTTAATATTACAGCACACCGCAATTAAACAGAACAAATTGCCTTCCTGTCTTGACTGAGTAGCACCTCTTCCTGTCTTCTCCATTGCCTTGCTTATTATTTACTGCTCTGAGATAGTGACACACTCATCTTGGTTGTCTTTGTGCCAGCAGGTTACTGGAACATCACTGTGCATGGCAGAAAGCATTCATACCACCTCTACACAAAGTTGTTGAATGAAGCCATGCGCTGGGCCTCTGCCATCCAAGGAGTCATTGACAGCAAAGTTCCCATTGAAACACCCACACAGCAACTTATTTGTGACATTAAGGTAAGTTCCTCCAAGTCTTAATTGAGCTCTACTCAGAAGCCATAGTTGAATCTCCTTCTGGATATGAACACAATTCCGGGTCCTGACCCGCCTTTCTTGTTTTTATCACAAATGCACTTTTTAATGTATGGCTCTTTTGTATTCCTAACCCCATCACTAAATCAGAGACATTTGATAATAATATATAGCTACATACATATGCATTTTTCACCACAAACTTTAGCTACAGTAGTAGATTCCTTGTGGTGTGTTAGACATATATATGTACTACATCAGTGTTTCCCAAACTGCATTGCTGGCTGTGGAATTCTGGGAGTTGAAGTCCACATGCCTTAAAATTGTCAAGTTTGGGAAACATTGTACTACATAATAAAGGCTGCATATTACGTTGCATCAGGAGCCTTATATCATTAGTACATCATACATGTCATACATAGACGATCGCTGGTTCAACTAATGATAAATGTAATTAAAAGTAATGACCTTCCAATATTAACAATAATATTTTCTCTGGAAAAATGAATTGTTATTGGACCAATGGGGGGCGCCTTTTGGGGCACCTTGTATATTTGGGGGGGGGGAGGTGAAGCCATTGGAAACATCTCTGCCACTCTCCTTCTCTCTCCCTGCCCCCTTCTGTTTGCTTCAGGAAAATAATACAAATTCTGAAGTGGTAGAACAGATCTACCGAAGGAATCCCATCCTGAGATACACCCAGCATCCCTTGCACTCACCGCTGCTGCCACTGCCTTATGGAGATGTTGGGATCAACAGTAAGTAACTCTGGCTTTGAGATTTGAGGAACCAAGTCAGAAGGTGCAAAAGAAACAGTTGTCAAAATGTAGCTGGTAGACAGGACAAAATGATGGAGTGTCAAGACTCATATTGAGAAGACTGTAAAAATGAACAGTGCAGTCCTATGGATATTTGATTAAAAAGCAAGATCCACTGATTTTGGTGGGACAAATTCATAGGTAGGCATAGGGGAAAAAAACAATGATTTAGTAGTGAGTTTAGCTGAGTTTTTGTCCTGGATGGAGCACCTTTGTCTTCACAACGATAAAAAAATCATTAATATGCAATTAATAATAGTAATAATATTTAAACTATATCTCACCCAGGCAGAGGAGAGCCCTCATGAATTATGCTGATAATTTGGTTCCCTTTTCCAAGCTAAATAAAATCAGTTTTATTATATTTCTTATTGCATCAGTTATCTTCTTAGCTCAGATGGTCTTTTTTCTGCCTTTCATAGCAAAATAGAATCTAGTGCCTTTCCAGATGGAAAAGAGAAGGTGGTGGAAAATCCAACATTGTTCTAGGAGAGAGATTAGGCACATTAATCTGTGTGACTGCAGTGAATGGGTAGAGCCCCCTTCCCTAATCTACCACTGTCCAGATGTGATAAATTTCATCTATCGTAGCCCAATAACCCCTTGTAGTTTTAGACATCTGGTGGATACCAATTCAGAGAAGGCTAGAACAGATGTTGGTACTATATTTTGCAACCCCCCCCCCCCCCGAGGGACCTATATGTAATTTTCATAAGATTATCGTATTTAAACCTAAAACTGCCTATCAAACAGTTCCAAAGGAGGTACTGTACTAATTGTCCTCTCCCTTGCCTTGTTCTTGTGGTTCTTCTCCCCTTATAGTGCAGCAGGAGAAGGGCTACAGCAGTCTTCAGGATGAAGCCATGAAGATCTTCAACTCCCTTCAGGAAATTGAGTCAGTGTCTGACCCTATCCCCATTATCCAGGGCATCCTTCAGACTTGCCACGATCTCAGGGGCCTCCGCGATGAAGTCTATTGTCAGCTGATCAAGCAAACCAATCATGTGCCACAGCCCAACAGCCCTGGTAATCTTCATCACTGGCAGCTCATGACCTGCATGAGCTGTACCTTCCTCCCCAGCAGGGGAATCCTGCGTTACCTCAAGTTTCACCTCAGAAGGTAAGAGGTATTCTATGCACACCAATGCTTATTGCCCCTGGCTGTAGATCCCAGCCGAAAGTTAAAACTAGATCAGATGCTGGGAGAGATTCTGGTCCATGCTTTATGTCCTGTATATTGTCAAACCCCCGATGCGGTACGTTTTCGTTGCCTCTAACACTCTTACATAGTTCCCCTTTGTTTTTCCCCTGATGCTGTAAAAATGAAAATGTAAAATACTAGTCCTGTAGTCAGAAAACTAAATGCCCTCTGGGGGGGGGGAGATGCACAGATTAGTACAATTTCTTTCAATCAAATGACAGTCATCTTGTAGGTCAGTGGTTCTCAACCTGTGGATCGGGACCCCATTTGGGGTCGAATGACCATTTCACGGGGGTCGCCAAACAACACAGTCCGCCATTTTGTTCCCCCTTTTCCTTAGCTGTGCTACTCCTTTTTATTCTATTGGCTTTTGAAAGCCAATAGAATAGACTCTCTTGAATAGAGTCTAATTCTATTGGCTTTCAAAAGCCAATAGGAATTGTCCAGGCTGTCTCTGCCCTGCTGAGCCCGCCAAAAGTCCCATTCTGCAAACGGTGCTGCACCAGTTGAGTAGTCCTCGACTTACGACCGGTTGGGGGTCGTGGCATTAAAAAGGTTGAGAACCACTGTTGTAGGTGATAAGTAACTTATAGCCTTTGAATGAGTTTGGCTTCTCTCCTGCCACGATGCCCAGGGTTTTGGATCATCGTGGCTTATAGGGCACTGTACCTCTTCTTTTCTCATCCCAGAGTAAAAGATCTCTTTCTGGGCACGGAAGTAGACCGGTATTCTCAGTTCATCACCGATTCACTGAAGAGAACTAAGAGCAGAGAATTTGTCCCCTCCCAGGAGGAAATACAAGCACTTATCGCTCGGCAGGAAATGACCACGACTGTTTATTGCCACGGAGGAGGTTCCTGTCAGATCACTATCAATTCTCACACCAGTGCAGGGGAGGTAAGACTAGAATAAGCTTTTGGAAAGTTGGGCTGCCTAGGAGCTCTATGATTGCTGTCTCTTCACTGACTGATCCAAGAAAGAATTAAAACATTGGAAAAGGAAGCTCTCTCTTCCCTTTGGATCTACAGGCCAGTTCCTTAGAAACTGTCTCTCAAAATGTACATCCTTTGTCCAATCTGTTTGTAGCCTTTCCCAATCGTGTCTTATAGTAGCCCAATTCCGTTTTTGAACAATGATAGAATAACAAAGATAGAATAACAAAACAAAGATAGAACAATGATAGAATAACAAAGATGATTAGGGGACTGGAGGCTAAAACATATAAGGAACGGTTGCTAGAATTGGGTATGTCTAGTTTAACGAAGAGAAGGACAAGGGGGGACATGATAGCAGTGTTCCAATATCTCAGGGGCTGCCATAAAGAAGAGGGAATCAAGCTATTTTCCAAAGCACCTGAAGGCAGGACAGAAGCAACGGATGAAAAGTAATCAAGGAGAGAAGCAAACTAGAACTAAGGAGAAACTTCCTGACAGTGAGAACAATTAATCACCAGCCTCCCAAAGCAGTAAATGCTTTAGTTTTTAAGAAGCAGTAAATGCTCCAACACTAAGTTTTTAAGAAGAGACTGGACAGCCATTTGTCCGAAATGGTGTAGGGTTTCCTGCCTGAGCAGGGGGTTGGACTAGATGACCTCCAAGGTCCCTTCCAACTTTACTACTACTATTATTATTATTATAACTTGGACGGGCTCAACTTTCCTACCTTCTCTCTCTCTCTCTGTCTCTACTTTCAGGTCGTAGAGAAGCTGATCCGGGGGCTGGCCATGGAAGACAGTCGGAATATGTTTGCCCTCTTTGAGCGCAATAAGCATGTAGATAAAGCCATTGAGAGCCGGGTGATTGTAGCAGACGTTTTGGCCAAGTTTGAGAGGTAGGAAAAATCACTGTACTTGGACTTCAAGTGTGTAAGACATAGCTGTAAAGTTGAGTGTCCATAGTGTGAAAATGCTCATACAAATTATTTAGGCCCCATCCCTTCTATTTAAGTTTAATCTTTGTTTCTTGCTAAGAATTTAGTCTGTGCTTCTTTCTAAGAAAGCTGTGGCTCATTTGCAATACCATGCTTTGTATATCTAAATCTGTGCTTGCACAGAGTTACACACGTGTCCTGAAAAATGGAGGACAAAGTGTTTTTAAGCTCCTTCTGTTTCTTGCTCCCCCTCAGACATGGGCCATATGTTACCCCATTAGCTATAATGCCTGAAGTCACTTGCCACAAGCAGCATTAGCATCTCATGACTTGCTTTGTCCCTATTCCTGCTACTATTTGCAGTGATATGAAAATGGTGGTGGTTTTCAGTAACACCCCTGTGACATCTTAGTCTTCTTCTTGATCTGTGACCCAAACTCTCCTCCTGTGTGTCTAGACTTGCTGGATCCATGGAAGAGGATGTGGATGGCCACTGGCAGCTGTATTTTAAACTGTATTGTTTTCTTGATATTGAAAATGTTCCCAAGGAGGGAGTGGAATTTGCCTTTATGTTTGAGCAGGTAAGCCTTTTATGACACAAACTAAGGAGCTTGATCCATGCAACTTAATTGGGTCAAGGATGGATGTAGCACGTTAGCAAATGGTGAAATTTAATCAGCAGTGGGATTTGGAGAGGTGTCATTTTAACCCAAGGAGCCTGTTTTAGGTGAAACTATCTTCAGTTTGCTAGCAATGACAAGCAAATCCCCAAACTTAATCAACAATGGGCAGGTCTTAAAGCACATCCACCATTCCTTGACAAAAAAAAAAAAAAAAAAAAAAAATTGGAGCTATCAGGAGGCTGAAAAACATGTCTCCATTTCAGAGTTCAGTACCAAGAGCTTGAGATGTTCAACATCGGAACACATCTCCTCGAGCTGTTTCTGCCTTCTATGCAACCAGTGGGAAAGGGGGCAATGAGGTGATGAAGGCTTGCTTGCATTCCATTGGTGGGAAGGCTATAAAAAAAAACAAGGCAGAACTGGAAAGAGTAGATGGGATTCCCTAAAATGGGAGTTCTTGGTGCAGTTAGTGAGAGTATGCGCTGCCAGGAGCATTGATCACGACTGGATTAGGAGCTGACTGGGCCAAAGGTTTTACACCAACAGATCAGGTGGTTGGTGTTTAGATGGATCAGACTGAGATGAAAAGAATTAGCCTGCTTTGGCACATTGCTGCGAACAAACCAAATTGATCTACTTTACCTGAGAAAACAAGACATGAATTATAATATTGTAATTATGATAAAATGGAATTCCAAAGTCAGGAGAGTCTATGCTGTTGAGCATCATAATAGCTGCAAGCTCACATCTTGCACATTTTAGTAGTAGTAGTAGTAGTAGTAGTGAGATATATGTCCTGAAATGTGATACTATTTACTATACCATACAGTACGGCACGGCACTATAAACAAATATAAAAGGCTGGGAATAATTGTTAACTTCTGACCTTAACAGGCTCATGAAAGTCTCATTGATGGCCATTTCCCTGGCCCAGAGGAGACCCTGCAACATTTGGCATCGCTGAGACTGCAGTATCTTTACGGGGACTATTCCAAAATCTCCTGGTCCCTCGATAACGTCTATCCAGTGAACCGGCTGAAGTCAAAAATTCTGCAGTCAATGAAAAGTAGCGGTTCCAGCAGCCAGGTTCTGGAGAGAAGGCGGACTAGCTTCCTGGAGGGCACTCTGAAGCGTGGCTTCAAGGCAGGCTCGGTGAAGAAGCAAAAAGTGGAAGAGGAACAGATGGCAGAGATGTGGGTGAAAGAAGAACTCTCAGCAACTCGGGCCAGCATAACAGAAAAGTGGAACAAGCTGCAGGGGTTGCTACAGCAACAGGCCATGGTGGCTTACATGGCAGTCATGAAGGAATGGTCAGGTTATGGCTCCACTCTCTTTGACGTTGAGGTAAGAGAGACATAGAAGCATGTGTGAGGGTAAAGGACTGCGATGCTCATCAGCAGCACTATCTCTGTACATACCTCCACCCGTAGCCCAAATGTTAATTGGTTTTGGTGTGTATGTGGAATATTGGCCTCTATCCACCTGACATCTTCTAGCTCTGGGTTCCATTTGGACAAACAATCCGAGGAAGGAAACATAGCATGAAACAAAGGTTTTGCCTTTTTCAGTATTCCCAGCTGCCAAGGAAGGAAGGAAGGAAAGGAGGGACAATGTAAAGAAGAAAACTGGGATGGCAGTAAGAAAAAGAAGGAAGCTGGGGGTGAACATACAGTATGCATGTTGGTGATTCTAGATTTATATTGCATTGTGAGATTCAGATAACACCTTTTGTATTTAGGATCATAGGAAAGTTATTTGATTTCTGGAATCACCTGTTCATCTTTGTTTTGTGACTGGATGTGCCCACTATGAAAGTCACTTTGGGATGTAGCATTCCCACATTGCTATTTTTTTTGTCATGTGCCCAGGATATTTTTCTAAAAATTTCGACTATGCCCCTTTGCTCAAAACGTCTGTAGATAATTCTTGCACCTGAGTTAATGGCTTCTGAAGTATCTCTTATGCATGTTACTTCAGCATCTTTATTTTAAAAAATCTTATATTGTTGTGTTATCCCTGTTAAGAACAGTACCTGTTCTTCAATAACTTGCTGAAGAGCTTGTGCGACATAGAAATGAAGAAGCTCAACAGAACACTGGAGAGTTCCAGATTCAAATTTTCACTTCGCTGCACTAAGCTGGGATTTTAACAGGGATGGGTTCTTTCACAATTCATTGCTTCAGTTACAATAGTGGCTCTTAATATATCACTTCTGAACATGGACACTTCCAATGTTCTGTCTGGATAAAGGACTATTTTTGTTGGGACAGGAAAGTGTGTTGAGTCCAGTTGCTAGAGTTGGGCACTAGATAGTGTACGGAACATACAGACCTGAGCTAATAACTTGCGCGGAGGGTGTGTGTGTGTGTGTTCTGAAAGACATCCTTAAAGGATAGATTTGTACTTGCAAAACATTTATTTCAAGTTCCATCTTCCTTCCCTTTCCAAAGTTTCCGTTGCTCCTTTCCCAATTTATCCCACACATTTAATAACTCTTAAAAGTGACATCAGTGGCTAGAACCCCTCAGCACAAAGTGTAGAACAAGCTAAGGCCTAGATCAGTGGTGGCGAACCTATGGCACGGGTGCCAGAGACAGCACTCAGAGCCCTCTCTGTGGGCACGCGCGCCGCCGCTCCAGTCCTAGGCCTTCAGCTGGGTTTTATAAAACCTTTTCGTTTTAGGCCTCCGCCGCCATGTGCCAAAAAAAAAAAAAAAAAAGGTTCAGTCAATTTCAACTTCTCGTGGGGGAAAAAAAAAGATCTTGCAAAGTTAGAATTGATTGATTGAACTTTTTAGTCCCACCCAGTCTGCCGTTACCACCGCAGCCACGCCCAATGGGCCACACCCAGCCAGTGGGCCACACCCAGCCAGCACTTGACGATGCAAAAGTGCGTTTTGGGTTGCAGTTTGGGCACTCAGTCTCTAAAAGGTTTGCCATCACTGGCCTAGATAGTTTCATCTCCCAAAACAATTGGCTCTCTTTTTTCTTTTTCTTTCTTTTCTTTTCTTTTGTAGGTGGAGAAGTCCTTGTATTAAAGGATAGCATATTTCTGAGTAAATAAGCTGTTTTAATACTTTTCACCTGAGAAATATTTGCAAAAAGCACCAGTGGTAAAAGACCAGCAGTTGGAGGGGGCCTGAGGCTGGGGTGGGGAAAAGATCTGTTTATTCATCACGTGTGCTTCCTGTCAGTTTTGACCAAATGCAGCTTCCTTGGTTATACCATTCCTGTTTGCTAACACATCATGGTTTTGTTTTTTTTCCTATAGTGCAAAGAAGGGGGCTTTCCAAATGACCTTTGGCTCAGTGTCAATACAGAGAATGTGTCACTGTACAAACGGGGGGAGCCAAAGCCTCTGGAAACTTTCCAGTATGAGCAGATTATCTTCTTTGGAGCTCCCCAGCCCAACACCTTCAAGCTAACTGTGGATGAAAGAGAGATGTACTTTGAAACCCCCCAGGTACATTTTAGGGGATTCTTGTCTCAAGAATTCAAGCAGGACAAGACTGATGGGTTAGACCAGGGGTTCTCAAACATTTTGCTCACAGGACCCTCTGACATTTTTAAAAATGATTGAAAAGGGATTCTAGTACAATACACCATTCAATATATGCACTGTACTACGTATTAAAACTGAGAAATACAAGAATATTTGACTTTGCAGGCTTCCTCAAGGGTTTCAATGACCCCCAGGAGTCCTCAGACCACATTTTAAGATCCACCAGGCTAGAAAAAATATAAGGTAGAGAAGCTGATTATATAACTTTAATTGGAAAGTTAGTTGGCTAGTAAGAATATCAGGCAATCCCCTCAAAGATCGAGTTTGCCTTCTGCTATTTGCTCTACTTTCAGAGCAGGAAACAAGCTTTGACCTTCTAATATACCTTTGGTTAATCTTGGGTAGATCAGCAAGGGCTTCTGAATTTTTTAGCAGTAACAAGAAAAATAATCTTTTAAAACTGCCATAGTTAGCTTTCTCTGAATATTTTTTCTTGGAGGAGGAGGAGGAATTCTTTTTCTAAGATGATAACAATACAAATGAGTTTCTTAATCAAGATATACCTCTCAAGCTCTTAAAATGGGCATTTTAAGCATTTACTAAAATGCTTGAAGAAAGGTAGAATTTTAATAAAATGACCTAAAAACTGTTTAGCAAGTGTCAGAGCTTTAATTAATTACTTGATTTAGCCATTCTAATGCTTCCATATGTATACTGATTTTATCTTCTGTTACTTCCAGCCAGTGAAATGGTTATTTATGCTTATTGGAAATTATAGATGCTACAGATCAGTACACATCTGGGGAATCCTAAATTGCGTATTGAAGGCTTATATTTCAATCACAATATAGCATTGTTGATTTGTAAAATATGTCTTCAACTTGTCTTGGAGACTGAGATACCACAGTGATTTCGTAGTTTACTGAAGGGTTTTGATAATTCTCTTTATTTCATTAGGTGGGAGAAATAATTAAAATCATGAAGGCTTACATCAACATGATTGTGAAGAAATGCTGTAGCATCAGATCAGCCACCAGCTTGGACAGTCATGCGAGTATCTGGATGAGGTGATTGGATTTGCAGAGTTAATTATGCTGCTTAGAAGGACGTGTGCTATGACTCAGCCAAATTTGTAGCAGATTCATTTTGTAAGAAAACATTACTCCATAATTCTCCTTCCAGCATCTTGCCTGACAGAACATCCAGATCTTTCAAAATTAAAATCAGAACCTCACAGGCCAGATCCTGAAGCAGTTTTACGTGAATTTTCCCTGAGCCCACTCTTATGGGTCAGATCTTACTGCAAGGATAAAGCAAGAGCCATCTTTGCTTGAAAGATCATGGGAAAACCTTTTCTGCAATAAAAGCAGCAGGAGAGTTGCTAAGCTAGTATCAGCAAGAATTCCACATCTGAAAGAGATTGTAAGCTCTTCATTGGGTGTGTGATTTCTCAGGAATGAGCTGCTACATCTCAACAGACTTCCTCTTTCCAAGACTTACTATCACCAGTGGCTTCAAGCAACAATTTCAGCTTCCAAATCAATTTTCAGTACTACGTCCATAGGTTTGGGACTCCTGCTACATGGGAGATCAGCTGTCACAAGGCTGCATAAATGTAAAGACATGGCACTGTTCCTTCTTGAAGTCCTTCATAACTTTTCATGCTGCATGCTTGGGGAAGTGCCACTTAGTAGAAAAACATTTATCTGGTTCATTCAGAGGATAAAGTCAAAGTTTATATTCACTTGTATGCTGCAGTTTTCTTTCTTCCTTGGCAAGGAGTTTAGACTTTGCAGTATTTTTTTTTAATCTTTTGTTTTTCTGCACTGCCATCATATATAAGCAATGGGAAAAATTGGTGGCAAGATGGATAGAAAGATTTCTTCTCTAATCTTAGCCTGATGAGTGCGTTCTCCTCTGTTCCGATGCATCCTAGATATGTTGATGAAATCGTAACTGAATACAACTGAAGGGTGCCAGGCTGGACAAAGATATTCTGAGCCTAAGACTAAATGTGATTTGTGTAGAAAATAACACATTGGCTCACTTGCACTGAAAATATTTTTGAAAACCCTTAAAGAAAATACTGCGATAAAATACTCCGAATTCCTTACTAAGAAAAAAGAGGCTCTGAACCCTTAATACTGTTTGTGCAAAATAAACAGGTTTATCCAAGAAATGGAAGAAATTAGGGACATGATGAAGCTCCTGTCTCAAAGTATGAAAATCTGGCTCTCTCGGTGTTGTCCAGAGGCTTTAGATGAGGACTCCCCCCGCCCCTTTCTACCAGCTATGGCAGCTGGGACTAAAGAAGAATCAAAATATCTGAGAGCACAATGTTCCCAGTGTAAGTATTATTTCACAATTTATAATTGAGACATCCAGGCTCTTGAATTGGGTGCTCCTGCCCAATCCTGAATTTATATTATTTTCAGTCATAGTACAAATGTTTGCCACTACTAAGCAACATCTCCCAGACTGGGCCGCCTCCTGATGTGTGAACTTCAGCTCTTGGGAGTTCCCCAGGCTGAGGAATGCTGAACTAGAGATGTCTATCACCTTCTGGAAGTTTTTCATGCTTTGTGTTTAGGGAAATGCCACTTAACAGAAAAAAAAAAAAAACACTTATCTGGTTTATTCAGAGGATAAGGTTACATTTTATATCCAGCTCTGTGCTGCAGAATGTCCAGCCCTCCCAGAACCCAAAGAAAACGGACCTCCGCAAAGGATTTTCCAAGCAGTGACCTTCCATTCCCTCCTGTGTGTCTGGGACTGCAAATGAGGATCGTGACTAGATGAACAAAATCTCTAGGTCTCGATGACTACAACTGCCATCTTTTCATTCTCTGCCACAATGGAGGAACAATTAGAGACACCCCCAAATATTTGGTGCACGTAATGTGATTACATAGGTCAGGCTGGGATCTAAACATCACAATTCACCTCTCTATAGATACTGCCTTAATATGTCAGGCTGAGTCCCATTCAGTTGCCCTCTCTTGCCTCTTTTCAGTTTCTGAAAGTGGAAACGAGGAGACTGGTAGAAGCGACACGTGACCTTATTTTTTCATTCAGTACGTTCTCTAGGTCGGACAGGCTTCCTCTCAGCCAAGTGCCCCCCCCCCCCATGGATCAAAAATTTCAGTCACTGCAGCTGGCATGTTATATATTGGAGCGTGCCAATTAGTTTTCATACATGGAGGACACTACTTGGAGGAAGCCTGGACTTCAATCTCTATAATATATTCCTCAGCTCCCTTGAACCCGCAATACCACTATACTGATACAGTATATCCTGGCTCACGGGTTGCTGCAGGCAGCTAAAACCCAATTGGGAATGTAACGGACATTAATTGTATTGCAGATTTATTTCTGCACTTCTTTTAATTTGTAACTGGCTTTACAAAATGGAGGTTTAATAAATTATTGATTGCGTAATTGTTTTCCTTTGGGTTTTTTTTTTGTTTGTTTGCAGACTTGGTTTGAAGCAATGAAATACCTCATTTCTTGTGATTTTTTTCCTCCATATAACCAACATTGCTTCTTCGCACACTTAAGATACTCCAAAACATTTATGACAGCTAATTCTAATTCGATAGGAAAAAATGCTTTGGGATCAGGATTTGATATGAGGATATTAAAGAAGCTCTCCCTGGGCCATGTTTTGATAATTTTAAAAAAAAATCACTTCCTAGGAAGCAGAATTTGCACTTGCTTTCTTAAAATGTTATATTTATGTTGATTTCCCATATGACTTGCTAAACCCTATCTAAACTCCTGAACAGATCAGCCTTATGTGATCCGGCTTCATCCAATTAAACTGGTCTATGATTTCTAGTTCATTTTTTTAAAATACCTTTTCGTAAGTTCTTAGACCATTATGCTCTTCTCAATGTCAGCTCAAAGCAAAATAGATAAAACGCCAGGCCCTAAGATGAGCAAAATTTCAAACTTCTATTTCCACTAACACTTTTCGTACAGAACTCTAAACTGTAATCTGTTAAACCATAGTAATGAAGGCAAGGCTGCAAGAACAATGAGATACGTGTACCTCATGATTTTTTTTTTACACCTCCTTTGCTCTCATTCTGACCCTGGAGACATGGGCCGGGCTAAACTGAAAAGGGAACAAGTTCACAAGCCATACAAGGCACAAGAAAATGCACTGTGCAATATAGATGTATAGATAGCCCTGTATTAGACTTCTAATTTGGTTGCTTCTCATTTTCCCTGAAAGACAGCTGTTGATTCAGGGATGTGCAGGCAGAAAGATAGGCCTGTGGAAGAGAAAAGTGCCTTTGCTAATGGCAACACTATCAAGCAAGACAAATTAGTTTATTAAGGGGAAAGCTGTAACATCCTATTAAAGCCACACCTTAAAGAAGCCACACAGATAATATCCCGAGCAAAAAATATTCTTTAATTCGAACTGTTACATGTTGCCTTCTGCCAGCATGTGGAAGCTTTGCATCACAAAACACTTTAGTAATGGGTTCTCATTTCCATTACTGGGCATCCTTATGGTGCTGAAGATGCATCCATAAATTTCACCATCATTGTCATTACCAGGCAACTCTGGTTTAGAAGCCATCAAAGCATATTTTTAGTCTATAAGAGCTCACAAAAAAAGGCACAGCAAATAGCAGCCAAGAACTAACATCTGGAGAGCAGCTCTAGCTATACAAATGCACAGCTTTACCAACATTTGGGACGTACACAGGGAAACCAGGTGTATTTTCTTCCAAGGAGTCATGGATTGGATTGAGATTAATTTATTTGAACTCGGGGAGTCCCTTGAAATAAAAAGTAAATCATGAAATCCCCTGCAATTTAGTGAGAGAAATATACATAGACTAGATCTAATTCATGGCCCTTAAAAGACGACAAACAATTTTAGAAGTAAAATTAGTGAACGGCCAGCTACAGGTCTATAGCAAATCTGGAGAGGTTCACAGGCAACTTTGGCAATAGAAATTTTGAGGAGGCAGGATGGAAGGAAACATCCCTGTCCTGTCCCCAGTAGGAAACAATTCTCAGTCTCATCCATCACAGGAAAGAAAAAAAAAAAACCATATACTCTCCTGTTCTGCATAGCTCAGCTTCTTCATTTAGGTCCTCTTTGGCCGTGCTTCCCAAAGGCAGCCCAAATTCAGCTAGAAAGCTCCCAATTATGGAAAGCTTCACTCACCAGACGTGTCCCTTGTTCTGGTCTTATTAAGGAACATTTTTTCACCCTGTCTCCTGGCTGCAATCAATAGATAGACGCACACAGAGACACATGGATACAAACACACTAATCAGATCCTTGATCCTAGATTGGAAATCTGCCAAGAAAATGTATGAGGCGTTGAAAGATTCCCCCCGCCCCCAGCAGCAACACAAAGGACTACTATTCTCCATTACTTGGGAATGGGGAGTAGATTGGGAAGCCCCTAGGAGGGACCTTCATTCTCGGACACTATACCATTAAAAACAAGACAGTCAATAGTGCTCCAGTTTGGAGTGGTGAGGATTTTCTTGTCCAAATCCAGCAAGGTAATCCCCATACAATTCCTGCAGCAAACAGTACAGGAATGGGGAAACTCAGCTACAGAGTTTTCCTTCTGGAGGGAGGCACTGACAACGGTTTCACAGCCCAAGCTGAGGCTGGCTTCTGTAAAAAGGAAAAAAACAGCTCAGGACTGCACGCCCGTCTCCTCCTTGCTCCGCTCAAGAACAAAACTCAGAATGGGCACATTTTGAACAAGGAGTGGCCGCAGAACCTAAGCCCACAGACTGCTTTGCCAGTAACTGCTACCAATGGAGGAAAGTTTAAGAAGTGATGGTTTTTACGGCGGAGATTTCTAAAGCAGTCAGAAGCTATCGAGAGGGTGGAGTACAGCGCCCAAGATAAGATAGATAGCCTTTATTGTCATTTTTTTAATGTGGGCACACTGGCACACATTAAAAATGAAATTCTGTTGCTTGCTCTCAAAAGTGTACACATACATAAGTGTACACTACTCCAATACGTAGACGAGATAGGCCACTAGCATCACCTTTGCTCCTATGGCTTCTACAGAGAGAAGGAAAGAAAGGTGTCATCCTATTTTAATTAGGGAGCCACACCCACCAGGTGTCTCTTCTTCTATATATATCAAGCCCAAGTAGCATTGAGTGGGAACTCAAAAGTCCTTTGGCAGGCAAACTACAGCAGCTCCACCAATCCAAGGCTGGAAAGAAATAATACACATCCCTACAACTCAAGACTCAACCAGCACGGGATTCTTTCCCCAGAGGTGGGCTGAGGAGTTTGCCAGCACAGCCACGTCACTACAGCAGACATGAGCTCCAGCCTTTTCTCTTTGCTTTCCCTTCTTAACCTGCAACAGAGACGCTCACTATACTTCTTGGTTAGAAAGGAAAGTTGGGGGTGGGAGATTATTGAATATAATCCTATATATTCAAGTAGTAGCAAAGATTGGGGAAAAGAATGCCTAACTGAGACTGTGTATGTGCTTACATGACTCTAAAGAGAGGGAGCGGAGATGATATTCAAGAGCCCATCCCCTCCCAGACTCCTCATTCCTGGCATCCCCTTTTCTCTTGCCCACATCTCAGATGTGGAAGCCTCTGCTGTTTCTAGAGATCAGATGCCCCTATGCCCAGCCTTTCCACCAGCAGCTGAAAGGAGATTTGGAGATGGAAAAGAAGCCTCAATTCAAAGCAAAACCTTCAGCCAGAGCTTTTGCCAGCCCTTTCGTAAGACATCAGCCCACGAAAGTAAGTTTCCTTCCTTGTGCTCAGATGACCAAAAGGCACCATGTGTGGTGAAGTAGGAGAATAAAATCAATTATAAGAGAAAGGTAGGCTCCCAACCTAAGTGGCAGATACATTTCTGGGCATGCCTTCCACCCTGCTTTGGCTTGGAGAATCCGAAATGTTTTCTTGCCGTATCTAACCCTGGCAGTAGCAAATAGTGCTATTGGCATGGAGAGTACAGACTTTGTTGGCAAGAAAAGCTGGCTCCCTCCAAGATTGATGCGGAGGGTGGGGATAAGCCTGACAAGGAGCCACATACCACATTTACACAACTTCTCCCTGGACAGGCTCAGATATAAAGCCAGAGCTGTCGTGAGCGAGAGCAGCAGCAGCAGGTCCAAGGACTACTGGGAAAAGATGCCTTTGAAACGGATCTTATCCTCGTCATCTTTTGCACGCAGGCGGGCCTCCAAGTTGCGCAGCTCCCGGGTTACCACTGGGGTCAGCGATGGATCCAACTGCAAAACTTTGGCAAAATCGGCCTGAGCCTCAGTTGCGTTCCAGACGGCGGCATGAGCCTTGGCTCTCTTGAAATAGGCCTTGACGTTATCTGTGGGGGAAGTGGCCATTTGAATAAGGCAGGATCCATGGCCTGACCACGACCCCCGAAGGCCTGCTCTAGTTTCAGCCTTGATGTTTCTCCTCCCCATTAGTCAGCCACATTTTAGACTTTTCTACCCTTCAAGCCCACCGTGGCTCTTCAGTAGCTCACAAGCCTCCTTACCTTCATACTTGTTCAGAATAGAAGAGCAGTGATCCAGCACTTCATAGTACTCCTCATTCAGCAGCTTACACTGACAATAATTCAACAATAAAGGAGTGATCTGTTGGTCCAGCTGGATCCAGTCTGGAGATCCTGGCTGCTCCTATGGCATGGGACAAGAGAAAGGGCACAAAGCATGGGTCAGTTGTAGCAATGTCTGTCCACAGGCCAGAACCCTTGTGGGACAGCCTTTCAAGTTCCAATCCACATGCAGCCAACGGAAGGGACAACTTGCCTCAGCCAGCTCGCCTCAGCCAACTTGCTGCAGGACAACTCACCATGGCCAACTCACCACGGGACAATTCACTGAGGGAGAATGCAGCAATTCAATTTAATTATTTAAAATAATTTTAAAAATATTTAAACTTTTTTCATTCATATTCCACTTTGTCCTTTCTTTGTTATCCTTTCTTTAATGATTCTATTCCACTATTTCTTCAATATTAGTGCAACTCTTGTCCCGTGGAGAGTTGTCCTGTGGCAAGTTGGCCATATCGAGTTATTTTGTGGCAAATTGGCCATGACGAGTTATCACAGATCCTGCAGCCAAGTCCTTAGGAAAATATAAAAGATGGTAAATAGGAGAGAGAACCTTTTCCACACAAAACTGCCTATCTTTCTCTAACAAGGACTACATCACACCTTGAGATGAAATGACAAAGAAAATTTCAGATGCCAATTTCAACAGAGAAAACATAGAGGAGGAAAAAAAACACACTGCAGATTCCATGTTGCACACCAGTCTGCTAGCATATTAATTCTGACTTGGGAGCCTTTTTATGTGTGTGTTCTGATGAAGAGAGAAATTGTGCACATCTTGACAAATTATGTTACAGAAGCCATTCTGGCTGCTTGTCAGATCCTGTCATGGAGCTGCACAAGTGAAGACAAATGCTATTGCTTTGATATTATTATTTGGAGGATACACTCCCTCCCTCTAACTGGAACTGGGCCAGGAGTGCTCCAGAGTAGCTTAGCAAAAATGGTTCCAATGGTTTAGCACGGATCCTCCTTAGTGGTGTGAGTATGCACAAACTGGGACAGGTGCAGAAGCATCTAGGTACATTGTTTCAGATGAGGGCACACCTGGAATTTGGAGAATACTGTACATGATAAGTACATACATTCACAACAAGGCTATCAAGGGAAAATTTTCTGGGAGCAAATCCATTTAGGTGCCCAGGAATTAGCAAATTATCTACAATCTGAAGGGGTCTTTCTTGGGCCCAAAGGTCTTGTTGCCTGACAACAATATGAAATATTGAAATATCTGCAGAATACCAGTTTCCTTTGCATTTTTAAAATTGAATAATGTTTATAAATTTAGGTAGGATAGAGAACTTGGTGAACCCCAAACGATACACCTGAAGGCATAGCACTACCCGTACCCCCCATTTTAGGCACAATAAAACCAATGTTGAATAACTAGGAACCCACTGCCTGAACAGAAGAAATCTCATTCACAGACTATTCAATCCAGCGCAAAGATTGTTCTGATCAGGCCAAGCTTTAGCTAGTCACGAAAATGACCTAACTACATTTCTACCTGCACAATGAAATGAGTTAGGAGTTCTGCTTAATCTAGGGTGGAAATCCCTCACTGATTTGGCATTTGCTGCCCTGAATCTTATACGAGCGAAAAGCCCCCAGGGAGGCACATCATGAATCACCTTCATTTGCAGGTTCTTAAGGCAAGCAATGGCATCATAGTACTTGGCAGCCGCCTCTTGCACTTTGCCATCCTTGAAGAGCTCATTGCCCTCCTGGTGGATCAGGGGCACAGCCATCATCTTCTCCTCGTCTGACATAGCCCATGGATCCTGTCGGTATGTGCCAGGCCTTTCCACCTGGCGCAGCACAAGGCAACAAGCAAGGTTAGATCACGGTGCTAGAGAAAGCAGGCCCGTAAGAACCAGCCTGCCTTTGTCACCCCAGGCTCTAAGGCAGTGGTTCTCACCCTGTGGGTCGAGACCCCATTTGGGGTCGAACGACCATTTCACGGGGGTCGCCAAACAACGCAGTCTGCCATTTTTTTCCCCTTTTCCTTAGCTGTGCTACTCCCTTTTATTCTATTGGCTTTTGAAAGCCAATAGAATAGACTCTCTTGAATAGAGTCTAATTCTATTGGCTTTCAAAAGCCAATAGGAATTGTCCAGGCTGTCTCTGCCCTGCTGAGCCCGCCAAAAGTCCCATTCTGCAAACGGTGCTGCACCAGTTGAGTAGTCCTCAACTTACGACCGGTTGAGTAGTCCTCGACTTACGACCGGTTGGGGGGTCGCGGCATTAAAAAGGTTGAGAACCACTGCTCTAAGGTGTTGGAAGAGAATCAGTGCAATGGATTGGGAAAGGCACTAGGGAGACCTGGATTTAAGGGCATTTTCAGCCACAGAAACTCCCTGGATAACCTTTGACCTTCCTAATCTATCCCCCAGGGGAAATTATTGTAGAGAAAAATGCGATGTGGAGGTGCTGTGCATGCTGCCTTGAGCTCCCAGACAAAGGAGAGATATGTATGTATCTAACAAATGAGTAAAATAATGGAAAAGGTGTCTCAAAGTTGAAAACGTTGACGCAGGATAAGAGGGAAAAGAAGGGCTTGCATTACTTCAAACAGCTTCTTTCCCTCAGTGGGATAGCAAAAAGCATGCTGCCTTTCCCCTTAAAATAAGACCCATTAAAATGATGGTAGAAATCCCATGTATTTGTGCCGGGAATTCGTTCCCAACTTCTATCTGAAGGCATCTATCTTCTCCTTGATTTGTGGAGCCATATACTCAAGTTAAGTAAGAGACTCCCACACATATGAAGCCCAATTGCCCTCCTTAACCTGTCTAGCCCAGAGGACCTCACCTTTCCTTCCCCCTCACCTTGAGCACTTCAAAGGCAAAGATGAGGGGCTGGGGGTTCTGCTGGAGCTCATCAAGGTCTGGGTAACCCAGCGAATGATGCTCGTGCATCTGGGCAATGCCACAGCAATGTCGTTGTCCCTCCAGAGGATCTTTCCCAGCTGCAATGTTCCTCAGGCTCTTGGACACCATTGGATATAAGACCACATGCTGGAGAAGCAGGAGAGGGAGAGAAAAATGGCACAGTCAAGAAGGACTAAATGTATTTCCCCAATTAGGAAAAATGAGGGACGTTTACTTGTTATAAAAGAAGGAAACCTAGCGTTCCTTTACTCATGACAGAGTCAATACTAGATCAAGGTCCCTTTATGAGTCACAATAGAAGAATTTGGCAAGGGCCTTTTTCCTACTTCTGGAAAAGTGGATTCCGGCACTAGGCAGGGGGTTAGGCAAAATGATCTCCAAGTCTCTCTCTCAACCTCACCTTGTAAGTATATTTTTTAATTAAAACTTTTAAACAGGAAAATAAAAACTAACACAAACTAATGGATAGTAATAAAAGACAAAAGAAATAAGAAAAGGCAAAAATGTGCAAGAAAAGGGGGGGGAGTAAAATAAGAAAGAAAAAAAAAGATACATTTTGATATTCCTCACAGCGGTTAGAAGTACAAATATATTTTGACCTCTCTCTGAAGTTACATCATGTTACTCCTCTTTCTATAATCTATTCTGTCTAATCATCACAAGGATGTCACAAGTTAATTTTTTTCATTTTTATGCTAAATCCATAACAAGCTTTTGGTCAGTAAAATAGATATGTCTTTTCTCTCATCAAAGTTAACTATCCATTTCAGCAAAATCTTTACCAACCATTCCTCTCTAATACTGTGTTTCCCCAAAAATAAGACATGGTCTTATATATATATATTTGCCTTCAAAAGAAGCATTAGGTCTTCTTTTGGGGGAATGTCTTATTTTTTTATTGTCTCGCCTCGTGGCAGCAGCACCACTGATAACCCCATCCAGCAGGAGCCCGTGTGACCGCCACTGGCCAACTTCTGCAGCCATTCGCCGCCGCCCGCATGTGTTGCTCCCAGTCTCCGGCAGAGGCCTTCAGGAAAGACCTCTGCTGGCGAAACAGAGGCTGGGGGGGGGCAACATTTGCATCAACCCCTAACTCCATTCTCAGCTGCAGAGGCCTTTCCTGAAGGCCTCTGGCTCCTGCTGGACAAAGCTGTTGGTGACACCGCCATGAGGTGAGGCAGGTGTTGGGGCATGGGAGACCTCACTACAGAGGTCCTGAGATAAGCGGGTGCGGGACATGTGGGGCAGCTCTACCCTCTCCTCCACCTGCCTCGCCTTACCTCGCGGTGGTGGCATCACGAACAACCAGACAGAATGGGCGGGCAGCCAGCTGCGCAGGCTTTTAACTAGGCCTTATTTTGGGGAGGTAGGGTTTGTATTAGGCCTACACATAAAAATCAAGCTAGGGTTTCTTTCCGGGATAGATCTTATTTTCGGGGAAACATGGTAAGTAATGTCACATCCTTCTACCTCTGAATACAGCAATCTCACTGCTGTGATCGTATATTGAAATGATATTCCAGGGTGGGTTTTTTTTTTAACTCCAACCTTACATTCTAAGATTGTATGAATTCTTTTCCAGATTCTCCCCAGAACAGGCATGAGAAATACCTTTGTGTCACACAAGAATTCAGCCACCTCGCCCTCCCGCATGCTGTGCAAGATGGTTTCCCAGACAGGCAATTTGAATTTCTTGCCGAAGATCAGCTCCATAGGTTTGTCCCGGGCATGACTATCATCTAGTACTTTCTGATCTGAACTGCAAAGCATTGTGCAATAGTGGAAAGTAACCTGAAGAGAATCAGAAGCAGAGCAGCAGAGTAGGTCACCTCACCAATCTACCAGAACAGACTGCAGGTAGTCCTTGAGTTATGACCATTTGCTTAACAACCATTCGAAGTTATGATGGACCTGTCCAGAACTATTTATAAACCATTTTCTAAGTTATGATGGTCATGGGATCACATTTTGGGTACTTGACAACTGGCTTACCTGTATAGGTGTTTGCCACGTTACATGGACATGTGACAATTTGCAACTTTTTTTGCTGGTTTCTGGCATTATTTTTTTTTTCTGGCAAAAAATGCCCATTGGGGAAAATGGGTTCACTAAATGACCACAGTGCTTGCTTAAAGACCATGGCAGTCACTTAACAACTCCCTTGTAAATGCTTTGATTTACATCGATAATTCCAGGCTCAATTAGAGACATTAAGTCAAGGACTACCTGTATGTCAGATACTTTAACTCATTTGCAGTATGGAGTTCAGTGATGTCATCTTAATATAACATTGTCCACATCAGAAAGACACAGATCATTTAGTGAAGGTGAAAACATTATTGGGATTGTGCAATGCTTTAGCTCCAAAGCTGCAAAAATATTTTAGAGCATGCATAATTTTGCAATACCTTTCAGCCAACACCTTTTTAAAGAATCTTTAACTTCTCCTGAATTCCTCCAATAGCTTTCAAGGGTATATACACTGGTAAATTATTGAGGCAGTGTATCCATGCCCACTCCAAAGCACCATTATAACCTGTTTAACTCAAATGTTTTCTGTGATCATGTGGCTACTGTACTAACCTTGGAAAAGAGGTGGCTTCTTTAAGGAAGTGGCAACAGGTATGGCATGCATACCCACATCTGTTCCAACTTTGGAACCATAAAACAGCATTTCCTGAAAAGCAACTAACAGTGATTTTAAAAAGGACTGATGTACCACTATGAAGAAATGGATTGCTGAAGTGGCTCAGCACAAACTAGCTAAGTGGCACCCAAGCATACATGTCAAAAGGAAAGAAGCCCAGCTGGCTGACTGGGCTGCCAACTTGCACCTCTGGAGTTGAAAAACACTATCTCGATTGTGAGGTAAGAAAATTCAGTGGGGGTCACCTTCCCAACAGCCAATGCCATTGATTCCTACCCTCTGAAAATCCTAACACTGGGGCAAACATAGGCCACTGTGTGGCAAAAATAGTTCAAATCGGTATGTTAAGGGGACAGTTCCATGCACACTTTCCTCCAAACTGATTCTAATTTTTAGGTTAGAGTTTGGAGACTGTCAGCTTGGATTTCAGCTACTTAGATGTGCATGCAAAGAAAAACTAAATGGAAGCTAATGTGCACCTTGAGATTAACAACAAAAAACTCCCCCAAAGTAAAGGTGCCTTTGAATTGAGGTTGATCCTTGGTGGCTACAGCCATCATATTCTTGGCCCTGTGACAAAACTGGCCTTCTGCTAATTTTTTTCCAGATTTTTTTTTTCTTTTTACCTGCCAATTTGATTTAGGGCAATATTTTTCAACATCTTGAAGGTGTGAACTTCAACTCCCAGAATTCCCCAACCGGCAAAAGTGGCCGAAGAATTCTGGAAGTTGAAGTTCACACATCTTCAAGCTACCAAAGTTGAGAAATACTGGTCTAGAGCAGAGGTTCCCAACCTTTTGGGCACCAGGGACCGGTTCTATGGAGAGAAGTTTTTCCGTGGACCGGAGGGGGTGTGGTTTTGTGTGCTGCCTGCATCCCACGGATGGGGCTTTGTTTGTGCGGACCGGTTGCTGGCATGCCACTGCCTGGTACTGGTCCACGGACCGGGGACTCCTGGTCTAGAGTTCTGGTCCTCTCTCTGGGTCTTTTGTCCTAACTGTAAGCAGGCCATATGAAGCTTAGCAACCAAACCCAGTCAAGCTCTGTCAAATGTTAACTCCTCTAAAAATTTCTCGTAAATTCAGCAGTGGCAGCCTTCTAGTGCCAGACCACCTGTGACATTTCTAATTTTGTAAAACTAGCTAACTCCAGCCGGCAGCGCCACTGGTCACGGATGCTGGAATTGTTCAGCAACATCGAGAGGGCTGCCGACTCTCCATTTCTAGTTACAGAACGTGATCTCCCTTGCTAAACCCTGATTTCCCCAATTTGGTATCCTATAAATGGGGTGAATTACTATTCTCTCTAACCACCAGCTATTCTAGCTAAAGATACTGAGAGCTGATCAGATTTATCCGTATACAAAGTGGGAATGATAGCAACCTATTTACGTAGGCAGAAACTAGAGCAGGAGCAAACGAATGAATGAAGACAAATGGGCATCGTTCCATTTCGCTCACGCGGCCACCCGTCTCACTCGCCTAGATCTACAACCCATCGCGCATGGGCGTTTTATCTAAAACGTTCCTTTCTATTAGCGCATGCGCGCTTCTCCGCCGGGTTCGGTTATTTCCCGAGAGAATCGCGCACAATCTTTTTTCACCTTGGTACCGTCTTGGTAATCAGGCGTCGGCCCCCGGCCTTCCTGCACCAACCGCTTCTGGATCCCATCCGCCCGGAGCTGCGCGATCTTGTCCGCCATGATGGCTTTTCGCCCGATTCGGCTTCCAAGTCTTCGTGTGCTTTGGGATTGCCGAACTTCGCTCGTCTTCTTCCGGAGGCGCTCGTCTTTTTCCGTATCCGGTCTCGGACACATCCGTTAGCTATCGGGAAATTTCGGAAAGACTCGGGCGGAGCGTTTGATCTGGCACAAAGAGGTAGAGTTTCCGAATGACGAGCAGACTGCTGGGAAGATAAATCTCTAGTAAGGAGGGAGCTGGGGCGGCGGCGGTGTTACTATTATTCAACACTAAATAATATAGAGTAATGTTTCCACATCCTGAGGTAGCTGAGCCTCATGTCCATTTTTACTCTCCCTGCCAACCAAGTCTGTCGCCTCTGGAGTCCAGTTCCCTTATGGGCGACGCTCTTGGAGCTTGGTGAGACGAGTTCCGAGCAGGAGTCGGCATGTTCGTAGACGTGCAAGCCTGGGTTCCAACGAGCAGATCCCGGGCGGTGGGGTTGGCTTATGACTTCGACGATCATCTAGTCACCCCCTGCCTGTACCTAAGTCAAGCCTTCAGCAAGGAGAGCCCGTCCTCCTCCTCCTCGTTTTCCTTTCCAAAGCGATCTGCTCCACTGCCCGTCAGCCAGATTGGGGCATCCTAAAGGATGCTGTACTGTGAAGGATGCGGTCCTGTTTTGTTTTTTGTTTTTCTCCTTATCGAGATTGTGAAAAAGAGGGAAAACAGGAAAATTGCTTTTTCGAACCTGCCCTTTTCTGAGCTTCCTTCAACCACGACGCTGAGCTTATCTATTTGATTGATGGGTTCTGTAGCTTAACGTCCTGTTTTTCAAGTTCTCCAAGATCACCATGGATATATGTAGAATCACAGGTCAGAACGTCCAAACATGCCCTTCTCTAGTTGCCACGAATAATTCGAATTCACTGGAAGGGGAAAACACATTTGTAAATAGTTGATGTGTTTCATAAAAATGAAAGAGAAAATACATGCTTAAATAGATATTAATAAAAAAAATGCATGAATAAACTCAGGAGTGTTTTTGAACTCTTTCCTGAAAGACCCAAAAAAATATAATGCTTGTTCCTTTTGTTGTCTGAAGATCTTTTTTCTCTTCATGTTTTAAATGATTTTGGGGACACTTACCAGGAAGTAAGACTGTTTGCACTTCAAGGAATTGTTTTGAGTGAATACGTATGTTTGTGGCTTAAAAAATAATAATGTGAATTCTGAGCATTCCTTAGGCATATGAGCCAGCTGGGTGATTTTGAGTCAGTCACTCTCAGCCTAACTCACCTCACTGATTTTTGGGGGGGAGGAAAATAGAAGGAAGGAAAATTAAGTGCATTTGCTGCCTTCAGTTACATGCAAAAGCAGGATAAAAATATAATCATTCCATGTTGTGTGTTGTAATGCAAATAATAATTCAATAAACTTAGCAATAGTATGTAACAATTATAATGCATCTAATTTTTCTAAGGAGTGTATATTGAAAGGTGAGAGAGTTCCTACCTACAGGCTCCCTGGCTTATGGAAAGAATTCTTAATAAGAGCCAGAAAGCAGAAAGCAGCAACTGTATAAAGTCAAATTCAAAAATGGAGTTAAATTCATTAAATAAGTGCAGTATGTTGATTTTGTCATCTTGATCATCATGCTTTCTAGACTGCCCATACTGGTTTGTTTTTTTAGTCTTCTGAGAAAAAAAAAGCTGTTACCTCATGACTAAACAGTGTAGAGAATTCTTCCAAAACCTCATTTGTCCCTTCAAGGTAGACCAATGTACTTTTTCAAGGCTATAATTTTGCCAACACATCTGGCAAGAGAAATAATGGGGCATGCAGTAGTGGGCAGAATTATATAGGGAGGCAGAAAGGTTTTGGTTTGGATGTTGCTGGAGGAATAGTCTCCTTTCCTCACTGAAACATAGCAGTTTTGACTGACTGAAAAAGCATTTGAAAACAAGACCACCTTTTTAACATTCAACATTTTAAATGTTTCTCTGTAAAGTGAATCAAAGGAAGAAATGCAAGGAATAAAGCATCCACAGTAATCCTATTTCTCTCTTCTTTACTCTGATGACGAGAGCAATTATTAGCAGTTCATTCTGGAGATTTAGGTCAGTAAGAACAGAAACTGATTTCTAACCTTTTTTCCAGCCAGTGCACTTTGTCACTTGCTGCAGGTCCTATTTTTGCAGTTGCCAGTATTTGCCTTTTTAAGCTCTAAGTCCATTTCTAATATGAGTTTGTTGTTCTTCTTGTTTGTACAGGGAAAGTAACTTCACTCCCAATGCTTATACCAAAGATGAAACACCATATTTCATCAAATGATTTTCAACAGACTTAACATGGGAAAAATCCTATTTCTGTATTTTTTTATCCCATGAAGTCTATTAGTTCTTCATCTTCTTCTCTACCTATAAATATTGGATTGGCCCTGCCAGTTAATATGATTTTTTAAAATTTTGAATGCTTATGCATCAGTCCATTTTACCTTCAACCAGAGATTAAATAAACCTCCCTCACTTCCATCTATTCAATTGGTATCATAATCCATGGGGAATATCAATAATAGTATATAACAATGATTAAAGATTATTATAGAAGAATATGTAAGTCTTTGTAATTCCAAACAGTAACAAATGATACTGATTTAATTTCATTCCCCCCACCCCAACATTATTCAAAACATCACATTGTTCAATTTTAACTTGGTATGGAACACTGCTAAAAAGTGAATTTTAAAAAATTGACTAATCAGTATTACTTAATGAAATACATTAATGAACAAAATATTCATATAGTATAGAAATTCTGTGTCTCATTTTCAGATGAACTGAGTAGAATTAAACATTGCAACACAGCCACTTTGTGGTCATTGTAGAATTGTATGAAATTCCACCAATAAGGAAAAACACATGGGAATATTTACAAATCTGTGGATGTTGACAATATATTTAAATAATTTAATGAACTCTTTTCAACATAAAAAAAATTCTAACATAAATTAAATGCAAATTAATAAATTTCAGAGAGCGATTGTATCAGATCTTATTTGGAAAAACAAATCCAAACAAGTTGGATGAGCTAATCGAGAATTAAGGACATTTTTGTGTTGCTGTTAGATTTTGGACTTATCTTGCACCTTTGAAATACATTTTGACAATGGATATTCAATGTTATAATGTATAAAATAATGAGTTTTACATATACTCATTAGTTGGCTCCTAAAGAGAATTCATGCTATTTACCTTTTTCACTTAGAATTGTTTTAGTTCTATTCTCTTGTTTCTTAGTGTCCTGATATTTTAGTTTTTTATTTTTCTTCTTGGTCATTCCAGACTTTATTTTCTCCTTTCCTTAGCTGTTTTTTCAAATTATTCACAATAACGGCTGGTATAACAGGAATAAGTGATCTCAAATTCAGTGAGACATTTTTGCATGGGTTCAAGTCTCAGGATGCTGATCTACCTTTTATAGTGCAAAAAGGTAGTTCCAGAGAAATTCTTAGTTTTTACCTTTCCACAGGATGCCAGATTTGTCCATTTGTTTGTGTTGGGAATTCAATTGAAATAATAGATAGAATCACAGATTTGAAACTTTTTTTATATCAGTAGCAACAATATCTGCTAGAATACTGGGCCATTATAGATAAAGGACTGTGGTTTGTGACAGATTAATATAAAATGTTAAATCTGTGCAGGTTTAACTTGCTGGAGTTCATACTAGCAGATTAAATGGGAAGAGTTTTAGCTGCACTAAATTAAGCTTTGCGTTTTAATTGGCTGAAAATCTATTGAACTTGAAGCATCTTGCAAATTTGATCCGTAGTTACAAGAAAGTATTATCAAGTTTGCTGCAGTTTTGCTTCCAAAGATTTATAGGTTTGCAATCATGGCCTTTAATTAATTGCATTTTATTACTTTGCTTTAGCTCTTATTTGTATCAGAATGTTAGCTGGAACAGCAGCATATCACTTTGTTCTTAAGCATACAGACACACACACACACACACACACACACACACACGTCTCCTTATAGCTTTATATTTAAACATGCATAATGACATCGGGCTTGTTTTCTATTTCAGTATCAAGAGCTCTGTCCTACCTATTGGGGACTTTCAAGATATGGATCTAGAACAGTGTTTCTCAACCTTGACAATTTTAAGGCATGTGGACTTCAACTCCCAGAATTCCACAGCCAGCATTGCTGGCTGTGGAATTCTGGGAGTTGAAGTCTACATGCCTTAAAATTGTCAAGGTTGAGAAACACTGATCTAGAATGACCATTTTATTCTTGGCTCTGGAAGAACAAGAGTAGAGAAAGTTTCAGGATCTGCCAGAATTCCACACCTCATAGAGAATTGGTGCCTTTTGTGCTGTAGAAGTGGATTCTCCACCAAACTTGTTTCTTTCTAGTGTTTGATACAGAATTCAGAAAAAGTAATTAGATACTCTTTTCTGTACATAGCAAGCTATTATGGCAGAATTATTCAGGTGTTAATTTTATATTACTTTATGTTTGCTGGGAATAAAAGTTAAAATGTTTCAGGTATTAACTAAATGGGTTTACACAAATGACCTGTTTTTATATGGCCAACAGATATTGTGAATTAATGGATTTGGAACTCATGCGAAGCCTTTCTCACAATGATGATGCCTTCATATGTCTTCTTGGCCTGCTTACCTGCTTTAACTAATCATAACCTAGATTATTTAGGGAAGACTGAAGAAAATCAACTAGGTTTAATCATTATTTCAGAAAGAAAAAAAAATTGCATGTATGACTACTACCAGAAAATAGGTATATTATAAAAAACAAGTCCCAAGTAACTCTTTAAAAAAGCCTAATTATATGTTTTGGGAAGGAGGAAATTTCAAAATTAATTTAACTGTAGATGTACGATGGGTTATTTAAAGGTTAATTTGAAGACCTGAGTACAGAAATGTGTCTCAGTTTCCTGAGGGAATTGATCTCAGTCATCAGCTTCTAGCTGCCCCTCCAAAATCATCTTTATTATATGAAGGAAGAACTTTGGGGGCATACAAGGAGATTTTGGCTATTGAAAAACAGGTACAGTTCTTTGGCCATTTCAGATTTTATGATCAGCATGTACCATTTGAACATCCACTTGTGCTTTATGGTATTCACTCTGTCCTCGTTTCAAGATTTCAAGTGTGTATTTCTTTCGGGAATTTTACATTCTGTGAACCTTCAGCGTACATTCAAAGGAAGATTTGTGGTTCATTAATATTAAAGAGTTTCAACTAAGAGAGGAATGCCTATAACTGAATCCACATTCTATTTCACTACATCCCCAACTCCAACCAAGTCCTAATCTCCTTATAACCAGTATTTAAGGAGGCCTGTGGAGGTTCAATGATATGAGGTTATAAAATGAGAAGTCCCGTGTGGTGCTTTTATTCTTGGCTCAGCATACCTCTTTTTTTGCTAATTTGATTAGTAGGTCTCTCTTGATGGAGAACTACCATTAAGCTGCAGTACTTGAAAGCAGAATAAAGTGGCCCCAGACTTCTGCTGATCTGAACATTACTCTTAATCCACTTTTAAATTGTTAAAATTAGCTTTTAAAACTATTATAGCTACGCTACACATGGAGCAGCATCTACTCAGAGATCAGGATGGCCCCAACCTTTTCAGCCTTTTGTAAAGCATTAAAGACCTGGATGTTCCCTCTCGGGCACTTCAGTTGGGAGGCTGAATTAGCCCTTTTGGTGGATTAGTTTGAATATGGAAAGTTAAGACTAGGGGTTAAACTATGTCAAGTATTATTACTATTTTAGAGGGATGGTGTGCTTTGTTATTTTTAAACCTCCGTGCACCAGACATTCACTTGTATAATTGTTTACAGAAATATACCTCAAAAAATTTCATCTCAAACGTAGCTCGCTGTACAAGTAGGTGTTTTTGTGAGGAGATTGACATACGAATGTGCAGTTGCTATAAAATAATGTTTAGCTGCTTCTAAGCAATTTTTTTTGCTGCTCAAATCTCAACTTATTTCATATGAAAATCTGCCATATGTAGACACATCAAACTCCGGGTCACATTAAAAATATAGGAAGGAGACACCTAGCAGATTAGAAACATAAAATACTGATTTTCACTGACTACAGTCTTGAATCAGGGCAACATATTCTAAGCAAATCTTTTAAAATGGGTGTTAATATTTCAGAGCAGGCTTAGTAAATTCCCAGGAGCCAAGTACTGCATGTTTTTCTGCAAGCATAGATGTCATCTGGAATTTGTACACCAGAAAAAGCCTCAGAGCAATCTTCCTCACAAGTCCAATAGCCCGTTGCCATCTCATGTTTTCTATTTTTTAGGTAAGAAATCCTTTTGAACAATAGAGACCACTGTTTTATCTTTTCCGTTTCTTGCACAATTAAGAAATGATTCTTCCCATTCCCCCACCCGCACATGCCCAAGTCCCTCTTCTTGGTAAGACGATGATAACCACATAATGGTTATCTCATGAGCCAAGCCATTTTCTCATCTTAATTACGGGCTTTATACAAGACAGATATAGCTACATTTTGCTAGTTAAACACTCAGCAAAATGAGGAACTGGGGCTATTCTTTGGCAAGAGAGCTGAATATGTATCTACCAGACAATACAATGGAAAAGGACATTGTACTTGGCTCTAAAAAAAACTCCAGAAAATTCAGTTACATGTTTTCTGTTCTTTTGAACTTTAAGTGAACGTAAGATCATAATCTCATCACCAGAGGCTTGAAATTTAGAACCAAATTTTATCTTGAGGAGCAAGTTTTAAGTATCCAGGCTGGTTTCCTCTCAGTTTTCCTCTGAACATTGTAGATGCTCCTTCTGGGATAGTGCCAGATTAGTTTTTGAACTCATGCCATGGCAAAAGCTGTATTTAGATGGCAGTAGCAGAATTAGCCAAGAAATTATATGGATTGCTCATGAAAGGATGATGTTCTGGAGAATCTATAGTAAGTGCACTGTTTATGTCACAGAAACAATAAGTTCAACAGAAAACTAGATTGTACAGTACCGTATACCATTGCAAACTATATCAGCCACCTTTCCTCTTGATATTGGATGACTTTATATTGGAATTTAATCAGTACTTTGGCTATCAAATCACAAACTGGGCTTCCCAAACCTTCCAATGACAGACAGAAATCACTGAATGAGATCTTCTGGCAGGCTGGACAGGTCAACCATGCAAGAATGTAGTTTCTTCAATATGTTCTGACATGTTAATACCACTTTGGCACAGCCATAGAAGCTTAGTAAAATGCTAAAAATACAGTTTTGGACTTCCCAAATGTTAATCCCAAATGCTGAATAGGATAAATACTGTATAACATTTGATTTCTGACCATAACCCTCAATTGATGCCTGCATTTATAAAATGCAGTGTTTGAAGATCAATGGATGTTAAGACATAGATTTCACTAGCATGAACCACTGCCCCCCCCACACAAAAAAATCATACTTCTGACAAGGTACTTTAAGAATAACTGAAGAACCATTTCTCATTTTATCAGTGAGAAGAATAAAGTCACTAGTTTTAAGCATCATACATGGGTTTGGGCTATTTAAACAAAGCCATAAAGCTCCAGACTCTTATAGGAGTCAAGGACTATCATATACCACAAGGTCTGGAGAGCACATTCAGTTGTCAAGAGTTTACCAGAAAGATATATTCCTGAGTAGGGCTTTAAGCCTCTAGCTTAATTCTTGAAGCTCTTAAACCCCTTCAAATTCTAAGCATCTTGCCCAAGTACATCCTAGCATGCCAGCAGTCATTAGCAGAATTCACAAGTATTTAAATATTTACTGTTTCTGCATTCCTCATTTCATCAATGTAACACACCATGAGTTAATTTGTCCATATGCCAAAAACAGCTAACCTGTTCTAATCCCAAAATAAAATAAAACCACCTTAAATCCCATTTAGAGGGACTGTAAAGAGCAGGCGTTTGGAAATGTAACCCTTGCTGAATTGCTGGTCATAATTATGATTTTACATTCAAACTATATGGAGGCAACAAACTTTAGAATCTGATAGCTCACAATCTAAATGCCCAACCTATTTAGAACTCCTTTGGGGACTGTGGCATGGTCAAATATGGATAATCTTCTCTTTTTTAAAAATCATAAAAAGGGACAGAAAAAGCTCTTGTTCTACCAGATAGTAACACAGATAATACAAGATGAAGACATGGGACCAAATTTATGGTCTATCTCATTGGGTAGCTGGTAGGACCATATTACAAATGTATATCAGTTATGTCCTCCAGAAACACTTATAGCTTTATTGACATTATAAAATTCTAATAGAATTTTAAGGACATATTGAATTAATCCCATAACATTCTGCACTGCCAGTAAGTTTCATGATCACATTTTTGAACAGCATTATTTTCCAGGCACAACTATAAGGGTAACCTCACCTCTTCTGGAATCTCATGTACCCAAAGTATCCTACTTCGTACCTTTCCATCCTGTGGCAGAATAGTCACCATCAAAAGATGCTTATTTATTTAGAGCGTCCACATGAATGCCAGATGAAAGGCTTTTGACTGAAATATTGCACAGAATTCAATTTAGAGTAAAGCTATCCCTCTATAGGATTATTTGTGGGCAGAATGGGAGAAAAACAAGTGAGGCAGCTTTCTCTCCATAACAACAGATCTTCCTTTTTTAAACATTTGTGTTGTCTCTGGAAGAAAATTTCTTAATTTTCATACTGTGATCTATTGAAAACGGCATCTCCTTTCAATGGGCATCAAGAGTAAAGCTCCCTCAATCATTTTGCAGAAAAAGTGAAAGATGTTTTCTGAATCTGCTCAGTGGCCGAACACAGGCTCTGGCTGCTTCTTGGTAACGCTGAACCTTCTTGTATAGACAAGAAGACTCATCTTCTGGGCTTAACTAAAGCGAAGTTTAACAATAAGTTTGAAAGAATGAAGACTGAGAAAGGACTGTGTCCCTGGGTAAGGAAAAAAGAATTGGTCCACATTCCCCAAACTGATCTAGAAGCTGCAAATAAAAGGCACAAGCCAAACAGAACCCACCTCGTTCCACCAGCAGCTTGTTTCTATAGCTTTGCCCCCAAGTCGCAGTAATACCTGGTAGTATAGCAAGAACATGAGGGGGCGAGAGTGTTCCCGACACAGATGTTTTTCTCTGGAGAAAGTTAAAAAAATATCCCTATTCACAAGCCTCCAATCCCCACCCCACCCCCCGCCCGCCAAGTGTGGCAGCTTTTTGGCAATTACCCCAATGTTTCAGAGGTGGGAACAGGATTTCCCCTTTTACTTTTGTCATTAAGTCATGCTCACAGTCAAGTCCATTTCCCAAGGTTAAATGATTATTTTTAAAAAAACTGTATAGAAATCAACACACTGCCATCATTCTGTGTATCTGGAGCAGCCACAAAAGGCTGTGGACTCATTGAAATCTCTTCTCTTCCCACACGTATCGTTTTCCTGCAGGCACCTTCCGGAAAAACAGGCTGTTGCCTCGGCTCATGTTGCCCTAAATGAGAAGAAAATGAAGCAGGTGAGAGTCTCGTAGAGAGAGCATCGTGGCTTTCTGAAATTCACGCACTATACAGCAGCTGAGGTTTGAGGGCCAGCTAATATGCAATTAGTGAGTGTGGGGGGGGGAGGAGTGTAAGCTACAGCAGGACAACTTTTTTTACTTAGATGGTAGGTATGCCCAAAAGAGGGACTCTGCCTTCTCAATTCTATACCCATATCCAAGCAAAACATCAGGATCCTGCAAGGAAGGACAGACATTTTAGACATACCTCCCGATGCAGCTGGCTCCAGCAATGTAACCAGGAGGTGTACGCTGGTGCATAAGGTGGGAGGCCAGCAGCGAGCCTAGAAAATAGAAAGCAAGGCTTACAGAATTCACTCACTACCAGGTTTCAGTGCCAGGCGCCTGTTTGAATATCACAGCTTAGATGCCATTTCCAGCCCAGCCTTTTTTGCTGCACAAGGAAACGGGATCAAGCAGGAGCTAAGGTGATTGAGGCAAAACTCAACAGGTAGCCTGACAGAAAACTGCCTTGTGCAACTGGCTTCTGTATGGCAGAGCAGTCTAATAATCGACACATTATTTACAATGGAAGGGACAGAAATTATAACTTAGCAAATTAGCAACCACAAACTAAAAGTTGTCCTCACCATTCCATATCGGCATTTGGAATGCCACTATGAAATTGACTGTATCATAAGAGTTAACAAACAGAAATATTTCTTAACATATTGTTATTGGCTTAGGCTGTGCATACTCACCTTACAGTAGGTTATACTAAGCTAACCTGCATTTATTTCTGAACAGCCACCAAAGTGCAGATAAGAGTTAAATGGAATTCGCACATGGGTGGAAAGCTCTGAACAGTGGATATTTGGCACAAATGAGAGGACTTTCATTTTCATAACCTACTGTTGATTTTACTGCAAAGATCTCACTGGTCAAAACTGGAATGTGAAACCGAAAAGATCTGATCCCACAAATTTGGAATTTATCTTTTTATTAGCAGAACTATTGCCACAGAATAATGTATTACAGGAAAGAAACACAATCCAGGCAGTTTCTGGCTCCAGAGTTATTCCTAAAAACTTTAAAGTAGATTCCCATTCCATACAATTGGACAATACCAAATGAAAAAGTCCAAACTATTTTCAATACTTTATATGCTTATATAATGAATTTCTAAAAGTGTGCTGGATTTGCGGCAACCCACAAATCTTAAAAAAAATTTTTTAAACCCGTAGCTCTTTCTCCAGCCGCAAATATTTTGGTTTTAGGCAGGGCACTATAAAATAAGTACAGGGCACTGTACTTTTAAATTAAAACTTTTGAGTTCTTTTAGTCATCCCAACAACCTCCTATAAAAAAGTCACAAACTTTTTTTAGCTGGGTTGGCTATGGTATGAACATTCCGAAGAGCAATTACTGAAAACACAAACATTGTGGCAAGGCACAGCATACTGCTAAAATTCTCAATAATTATTGAAGAAAGAGGCCTGAAAAATAAAACTGAGTTTTGTGTGCTGTGCATTTCAAAAGAAAACCAAGAGAGAGAAAAGAAAGTGTGCACTTACCCACAGCTATTAACGGCCATCAGGTTTGAAACAAGTACGAAGGGGTAGGTTAGCATACTGGTAAAGAACTGAAAGTACAATACAGCATGATGTATCAGTGAAAAAGTATATGCCACCACTCTTTCCTCACCCATTAGGCTGAGGACTAGATAATGACAGAATCACCACTAACTATGCCCCGTACAGAACAGCAACTTGATGGACTTAACAGAAGGATAAACTCTTACACTGATAACAAAGCAAAGGAAAGCAAAAGACTGGCAATTATTTAGCTAAGCCCCCAAAGTAATCTGAACCTAGCAACAACATTTGATACATCTCTAGTGAAGAAGTAGTAAATTCCAATGTTGGACAGAGATTCTGAAGGCTGAAAATTGAAAGTTAAATACCATTCTCTAGCATCCCTCACAAGACCACCAGGACTAAAGGTTTAAAAGTGAGTTATGAGGCTTGTGGTCCTCTCAGAACCTTTTCCCTTTTATCTATATCAAAGAAAATAAGACAAATTATACACTCACTCCAGTGACAGCCTGAGAGTAACCCTTCATCTCAGTCATGGTGGAGACCTAGAAAGAAGATTCATCAATAAAACACATATTCCTCAGTGACAGCGGTCATTCCCAACTTTTGACACAGAGCTAAAGACAATGCCTCCCAGGACTGCAAGGCTTCGGGTTCAAGGCAAAGAGATGTTTCAGTGCATGCAACAGTCTAAACACAGCCCTGTCCACAACTTCTTATCCCCACAGAGTTTTTTTCTTAGGGTCATACAGCAGCCATTGAAGGCAATTGGGTTTCTTTAAGAAGGTGCTGCAAGGGACTACATTTATTTATTCCCCCTGAGTGCTTCCAAATGACCTTTTGCTTTTGTAACCAAAATGCATTGCCTGAGAAAGCCAACTTATCCGCACAAGAAGATGTGGTACTAATATCTATTAGAATATGTATAGGTTCTTAACAGCCACACGTGTAGGTTGTGAACAGAGAAAATACTTGACTTAGTTAATACTCATGAGCTGGGATGTGTAAAGCATTCTTTGCACAGGCCATCCTATGCCTGAACCCAATAATGTGGGTGATTTGTGCCTGAACCATAATCCAAATTTTTCATCCTGACACAGAACTGAGCATTTTGTATTTGGCTTGGAAATCACCCCAAGGGAACTGTGCTCCATGTGGGGTATTAGGCATCTGGACATCAGCAGCGGCACAGCAGCAGCTAAATGGAGGGATGCAAGCTGCTGGGAAGCTGCAGGGGCAGACAAGTGAACAAGAGGGGAAAGAAGGATGAGGTATATCAGTCTTGTCTTCTTGCCCTAAAAGATTACCTCAAATTTATTTTTGCTAGAGCCCAGAACAAACCTCGGAGTATCAGGTTTTAGTTCTGCTGAGCCATGGACCACTCAGAATAGTTTGATAGAAAGAGAAACTGTTTGTTCCATGTATGTATGAAACAAACTACATTTTTCATTTTATGCATGTCTTTTGAGGATGCTGCAGCACAGTGAGAATAGGCACCTTCAAGGCCAATACCAGAAAATTGCACTATGCTTTAAAACCAAATAGAGCTCAGCAGTCATTGCAGCTTCAACTAAGCACATAGCACTCTACAAGCAGAACACTTACCCCATTCTCCAGTGCATAAGTATTGATGAGGTAGGCCAGTATATTACAAAGCCACAAGGACAGGATGTCTCCAAGAAGGCGAGGAATCAGGCCCCTGAAACGAAAACAGCTGACTGGTAATAAAACTGGATAACTTCAACACTAACATGTCAACATACTTGCTCACATGGCAGGAAACTGGTCAATCCTGTGCAAGACTAGGATGAGCAACACCAAGAAAAACCACCATTTTTGCCACCCAGCTTGGGATGGCGCATTGCCTAAGAATTCTGCTTCGCCTAAAACATCCAATCAGATGCCTTATGAAAGCAAGCAAATAATAGCCTTTCTCCAGTAACTAATACAATACGCAGTGGCATTCTGTGCTCATTCTGAGAAAATCCTAGATAAAATCCATCTTATCCCCGCACTAGCTATCATGGCACGAATAAATGGTAAAAACGCACTCTAAAAAGCACTCACGCAAAAAATCCAAAGATGCCCTCTTCCTGGTAAATGGTGACGAAAGAGCTAAACACTCCGCTGAAAATTGAAGGGGAAAACAATCCATCAAGACTCTACAAGTAACATGTGGTTTCCTTTCCCACAGACACCATTACTAATTACAACAACAGAACCCTTCTGACATCATACATTAATTTATTTCCCAGGCCTCAGTTTCATCCATTGTATGGCTTAAAATCCCAATGAAACCAATTTCATTGCAAATATGTGTATACCTGTACTTAGTCTCTCTGCCAATGAATTGCACCATACACCTCAAGGTGATCACTAAAGAACAAAGAGAGTCAAAAGCGAAAAACTATTGTTAAGGAAGACCTCACCTGTACTCCGTCCATTTGCATTTATACAGGAGCATATAATCCCAACATTTTTAACTCAAGGTGAATCCAGGCATAATAGCTACAACCATGAATGGTACAGCCTATCTGATAAAGTGGATGCAATGTGTGGGTTGAAATAGAGCTCATTTTGAAAATGTCAGGTTCAGCATCTAGGATTCTTTTGGAGCTGAAATAATCAGATTATGGCCAAGAATTTTACTCAGCTGAGGCTGGAATGTCCATTACAGCCATTCCTATATATGGCTCATCTGACAACAATATCTTCCTGAATTAAACTGTATCTGGATTACTGCAGTGGCATTTTACAATTATTAGGAAATCAGACTGGATAAAATCTTGTGGCCAGGGTGTTCTGAGGTACTGCATTTGGGAGACATAAAACTCTTACTGAATCAGCTATTCTAGCTCAGTTCAAAGTGCTATGAGAAGAGATCTCTTTCTGTTGGAGGAAACTTGAGATTAAGGACACCAACAGAACTACCCTACCCCATATTGCCTGCCCACCTTTTCAAGTTATCATCAAAGATCTTCTTGCGTATTGCAACACCTCTAGAAAGCCATTTCACTGAGGCCCAGGAGAAGAGGGCCTTTCCATTAGCTGCACTCCTGCCACATCCTCCTCAGCTCAGTTCCTCTCATTGCCTCTCTTCAAAGGACATCCTCAAGCATAGCCAGAGTCTTGATTTGATTATTATAGGTTTGACTGTTATGGTTAAATTGTGTGTTCACAGTCATTTATCTTTTTAATTCGTTGCTGGCTCCAGTGTATTTGATTACATGGCGGTTTTTAACCCTTCACCTTGTTAGCTAGTTAAAGCTCGCTGAGGAAGATAGGGTGGAAATGTTTCCAATAGTTCATTATCAATCACTGCCAATTGTTTGCGACTTAAAAGCAATGAAGTGGTAAGAACATAACAGGGAAGGTTTAGGATATAGCCATCTCCTGCCTTAATGCACAACCAAAAAACTGATGGTAAAGGGGAGAGAGGTTTTTTTTTTCTGTATCTAGGAGTTGCAACAATACGTTTGAAACTGAACTGACAGATTAATCCATACATACCATGAAATGGGTGGGTGACTAGTGTAGCAGCAGAACGTGCAATCATCTCTTGAGAGGTCTAAGGTGAAAAACAGAAGAAGAAAGGTTAGCCAAAGAAAGGTTAGCCAAGATGTCCCATCTACACAGATTCCAGTAAAGGATTAAATAACTGTTACTCATCATATAATTTGAAGTATTAAGATTAAACATTTTCATTCATTATCATTGCTCTATAGATCGATCTGTTTCAACCACATTTTCAGTTACTTAAGAAAAAAGTCATTGCCCTGCTATCACCTTAGATCAGGGGTAGGCAACCTTGGCTCTTTTATGATTCGTGGACTTCAACTCCCAGAATTCCTGAGCCAGCATGGCTCAGCTTGGAAACCTCTCCCTTTCCCCTCAGCATGGCTGGCTCAGGAATTCTGGGAGTTGAAGTCCACGAGTCATAAAAGAGCCAAGGCTGCCTACCCCTGCCTTAGACAAATATATCCCAATATGTCCCATCTAAAGAATTTCAGTGAGCAGGGTCAAGGAGAAGAGCCTTTTCCACTATGGATCCCTACCCTGAGAAACACTCTACTACTGAAGATTAGAACTGCTCCCCCCTTCTGACTTTCCCAGAAGGGTATTAAACCTTAGTTTTGCTGGTTGGGCAGGGCTCTGAGGGGGCACTCACCACTGGAGATGGTTGACAGGGTAAGCAGATCTCATCCTCAAGTGGCCCATTTCCTTGGTTCTAATTTTTATATAGCTTTTATATAGCTCTGACAGCAAAGAAACATCTCACTTCTATACTTTCCTAGGCTAACAAGATATTCATGCTTCTCAACTTCATTATGATACAATCTATAGTGTAGGCAAACAGGATGTTGCCTCCTATCTCCTGGTTTCAGAAACAAACAGATTACCATTCCAATTATCCACCAGCCAACAGATTTGGCAGGTGCCAGGTCAGGAATGCTCTTCTGCATTATCCACAGCCAGCCAATCCCCTGATAAATGAATCCCATATCTTACCTCCTTAATGACTTGATCCAGAGAGGATCCAGATTCTTTGCAAGTATTCCCTAATTCCTAAAAAGGCAGAAAAAAGCCAGTCTCAAAAACCATCATGTATGGGATCCTCAATCCCCAATACCAAGTATACTATCAATTTTATTTATGCATTCTGCAGTCTTCCATTCCCACAGACTGCACTACAGAACACAGACATGCTCTATGAACTTTAATTTCAAAAAGGAGTTTTATTTATGAACAGACTTTATAACATACCTCACTTTGGTCAGCATTCTGGCATTGCTAGATAGAAAATAATATACAACTATAAGCTCATAATTTATCTCTTCAATCTTTTATTACCAATAGCATTACATGTACATAATTGCACTTACATTCCTTTCCCATCCTGCTCCTAAGCTTCTTTACTTCACTGGTAAGCTCTGTAGACCAAATTACATTGGCCCATACATTCTATAACATATCACTAAAGCACCAAAGGCACCATAAACAAGAATTACAAATTCAACACATAGCTTACCCAGTCAATGAAGAATGCAAACACACAAACTCTGTCAAAATGTAAATCTGACAGAACAGCTCAGTTTCAGAGGAAAAAAAGCCATTGAAGCACTCCTAAGGTCTTAAGTGCAGGTGGGTCATCAAACACCTGAATTCTGATCACATGACCCCAGGAGGACTGCAATGGCTGTAACTTCAGGGACTAGGCATAAGTACCATTTGATCAGCACTGCTGTAACTTCTAATGGTCACTGAATGAATAGTTGTTAAGAGAGGACTACCTGTAGCATAACTTGTGTGCTTCGTATTTGTTCCAATATGTAACCTAGCACCACCATTATAAGCTGGCCTAACAAAATAATTGAAGCTGCAATCCAGATAGATCACAGAAATGTTTAAATATTTTACATTAAAATCAATAAAATCTGTACACGCTAGGAATAAAAGGCTTTGATGATCAAAGGACTGAACATCAAACTAGTTCAGTGCTAGGAGCTTTGAGCTGTGACATACAATTCTGGCTTGCAGAATGAATGCAAATCACAGGTAGAGATATGGAATGAACAATAAACTGGACTAGGCTGAAAAAAATAGAACCTTATCCATGTGTTGGGTTTTCAGTGACAATTTCTGCCATAAGAAAGTTGTTAAGAGGTTATTTACAAAATTCAAGCAAAAATGGTCTACATTATAAAGCATTTGAAATCTGAACTATTTTGTATATTAAAACAATATACAGTCAAATTATAAAGTACCTGTAAAACTTTACTGTGTACTACAGTGCCAATGGCTCCTGAGCAGAGTCTAGGAGCCAAACCTTTGAAGAGTCCAGCCCTCCCATCAATCTTCATAATGTGTTTTGCTGAAAACAGAAACAGAGGTAAGCATTTGTCCCATTATTCACCCTTCTCCCCCAAGTGCCACATATCTGAATCTATCTCATGCTAGAAAATTCTAGTTTAATTCTGTTTAATGCTATCTTAGAAATTTTGATATTAAGTACATTCATGCCATTGAAATATGCATTGACTGCACATAACATCTGCAGCAACAGAATCATATCACGTACACTAGTCCTTACCAGACTCTATTATCCACTATAGCAAGGATGAGCAATCTATAGCTCTCCTTATCAACTCTCAACTCTTATTACTTGGACCAGCATTAAGAAGTAATAAGAATTGTAATCCCCAAACATCTGGCGCCCCATTATCTTGTCATCCCTGCTCAACAGTAACAAGAACTATGAGCAAAGTTAAAAAATAACTGGCTTCTTTGAGTAAACATATGAAGAAACAACAGATGGAAATTCAGTGCCTATCATTAGAGAAATGCATGAAGAAAAATCAAATCATGAACAGGCAACCAAGTGAGGGTTTAACCTCAAAATAGCCGAAGACTAGAAACCTATAGTTCAAAACAGATACTCAATCCCCATATTAAACAGGGATTTTTTAAAAAGTTACTGTATAAGCTACACACTGGGGGAAAATGTGGCATTGCTATAATATGCATATGCATTTGTAAATCAAATTAAAAATATGGTGCTTGAAAAGATTCTAAGCCCAGGAAGAAATGTTGACTAAACATTACTAACAAAACACTGCTTACTACCTGGAATTCAAAAGTGAATATAGATACAGTTTTGACATTCTTTTTAAATATCCATTTTAGATATGCACTATATTGTTAACTAACTATACTTTTCAAAAGTTATCTTTTGCAAAATCTATTATACTATATCTGATAAAAGTCTTATTCAAAGGCATGCATTTTTCACATACACATCAGTAACTACAGCAATCCTACTGTGTTTTAGGCAGTTTATTTACAAAATACATACATTATATACTCACCATAAGCAAAGAGACCAGGCAGTTGATAGACTTGCCGACCAAAAATATTTCTTCCCAGAGTTGGAGGGAGGGGTTCATATCCCATCTTTGAAATAAAAGATGTTCATCCACAATGAACATTATAGCCTACAAATTGAACATTCTCTCAAAGAAATAGTCAACATGCTTTTTCACACGATTAACACAATTATTTCATTAACAAGTTCTTTCTTGTACCAGTGCTTGAAGTATCAATACCAAAAGCACTATTTCTATTGGTTGTGATTTTAGAATATATGACCAGTACTGATGTAATCTGCAATTCAGTACATTGGATAATAACATTGTTTATTATATGACAAATTTAGAACTCTAGTGCAAATATATGTCTCCTCCAAACAATCTTTATCTTCCTTAATTTCAAATAAAATCTAACCACTTCTTACTCTTTTGCAGTATTTTGCTATTAAGATTAAAGCAAAAAATTTCCCTTAATATATCCTGTTACCTCGTATTGTGACTGGGATGGTTAAGTTATAAAACAATTAGGTGATTAATTCTTAAGATGAAACTTCTTTGGTGATTCATTGATTGATTTGCTAGGAGCATGGCAGACACACACATTCCAATTCACAACACAAATTATTTAGGAGATTTAGCAGAAAATATTATTAGCAAGCAACTACCAAGTTTTCTGATTTCTCAAAGTATACGTGTACTCCTCATAAAGAGAATGTTTTCCATACAAAAACAGTCAGATGTTCCCCTGGTTCTGAGTGGCCTTTGGTGGACAGTTATACCATTAACAAGTGTCTTTACAAATTTAAGGTTCAAAGATTAAGGTCAAATATCCTTTGTACTTTTGATTAGAAGTTCTTGTTCTGAAAGCACATTATACAGGAAGACTGTTGTTCTTACAAAACTATGATTTTTAACCAAGAATGAAATAAATATAAAGGCGCAACATGCCAGAAACAACAACCAATGTTACTAAATAAAGAAGTCTGAAATTACTGAGAAGTGGTCTGGGAGTGTCTGTGACACTGCCAATTAGAGTAAGAGACTTAAACATGAGGTTCATACAAAACTAGAAAAGTGATTGGAATTTTGAAAATCGGCTCACTTGCAAAGATAACTGAGTGGGACAAACAAATTTGAAATGGCTTCTGCAATGAAGACTGCCCTATGGCTTACAGTAGGACTTTTATTCCTGGAAGAATTTAAACAAAGTGTAAGCAGTAAACGAGAAAAGCGCAGTGTCATGGATATGATTTTGACTTTGTGGTGTTATCGGGATCGTCTGAAAATCCCACTGCTAGCACTCAACCTATACGGCTGCCACTGTGGAACAGGCGGCTTTGGAAAACCTCTGGATGCAGTGGATCGCTGCTGTTTCTTGCATGACTGCTGTTATCGTCACACCAGGCTCTCTCTGAAATGTCACAAGAGGGTAAAATGGCAGCGCTACAAACTGCTGTGTAAAACATCCGAGACAGAGTGCGGGTCAAAAAGCATCTGTGGCAGAACAGCGTGCGAGTGTGACAAGCAACTGGCAGAATGCCTCACGGCAGCAAAACCTCAGCGGAAGCATTCTTTCTACAACAGAGAACTCTGCAAAGGGTCTAAGGGCACTTGTCCCATCATGCACCACCATAACTGGACTAAAATCCTGCATTAAGGAAGTTTCTGCTATTACTCGATTGCAAAGCAAGGTTCTTGGAAAAATTAACCTCATCTCTGACAATATTGATGTTTCTAGGCAAGAGGAACAGATCGCAGAGGGGCTCCGAATAGAAGTGGGGGCAGGGGGGAGAGACCATCGGGAAGAGCCGATTCGTGTATATATATCGGTGGCTTCTTTATTACTTGTAGATCAGCGACTGTATTCACATCGGAACAAGAGAAGAGTTGACCATCCAAGCCAAAGACAAATAAAAGGCCCCGAGGGTTGGGGTGAGCCTACTACGGCGAGGGTGGACAGCGACCCGGAGAAGAGCGATCGCCGACGAGAAAGCAACGTCAATCTCCCCGAAGAGTGCGTCCCTCCCGGGCGTCCCCCTCTCACGCTCTCGCACGAGAGGAAAAGCCGGCGGGGCCAAAGGTCTCACCTGCACTAGCACCTTCACGTACATAAGCGGCTGCGAGAGCACCGTGAGGCCGGAGCCCAGCAGCACCTGGGAGGTCGTGTCCGCCATGCTGCAGCCGCACCGGGCTCCGCCGCGGGAGGGGGCAGCGGAAGAAGGAGCCGTGACCTGCGGCGGAGGACAAAAAAAGAGTCTCCTACCGCCGCTTCTTCGTTCCCTCTTTCGACCAGTTCCGGGTCCAAATGGTTCCGGTTTCCGCCACCTGCAGGGCAAGTTAGGCCCGATGTGGGGTGGGGAGGAGCCGCCGCCTATAAAATCGGATCTTCCGATTTTTTTTTTAAAGAAATGTGACGAATCCTCATTGGCCCAGATTCCCTTAATCGAATTATAGATCCGTGTTTTGAAAGGTGTCTTGGGAACGGCGATGGCGGTCAGCTGCACAAATTTGGTGTTTCTGCCGATCTGGCCTCGCCTTTGTATTTCGCTCTGAGGCTCCCCAACTCGCATTTAAAACGAAAAAAAAAAATTTCCATCGCCCAATGAAAAACGGGGCGTTTTGGAGTCAGGGGAACCACCCGCGCTCTTCTTCCAGTTTCGGGGTTGTTCGTCTTGAGGTTTACGGGCTGATCTAAATTCAAAGAAAAATGCCTTGTGAGACATTTAAACTGATCGCTTTCTGTACATCTTGTTGTACGTAAAACAACCAATTGGTTCGAATGGCCAACAGAAATGCCTTCTTTGCTGGCTGTGGTCATTCTTCCTTATAGGCCTGTAGGTTTGGGCATACGAATTAAGAAATCCCTCATTGCCATTTAATTCAGTCGGATCTATTTTAAAGTAAATATGCGCAAGATTACAATAGGTGTGACCTAAACCTAATTTAGCAAAGCTCACTGTTGCTAGTCTGTGTGGCTTTCAGTAGTATTTTCAGTTTTCTCAATGATACTGTAATAAACGGCTTATTTACAGGCCAGCTGTATACTTGGCCTTTCAAAAATATTGTTGAATTCAAACAATTCAGTGTAAGTCAATAGAATATTGTTGCTTTAAATCCACATCACATGTGGGCTTTAGTAGTTTGTCATGTAGATCTCCCTGCCGTCTCCGTATATTTCTGGCATATTTCACTATACAACCCAAGCTAGTTGGAAAAATCTCTATCTGGATTTCTTGTGCAATTATAGACTTAAGTGCAGCAAATATTAAATCCTTTTACTCAACATTCATTTTCCTTTCATTTTTCTCTTCTGCTCTGGAGAGTAACAAAGTAAGAAAATCTTGTTTTCTTGTTTTTCAAGTGCCTAATACTGAATGAAAAATATGCTGTCTTCAGAACAAGTAGCAGTTGCAGCTGAACCATTCTCTACATAACTGAACCTGAAAAACTCTCTTCCCAACAAGATGACAATAATGAAAATTGTAATGTTGTGGTATGGTATGTCAAATAGATTTCTATATGGGATACAAAAGTTAAAAGTATTAAAAAGCTATTCCCAAAGATATGCAACTGTACAAGAAAAAAATGGGTGGTTGACAAGTATTTCCTTTGGCAAAAAATGTATGTTGACACAAAAAATGTAAGAAAATTGAACGATTGCTATGTATGGTCTTTTGCATGGCAATCCACTTATTTGCATTTGTATTTGATATTATATGGCTCTCTTTTCTACATGCACCCTATTCAGATGCAGGTCTCAATGTGCAAAATATAGAATGAATGAACTTTTTTTCACAATCTCTAAATGAGGACATCTGTTATTGACAAGTGATTTCAAAAGCTACATGCTATGTGAATTCATTTTTTTATCTAACATCAATGAATAGTATCCATTTTAAAATAAATAAGGAAGGTGTTTAATAATATCGTTTCCTGGATTTTATTAATTATTGGGAGTATTCATCACAATAGAGGAAGTACTGAGTGAAACATATACCCTAGGACTCAGATACAATACTAAAATGGAAGTGGGATGTTTTAAAATGTGCACCAAAAGAGATCAGGAGAGCTGCTTTTCACTAAGGACAATGAATGCATATTAACTAGTATAGGAGGAAAATTTACACTGATTTGTAAAAACAATTGACTAAACTGTGGCAACAATCCAGAGAAAAGAAATATTTTGGGAAATATTAAAAAGGCAGAATATATTTCCCCAAAGGAATAATGGAGAAGATCTTTAAAAAGGCAGACACTTCTACACACACACATACACACACAGCCAGACAACTCAGCAGAAACCAGCTTTTAAAAATGCATATGTAATAATCCATTCAGGAAGATTGGAGCCCTCCAGCTAGAAGCTGAAGAGATCAGGAAGACAAAGACTCTTAAAATACCTCACCCAAATTCTAAGGACAGGAAATATAATAGGATTTAACCCACCACCATCAGAATACAGAAAGGCACACTCAAACTCAGGCCAAAGTACATGATACAGGAAATACAAAGCCTCAGACAGGAACAGGAAACAACCTCAGAGCCCTAGAAGGTATAAAAAGCCACTCCCTACTACATGTGCTCTCTTCTTTTTCTAGAGCCATCTTTCTGTCTGGCTCTCGTCAATAAACTACAACTTTCTTTCTAAAGCAGTCTGCATGTTGTTTATTCCCGGCTTGGATTGGACCCTGATGAAGATTTTTCCTTTAACAAAGCTTTCATAAAATAGTAAGATACACTTAAGGGATACTCAGTTTTATCAATGTTAAATTCAGTTATGGCATTCTAGGTATTATATTACAGCATTCTGCACAAGCTGTGCTGCCTTACACTCTCATCATTGGAATAAAGTGGTGCCACAACACAGAAAAAGTAAGGGACTTTGCTCTGGTATCTTCAGTTAGTATCAAGGAGGACTGCTTTACTTTGCCAAGTCACTTTGCTTCAATAGAAATTGAAGAATTCATACAGAATTCATACAATTCTACAATGACCAACAAAGTGGCTGTGTTGCAATGTTTAATTCTACTCAGCCCATCTGAAAATGAGACACAGAATTTCTATACTATATGACTTATTTTGTTCATTAATGTATTTCATGTTCTGTGTTTTTCCTTATTGGTCAAATTTATTTTACAGTACTGCTATACTATTAAAGACTACTAAGTCTAATTATAAAGACAATAAAAATAAGACTTTAATTTTTTTTAGAAAATAAATTGGTGTTTAAGAGACGATTGAAAACTTTGTTTTGAAAAAAGCTCTTGAGAAAATATTTTCAAAAATGGTCATTTTTGTCAATAGGAAAAAATGCCTAAGGATGCCAAATGTAATCAGATATTTAGGTTCTTTGTGTGAATTAATTTAAATTTGGCCCATAAATCTTCCATGTCTTTTGGTTGCCATTATACTGTTTTTCAGTGAAACATACGACAGACCAGGCTTATTATGTAAAGTTCTTTAATCTGTAATGTGAAAAATACAAAAGCAAAATAATATTTCTGATACATTCATGTACATTACTTTGCAGCACTGTACTTATAATTTGTCATTGGTTTAATTTTTTTAATAACAGAACAAAACCTGTACAAGTTTCAAAACCTGTTAGCCTTTGTAAGTCACATACAAACTTCATTAATATTATACCAAATCCATAACCAAATACAAGTTCCAATACATGGCTTCAATAAATATATTTTAACAGAGTTATTTAATTTTGCCCAACTTTAAGAACATAAACATTATTTTATGATCTCTGCATCCTCAGCACATTTTTATGTATTCTAATGTATACACGTTTTATTTTTTTTTTAATTATGAGCTAAGGCAGTAATAAAAGTGCAGGTCTGTCAGTGTACTCCTAAGAGGTAGGGGAGTGATACATTCACACAAAGGATAAAAATGCAGTAATAGTTTTGCTTGCTTTTTGTATTGTAACAGTAAAAAGGTGTATTTTTGTATTGTAACAGTAAAAAGGTGTATTCTTAAAACAATCTATGAACAATAAAATTGAATTTGTAGAATTTGCAATTTATCCTTCATAAAAGAAGGAAACCTTGTGTATACATTAGTTAGGCATAATATTTTTCCTACTAGAAAAGGTTTGGGTGATATTCTGCTGAAGATGAGGAAGTTTTCTAAAGCAACATTTGCCAAAGTACTATGAGTTCAATGGAGAAGGAGATAATTTATAAGAAGAATCAAGAAGGAAGACCACTTAACTTTTCCTTTGTTCACTGAATTTGTACTAAATTCATGCGTTGATTTTTCCTTGAGCTGATTTTGAATCTCATTAGGGAGCAAATTATTAAAATAATCAAGAGGATATGAAAAAGATCAAAACTTTGAATAGGTTCATGACGCTTCCTACTGACAATTCTGCTTTGTCACACAAATCTCCCTCCACACATAGCCCTCTATTTCTTATCAGCAAAACAAATAGGTGGGAAATCTGTATGCAGCTTGTCTTAAGTTATCTTAAGATATTAATGAAGGAGGAAAACCCCTGCCCTTCAGAACAGTTTGCTATTAATCTATAGAAAGAAGAGAATTTACTGTCTTCGTCATCAAGGCTCCAAGTTCTCATTCGCTAAAGATGTGCAGCAGTCTTTGCACTAAAGTCTTGTAACAAAAAAATCAAAATGGGAGAGTGCCTGCTTTCAACTGACCAGCTGTTACCTCAGTGTAGCTTATTAAAAAAATCATGGTTTCATGGCTCCTGGTACACAAACTTAATGCTTGGAATGGTTTCTCTGCTATCTTGTGATGAATATTTTTGACCGACTGCTTTTGGTAGTCCCTTAGTTTTGGCACAGTATTCATTCTCTGCCCTCAGAAGTATGGGGTCAATTTGGAAAGGCTTCCAAATGAATTCTCGATGAGGAAGAACCTGTGACCTGCTTTGACCCAAGTGCCACCTAGGTCTGTTGCCTAAGAGAATCTGAGATTTCAAGGAGAGACTTCTACGTAGCATTGAAGTCACAGAAGGTACTTCAGGGTTCCACCACAAGGACCTAAACAGGAAGTGGGGGAGGAGGGTAAATAAGTTTATGATAGTAAAAAATAGTACATAACAATGTTTTCAGATTGATGGCTCATACCGCTACCACCACTCAAAATACACTTTACAGTTGTTCCATCTTTTCCTCCTCAATGGATTTATGGAAAAAAAAAGGTAGAACAAATATTGGCTGTATTTCCTCTGCCTTTTTGAAGTAGAGGCTCAAGGGGATTCTCATTTCTTCACAGAAACTATGGTACTGGGGGCTGGAATCTTTAATGATTTTCCTTCATAATCCCCTCCACTAATTATGGTTTGTCTTTAGGGAGAAATATTGTTAATCACTTTTCCTTTTGGAGAGTGTAGGATTTTGATAAAGAAAATAGCGAAAGAATGGTGGAAAGAAGAAAGACATTTCCTATCACAAGTACTGGGTTTATATCAGTGGTTCTCAACCTGTGGGTCGGGACCCCATTTGGGGTCGAATGACCATTTCATGGGGGTTGCCAAACAACGCAGTCCGCCATTTTTTCCTCCTTTTCCTTAGCTGTGCTACTCCCTTTTATTCTATTGGCTTTTGAAAGCCAATAGAATAGACTCTCTTGAATAGAGTCTAATTCTATTGGCTTTCAAAAGCCAATAGGAATTGTCCAGGCTGTCTCTGCCCTGCTGAGCCCGCCAAAAGTCCCATTCTGCAAACGGTGCTGCACCAGTTGAGTAGTCCTCGACTTACGACCGGTTAAGTAGTCCTCGACTTACGACCAGTTGGAGGTCGCGGCATTAAAAATATTGAGAACCACTGGTTTATATATATATAAACTCAGAGCCTCAGAAGCAAAACAGTACCACAGAATGGGTGTGAATAATGTTTAGGAGTTAAAAACACATTTAATAATTTTAGTGTATTTCTTTAAGTGATAAATAATGTGATGTCTATATAAGTGGACAACCATATCTCTAGTAAATATTCTGTTCACCATGCCTGAATTCTAAGACCTTAAATGTAACTGTAATTGGTGAAGGATGATGTGTTCTTTCATAAATAATCTCCCTTTTTAAAATTTATTTAGGGTTGTAGGGTGGCATCTACCATTTAAGTCTAAAATGCAAAACGTTGCAAATTGTCAAGTGTAAAAAACCTGGAACAGATGTTTAGTTCAAAGCACTTAAAGTTTATTATACAGATAACAACAAAAATATTGAAAATTAAATATGAAACTAGCTTCTGCTGATCTTCCTAAAAATCAGTGGTTTTCAGAAAGTCATTATCGAATTCAATGACTTTTATAAATCATTAGGGGATTTTATTAATAAATATTTAATTTTCATTGGGTTTTGGCCAAATGTCAAGATGCATCAGATATTCCTAAATTCCTAAATAGCCTATGGAAAAATATTGTGGGATGCTAATCCTGAACTAACTTAGCTTACATTTTCCATCCAAATAGATGGGAATTGCTTCCTCTGGTTTGAGGCCATATGTAGGGACATTAACCCAATAGATATTCTCTGTATGTCTTCTATCCTTGAGTATCTATATAACGAGAATATACATGTTATCCTCTTAGATCGTAAGAGCTTATTCACCACAGTTTTCCAAAGCCTGCAAGCTCTGCAAGGACGAAGAATTAATGGTAATGGAGGAGTGTGCCTAGATGAGTGAGTACATATTGAATGGGCACGTTTGTTTCATGCTTAAGTGCAAGTGAGGAAAGGATCAAAGAATCTGATGAACAGCAATGGTTATTGTACACCAACAGTATTCCTATTTAAAGCTAAATACCTAATTTCAAAGACACACATCAAACATGGAGCAATATATCAGGACAATGTTAGTTTTAAAAAGTGCTTTAACTGTTCAAGGATTAAACCTCAGGGTCTGGGGCACACACCAGTGCCATTTCACTAAACACTCATGATAATCTCCAAGAGTTAGGAAATGGGAATACCTGTACCGTTTGACTCCAGGACAGGATGGTGGAAGAGAAATACCTATAGAGAAACAAAAATACATTTTGGGGAAACATCTGCAAAATCATAACATAATAGCAGCAATGCATTTTTTTCTAAGAGCCTTTTCTCTATGTAGATGACGAGATTGCAGTATTTATAACAGACCAGTTTTTGCATTTACATAGCCCACGGTACAGAACTGGTGTCTGAATGGCATTTTAATTATAAACAAATGGTCATGCTTTAGTCCAAGCTTTGTATGTTTTTTTTAATCTGTTGAAATCTTTTATTATAATTAGCCACACATCCAGTAATACTTATCTCATTTCTTACACATTCCACAAAATTTACTAGTCTTTCGGTACATGCAGCTTCTCATACCTGCATCCTGTTTCCCATTAGGTTCTCCATTGGAATGCCCATAAAATGGAGCAGGAAGCTGTTTGATGGTTGATGTTGTGAAACTGTGTCGCTGTATTGGTGATAGAGGAATCGTGGATATCAGGAGGGGGCTGGGATTCTTGATCCTGAACTCACATTCAGTCAGGGGAACCATCTGTTTTCCTCTAGGAATCTCTATATAGCAGATATTTTGTAGAAAGCACATATAAAATGAAAGGATCTCAAAATTCTCTAAAATATACTTTTCTGGAATCAGAAAAACTCTACCTATTCACTTTAATATATTCCAAATGAAATACATTTTTGGTGATGCAACATAATACAGCAACGTCTTTTTGTAAGAACTGAACAGTGTTGCCCAGTTAGCAATCTTGAGAGGATGATATTTCACCATTTTTTTTGTTCTGCTTTGTCACAGGCAAAAAGTGATATTGAATAAAGTAGATATTTAGTATTGACCACATTCAACATTATCTCATGCCCAAGGTTGAGAAGGAATATTTCATGTCTACAATTGTTTTCAAACACAAAAACCACAATTTCTAAACTCAGATCTATAAATCATACCATGGCACTCTCACCGGATTATTCTGAGTGAGGTTTGAGGTCATCCTGGTCCAAAGATTTTTATAGAATCTCTATTTTGAACAAGTGGAAAAGAGCTTCAAGGCAGGATTTGTACTGCTGTCAGCATGTTAAGCCATGAGCTGTGGTTGCGCAGTGGTTAGAAAGCAGTATTGCAGGCTAATTCTGCTGACTGCCGACTGCCAGCAGTGCGGCAGTTCAATTCTCACTGGCTCAAAGTTTAATCAGTTGACCCCACCTTCCATCCTTCAGAGGTCAGTAAAATGAGGATCCAGATTGTTGGGGGCAATAGGTTGACTCTATAAACCACTTAGAGAGGACTCTGAAGCACTGTGAAGCAGTATAGAAGTCTAAGTGCTATTGCTATTGCTACTGAATGCTCTCGAACAATAATAGTCACTTCATCTTGAAATAAGTAGAGGCCATTTTAAAAATAATATATTTATGTGAAAGGTTTGGAAGGAAAATCAACCACCAGTCTGGATGATGGTTGCAATGTAATATAACCAAGTTTATTGCTTATTTGCATGAAACTAAAATGCACAAGTACAAATGAATAAGATAAAAATGCTGGAACAGGGAATTTTGATGTTAGTCATAATTTCACATAAACAAGATGAATTTTTCCACGATACATGTAGAGTGTTAATAGCTGGGATAGTGCATTCCCCAGAAGACCTAACAGGATATCTAGATAAATATCTTACCTTGACATTTTTGACCGTTACTTAAGTTTTCTCCCTGCAGAAATAAAGACTGAATTACCCGGTTGGCCCTGTATCAGATAAATGTAAGTCTTAAGTCTCTGCTTTTTTTTATGTTACTAATATATTTGCTGACATACTGTTAATGAGCATTACTTGCCTTTCTTTCAGTTTCTTTACTGTAGAAATTATGGCAAGTTTGAAGTAGAATTTGCAATGTTAAAATTGGACATAAAATTTTAGACATCTATATTCAAAGATACAAATATATTTATATGCCACTTACATAGATTCAAATTAATTAATTTTGCATTCTAATGGAAAACTTTTCTAGTTGATTACTTCTATCCAATAAAGCTACGTTTGACACAATTTTACTTGCTTCTTACCAGAACTTTTTCCTTGTGCTTTAATGCAGGGCTCACAGCAAATTTCTGATGCAAATCATTTCTTTCTTTCCTGGTTCGCAGAAGTTTCTTTTTCTTCCTTTTCTTCCTCTCATTACAGTCCTCCAAAAAGAAATGCTCCAATAATTAAATATATCAAGATCAAATTGTGACACATTAACCTATGTCAAATCAGCTCAATCTTTACAAAAATCGTGCATAAATCTTTGAACGCATCAAAGAGGTTAAAATATGTTTTTTGGGGTGGAATAGGAAAAAACATGATAAGGTTTTAGTCGTGTTAGCGCCAGGCTGGACTATGGGAATATTCTAAAGATATACAAATTGGTTCCTATGCTGTGTAAAGATAGTGTTAGCTTTTCCAAAGCTTGCTATGATAAATAAATGGAACCCACTGGAAAATATTGTTCTGTTGTTAACATGAATGGATGGGTGAGAAAAAAAAAATGAAAAGCGAGATAAATGATTGAGTTATTTGGAGACCAAGAAAGGATGAGAATGGTGATTGTTTTATGAGTATCTGCTTAGTAAAAGGTCAATTTATTTTGAATATGTGCTTAATCATGACTATATTCATGCACAAATATGGCAAAGAAAATAATCTCATTGCATGATTGATTTTATTGATTATGAGATAAGACAATAATTTAAGTGAAGAATAGAAAAATAATTAAAGGTTCTGAATGTGGATAGACCAGTTTTTAGTAAGGTCAAGACTGGACCTTGGGAAAAAAAATGATATGAAAAAGTTATTGAAAGAAACTACAGTGAAAATAGAACACCACAGGAAGAGAAAAAGATAGACAGTCAGACACACACACCCATGAAAAATAAGTTGAAATGTGACAAATACTTAGAACGACACTCTTGCTGTCTTTTCATTTGTATATAATAAAACATTATTCTAAATGTCAGGTACAGGTACATTAAATATCATCCCATAAACAAACCACATCCATATTTTAGCATGGTCTTCTAAATGTTATATAGATTGTATGATGCAATAAGTTAACTAATATATCAGAGATGAAGTTAGTGCTTCACAGAGGAAGCAGAGTGAACAATCACATAGAATCATAGGGCTAGAAGGGACTTTGGAGATCTTCTAGTCCAACCCCTTGCCCAAGGCAGGAATCCTTATACAATCCTGGACAAATGGTTGTCCAATCTTTTCTTGAAAATCTCCAGCAATGGAACATTGGTTAATTGTTCTCATTGACAGGGAATTCCTCCTTTGTTCCAGGTAGGATCTCCCTCTGACGAGTTTCTACCCATTGCTGTCTTGTCCTACGGTTTTGTGTGGAAAATTATGATCCCAGACGGTCCAGCTGAAGAAACAGTGGACCACCTGGTAAGCTGCTGCAAGAAGATTGCACAGACTGACTACAAGCAGCGGCATGACAAAGTTGCATCAATGGTGCATTGGAAGATCTGCAAGAAATATCATTTGCCTATAAGCAAGAACTGGTAGGATCATAAAATAGAGAAAGTCGTAGAAAATGATAAAATTAAACTGCTCTGGGACTTCAGAATTCAAACAGACAAGCATCTGCCACATAACACCCCGGACTTAACAATTGTCGATAAGAAAGACAAAAAAGTCTGGATAGTGGACGTGGCAGTGCCTGGAGACAGCAGAATAGACGAGAAAGAACTGGAGAAGATAACAAAATACAAAGACCTACAAATAGGAATAGAAGTGTGACAAAGGCGAGCAAGGGTAGTACCAATAGTAATAGGCACCTTGGGTGTAATCCCAAAACAACTAGAGCACCACTTGAACACCATTGGCATTGACAAATTCACCATTAGTCAATTGCAAAAGGCGGCCTTACTAGGAACTGCTTCCATCCTGCGACAATATCTGTAATACCATCAAACATCCACATCTGCCTATCCCAGGTCCTTGGGAAGGACTCGATAGGTAGACAAAAATGCCAAATCCAGTCTGCACATCTGGTTGACTGTGCGATGATCAATAACAATAACAATAATAATATAAGAGTTGGAAGGGACCTTATAGGTCTTCTAGTCCAACTCCCTTCTCAGGCAGGAAACCCTACTACTTCAGACAAATGGTTGTCCCGTCTCTTCTTAAAAACTTCCAGTGTTGGAGTATTCACAAATTCTTCTGTATTTTATATTTTTTAATTTTTCCAATTGGAATTATTCACTGAAGATGCATAGCTCTCACCTTTTCTACCATCTTGAGCAAATGTGCAGGAGGGCCATCTGATTGGGAGCTGTCAGACCCACTCGTGCTAATTAAAAGAAAAGAGAAAAGCTATTCATGTGATGCACAATGACAAATATTGTTATTGTTTTGCTTCTAGCAGCTAGGAATTTTGCTAGGAAAGCTTAAGTACTAGACATAAACTGTATCATTGGATAGGCCTAAAACTTTAAATCATTCAACCTATCTTCATCATCAAATCACCTATAAGGCATAAGCCCTTAAAACTAATTATGTGGTGAGTATCCCTTCCCTTGGGTTGCTTCTCATGCCTTTGTGGTGCCAAAGTTATTTCTGATTCAAGCTGCATGGCTGTCTGCTAATGGAATTGGAAAGACCGCACAGATGTTTCTTAGCTAACCTAGAGAGTAAGGATTTTTTAAAATAATTACCATGTCTATCCATGTGATTTCAATGCCCATTAGTATATTCCTTCAATGTAACATAATACATACATTAACAGTTCCTATGAAACGAAAAGTACCAATGAAAAGAATGTACAGTATGTGATTCAGCAACATCTCTGAAATCAAGCTGTTCAGTAAGACAGCGAGTGAGGTTGCATTGATGGATACTTGAACAAGATACAGCCTCAAATAGGTACAAAAGTATGAAGAGCAAGATAAGAAAAAGAGCCTTCAGAGATGTAGCTCTTGTTTTAAGCTTTCTTTTTTTTAATAAAAGAGCTAAAAATATTAGCAGCATGGTATCCTCTGGCGTGATTATTTTATAGTCTTGGAGGATAGAGAAATCCACAGGGCATCTCACTTTTACAAAATCCCTTATCACCAAAGGTGGGAAGATTTGGATTACCTGGATTCCACATCAGATAGAGAGATGTCACTCCAAGTGCTTTCTGTGTTTTTACCCAATTCTGAGAGCTTAGACTGGATTTTTTGTTTCAGTAATTCCTTAAGCTCAAGCAAGCACTGCTGAAACTAAGAGAAGAGCAGAGAATTCTTAGACCAAATGGAAAATATTGTTTGGCTACACACTTTAAAATGTTCTAACCGTTCTAACCATTTCAGTGAGCAGTAAATATTAACAAGTAAATATTCAGTGGGCAGTAAATATTAACAAGTAAAATATAAAACAATTTGAAAAATGTACAATATATCAATCTTCATATACACTTAAAAGATTAAAAAATAAATCCAAATGGCATCAACAAAAATCTCTTCAACCAGCATGTGCTCATGTGCAGGTGTGTGCGTGCACACACACACACACACACACACACACACACACACACACACACACAGAGGCTGAATTTCCTTTACGATGTACCAGGATCAATATGAAAAAATTCTTAAATTATATAGTCTTTCCTTTGATTATCAAATTTCCTACGTGGACTAATTTACATTTCATAACATGTTCATAACCCGAGGGGCAACGGCATTCAGACAAGTTTCTAGTTAACAAAATTCCTATGTATACTGAAAAATTAATATCTACTATTTGGTTGAAGTTTTGTTTATTTCTTATACATTTCAGACTCACAAAGAAAGAGCATATACAGTAGAGGAGCGGGCTGCATACATGTCTTCTATTGGTATTTGGACAGTTTGGATTTGAACTGCATGGACTATGGCTATTTCCAGACTACGTACTTTCAAAATGTAAGAAATAATAATGGCAATATTAAAGTATGCCTCAGAAATATGGGAGCTGTTGTGGCGCAGTGGCTAGAATGCAGTACAGTACTGTGGCTGATCCTGACTCTGCCCACTGCCAGGAGTTAAATCCTGACCTGCTCAAGGTTGGCTCAGCCTTCCATCCTTTTGAGATCAGTAAAATGAGGACTGAGATTGTTGGGGGCAATATGCTGATATTTGTAAACAATTTCGAGAGTGATATAAAGCACTATGGAGCGGTATATAAGTCTAAGTGCTACTGCTATTTAAACGCCCTGGCCAATCCAACAGTATCTTCTAATTCTGTTAAGCTACAACTGGAAACTCTTACCTTAGAGCGGTCTGGATCACAAAAGTCCAATAAAGTGTCACAGACATGATAACCTAGAGATTTGAGATCCTCAAACGTAAAATGACAGTTACTTTTAGCACCTGAGAAAGACAAATAAACATGTGGCTCTTTAGTATTTGGTACAGTAAATACCTTGATATGCAATCAAGAGAAAGGTATTTCCCTTATTCATCATATTGTGTAATTTATTATTTAACCAGCATTCTTTGCAGTCTTTTTTTTTTGCCCATCGTATTCATTATTATTCAATAAAGGGCAGAGCATCCATTATAATCTTTTTTCTTTCTTTTACTCCTTCCTTTTTTGCTTACTGCTCCTGAAGAATGAAAATTTACTCTTCAAGTTGTATTGTTTTTCTGATCTTTTGCTGTCTACAGTTAAATTATGTTCTTTTCCATGCAGTAGTAATCAGAATTAGCTAAGATCTTCCCCCCACACTTTCCTTTGCTTCTTAAAAATACAAAAGTAGATACAGTTTTAGATGACCTCCCTCATGCTGCTACTGCTACCAAAGTCTATTGACTTTGACAGAATATTAAAATACCTAGTTCCCTGATGATGTTAGGATTTCATAGCCAGTAAGCTTGTTTCTCACTTTACTATATTTAATTTGAAATACTCTTAACCTACAGTCTCTGTATCACAAGGAGATAACTTTATTTTCCCACAACTTGAAGCAATCAGCCCAAGCAATGAAATAAGGCTGGGATAGCCATGAATTTAACTGTAGGCCTAAGATGCAAATCCTCACATTCTGTAGGCCGAGTGCACAGCTGCTAACCCAAAACCAATTAAAAATCACCAGACCATTAAAAACAAGAGAATATGTGTAGTTCAGGGTTGAACTATGGGGTCCTTGGTGCTCTCTGAGCTTGGTTGTTTTCCCATTATCTGAACTAGATACTGTACTACCTTGAATAGAAAAAAAGATGTACACTTACCAAGTGTTGATCCACTGAATGTAGATTCCATGGTATAACTGTTCTGTATTCCCATTCTCCACATCACAACTCGTCCAGTTCCTTCTTTACACTTCTGAACTTGAAATTTACAGCTGTTGAAACAAAACTGAACATCCAAATTGTCCAAATTAGAATTATTATATTATTGGAGATAGTTATTAAAGCATTGTTGATCAGGCCAAATAAATAATTAACACTTAGTAATCCATTAGATGTATTTAAAAAACACTCTAGAATGCAGGTGATTGAGAACCAGTTTGGTGTATTGATGAAGGTGCTAACCTATAAACCAGGAGATAAGTGAGTTTTAGGCCTGCCTCACGCATGAAAGCAATCTGGGTTGACTTTGGGCCGGTCGCTCTCTCACAGCCGAAACCACCTAATAAGTTATTGTGGTGGGGAAAATAGGGGACAGGAGTATTAGCTATATTCACTGCCTTGAGTTACATAAAAAGGTGAGATAAAAAATTAATAATAAAAACAATTTCTCTCTCAGATTACAAACTGTGTATCTTCTAGGGATTGTTGGCATACAATGTTAAACCATCTTGTAATCTGCTCGGATTAGTTTAGGGTCAAATAAAATACAATTCAAGATAGAAAGTCTGAGCTAGCCAATCAGTGTTTCCGAATATTATTTGTTATGTTCTATCACTGCTTCTGATTAGCTACATGAAATTTGGCAGTGGACATATAGATATAGGATCTTTTTTAAAAAAAAAAATAAACATCTGCAACCAATATTTACACGTGGCCTTTAAATAATGTTGCGTTCTGAGCTGTAGCATCTCCTTCTCCTGCTTCTGATAGTGCACATTTCTTTTCCCCATCACCTTACGCCTGGGTTCTGCCTGATATTCAGCTACAATTGTTTTCCAGTCATTATTCAGGCCCATCAACATTTTCCAACAAATCTCTATTGCACAGAGGAACATAGAATGAACGCCTAACTGCTTCAAAAGCATTTTCTGTATTGACAACAATGAAATGCATGGCTTTTTTAAATTAGAGGTATAATTTTAATTTTACTTTTAAGACCTGCATTAATTTATTTGGTTTCTTGAAAATAAAAAGATTTATTTTTATGAGTTTGTATTAAATTTTTGTTATCTGCTTGTACTGAATAATTTGCTCTATTTGTAAAATGTGAGAAAAATCAATATCATATAGTTCAAGAGGATTGAAAAAGTAGATATGCTGCATAAATACGTTTCTGTTCCAAATTACCCCAAGTTTCACCATCAAATGCTTCTACATCCATTAATTAAAAATGGCACAAGTCAGAATATGTAGTTTATTTAAGGGAGGACAATTTTGGGTATTGTAATCAGACTTTTTTAAAAAAAAAAAATAGATATTTTCCAGTAATGAAAAGAAGTCTGAATAAAACAGTATCTGTGAAATTTAGACAATTTATACTGAAATAATGAATGTACTGAATTAGAATCTGCATGCAGGTCCTACCTTATCAGGAATATTCTTGCTCATCATAAGAGGAAAGATTCGCTCATGAAGTAACTGATCTTGTGTATATTTATTGTTACAGCCATACATGAAGATATTGTTCTTTCGACTATGTCCATGGATATCACAATAGAGCAGAACTTCACGTTCCTCAAGGACTCTTTCAGAGCAGGGACACAAGACAAAAATAAAGAGATCCAAGGAAACCTCTGAATGTCTGATTTTATACATATAAACATATAAACAACTATATTGTATTGTTTCCCCCCACTTGTATGGCAGTATCAAAAATTATGAATTTGAACATTCCTGATATATACAACTTTAGCTAGATTTAGTAGTTATTTAAAGTAAATAATTGGTTGGTTCTCATTTCCCTACTAATGGCAGAAAAGCTGTAATCCAATACACTTCTGGCAGAAAAAAGCCAGTTTGGTCTAATGGTTAAGGTACCAGGTTAGAAAGCGGGAGACCATGAGTTCTAGTCCCACCTTAGCCATGAAAACCGGGTGACCTTGCCCAACCTCACAGGGCTGTTGTAAGGAAAATAGGAGGAAGTTGTGCTGGACATGTTCACCGCCTTGAGTTATTTGTAAAAATAAAAATAAATAAAAAATAAGAAAATGAAAGCACAAGAATTTTAGAAACAAGAAATAAAAGCAAAAAACAAACAAACACAACCCACTGATTCTCTGACACTTTTTTCAAAACTGACCAAACGGGATAGCCCTTAAAATTCAAGGGTGTTTTAGGCCATTTTACCTTCTAATTGAAAAATATGTATGAAATCCAGGAAGCAATAGTTAAAACAGAAGAATTAACCAGCTATACAATTCTAAATTGAGAATGTTCCAAGATTGTATATTTTTAGTTTATTTATTTAGCCATATGCAAGCTGTATCATAAGAAATGCTAAAATTACTGTATCAATATCTTGATGATACCACTTTAATGGCACAAGTGAGAAAGCCTTAAAGAATTATCTTACTGAAGATAAAAGAAGAGAATGCAAAAGCTGATCTGCTGTTAAGATTATGTCAATAAGAAATGCCATCCCAATGTGATAATAGTAGAGAAGATGTTTACAAAGTAACATCGTCTTTTTAGGCTCAAATAAGAAATTCTGACTGAAACTATGAAAAAAGACGTCTACTACAGGGAGAAGTATGCTAACTCTAACAGAATATTAATATAGAGAGCCATCACACTGCTAACAAATCTGTCTTTTGCATTTTTTTCCTGAAAAAAGCATTCATTGAGAAATCCTGGCAAAACGGTTGCAGGACACGGGGTTAGAAATGAAGAATAATTGAATAACAACAACAATGCATATAGCTCATATGAATACTTGCTAGATGCTGCCCTTGACTGATAGGTAATACAGCATTTCTAGAGATGCTCAGAGTGTATGCACTTTTCTAAATTTTCTGTTGATAGTATACTCTCCTATATTTTGCAGAACATATATTGGATAAGCCAAATAATTTCACCAAATAGCACTGGCATATTTGAAGTCTCCGTAGCCTCCCACATGCAAACTAAGTCTGATATTTGTATTATTGCAAAAAAAAAAAAAACCCTTCAGAAACTGTTGTAAGTATATACACACATGCTCACACAGCGTGTACATATGTGTTTATTAAACAAATTTATATAGCTGCTCAGCTCACATGCAGTGACTGTGTGTGTGTGTGTGTGTGTGTGTGTGTATATATACAGTTCTTAATATAAGCTGCCTTTAGAACTTCATATAAATCTCTGTCACTTACCTCTTGATCATAGCCCGAGTATACCAAATGCAGGGGAAAGATTCCTTTAATTCTGTCCTATAGTTTCTGTTCAAGTCTCTTCCTGCCAACGAACAGCGATAGTTCCCCACAATAACTCCATCTGGGTTCAGCATGGGCACAACTTTGAATATGAAGAGATCTCGAAGGAGCTGAGCATCAGGAGCATCACTCAGGATAAAATCCAAGAAACCTCTCATCACCCATGAACTATTTGTTTCCCCAGGATGGACTCTGGCAGTTAATATAATAGCCTTTTTTGCTGCTCCAGCCATGGCGCTTTGGGACGGATTGGTAATAGTAAGAAGGTATACTGTGTTTCCAGCTAGACTGTTGCACAGAGGGCGGAGTTTGCAATGCTGAGAATAGAGTGGATTACTTACCAAAGTCAAAAGATAATTTTGTAGGTCTGAATAGGTATAAGGATAAAATTGAGCAAAGTAACATGTGTCATAGCTGTTAGGAAAACACACTGTCCATGTGAGGCAATAGAGGGTTTGACCTTCTTCTGTGTTGTATTTATAATACTTGATATGATTACCCACCCTCCTCCAGCCAATACCCTCAGACTCAGCATCCTTCTGAGAATACATAAGAGGCTTCATCCCCATATTGTAGAGGCTTTTGGCTTTCATCAGATTAACAATTGTGAAGCGGTACATGACATCTTTTCTAGTATTTTGTACTCTGAAGTAGTACCATTGGGTATGCTTGCTGGTATAAAGATCCGTCCGCAAAGTGAGTTCATATTCATATTCGCCTCTGAAAGGAAGCAGGGAGAACAAAGATGCATTAAAAGCCAGCAGAAGAAGAACTACATAGCGACAGGTCCTTCAGTCTTATTTAAAGATGAAATAGAAGGATTCATTTTATTACGGTCTTCCTCCCTGTGAATAAAGAGTTCAAGGACCCACTCTTTCCATCAGCTGGTTAATGTGGCATATCATTTGTTATTTGTGTAGCATATGTGGCCTTGACCAGATTCCATTTTGGGGAAATGGGGAGTTTTAAGAGATGAACTGAATGCCTTAACTCTTGCTGGTCTGTAGTATTTAGGTGATTTGCTTTATATGGAAATCAAGGTGGCTTAGAAATCTTAGCCAATATTCATTTTTATTTTCTCTCATTCAACAAGGAAGGGGATGAGTTAAAGGTAAGATGCAAAATAGGTAAGTAAGAAGAACATTCCTTTAGAAGAGTGCTAAGATGTAACAAAGACAGCTAAATGGCTCTCTCTGCAAGGATCTTGTGGTACTAATAGTTTCCCTAAAAATCTGATAGGGAAAGCAGTGTCTTTTTGGAGTGCCAAATGTGAAAATGCCACTTACACATACAGTTGTATACAAAGTTTAAGAACTACTAGTTAAATTGTGAATTCAAATAAATCCTGAAGTGAACAGAAGCTGACAAAACGTCTACATCTTCTGCTTCTACTGTAATCCACAGCAAATTCAATTACTTAATATTTATGTGCAATTGTTTACAAGTAAAGTGTGAATATGGCAAGTGAAGAACATTGGACAATATTTTATATCATCTTTGGCAGAAGGAACAACTTTAGAAAGAGTTAAGAGTCTTGTCTCACTATTGGATTTCCCCCCTCTTCCTTGCAGATCTCGTCTAATAGTCTCAGGGGGTCTATGACAATTCGCCCTGGCCAGCTTGCCACAGCCAACTCACCCTGGCCAACTTGCCACGGGACAAGAGTTACACTAATATCAAAAGAATGGTGGAACAGAATCATTAAAGAAGGGATGCAAAAACAGGTACAAAATGAAATGTGAATGACAAAACTTAAAATATTTTTGTAATTGATTTTAAATAATTAAATTGAATTGTTCAATTGCCCCATGGCAAATTGTCCCACAGCAAGTTGGCCCTGGCAAGTTGTCCATGGCGAGTTGGCCGCAGCGAGTTGTCCCATTCAGAGTCTTAGGTCTCCTTGCATGACCTGCATGCTTGAGATTTTCTCATGGACTTTCAATAATATCCAGCTCTGGGGAGTAGAAAGATCACTCCAAAACTCAAAGGTGCTTTTTCAAAAGGCAACTGGACTGGTGGTTGGTTTTTTTTTTTTTTTGTTTCCCCCCCACTCTGATACAGATGACATTGATACAGATGACTCTGATACAGATGACATTGAGGCCCCAAGTGGCCTCAAGAGGTCTCAGGGAGAGTGCTAAGACCAGAGACTGCAAAAAAATATGATCCTTCCACACACACCCTGCCATCCTGTCAGAATTCATCCTTCTATCGCTCCCACGATGCTGGCAGAACAATGAAGCTTCTTGGATGAGAAACAAAATGTCTTCCTCAAGAAAAAAATAGTCCAGTTGCCTTTTGAAAAAGCACCTTTGAGACAACTGTGACCTGGGTGACTTTCCACAGACACCATTCCAAAACCTTTGTCTTTCTTTCCTGGAAGCATGGTTAATTTGAAGATAAGAGAGAATAATGCCTTTATAGGCCCCTCCAAATTTCAGTGCTATATGCTAGGTCAGCTCTTTCTTCTGTGATAAGATTCTGGATGAGGGAAGCCTTATTACAGGCCAACCTGCTGGCACCTTTGGTAATAATAGCAACTGGAACTCAAAACTGCTCAGGATCCAGTGCCCTAGTGTTGGATGCCTGGATATCTTTAGCTGAGTCTCATCGCTCATTCTTCTTTTTACTTCCTCTGTTGGTTTGCTTAATATACAAATGCTTGTGAGTTCTGGATAACCAAAAACCTTGCTAACTGCTTAGATAAAGCACTATTTACCCAAGATATTAGGTTTCCTTTGAATTGTTTAGGAAAGGCATAATAAATCATACTGTTTTTAGTTGCAGATACATTTGCGTAAAAAAGTTTGCATAAAATGTGGCAAAACTCAGTTAATAATTGCCTTGCTTAGCCACAGAAATTTGGAGCTCAATTGTAGTCATAAATCAAAGACTACCTGTATATCAATTAAATTAAAATTCATGATAAAGTACATCTGAAATATGAGGTATCTCTTACAAGGATATGATTTGTAATAAATCTTAGCACTGTTAATGTTAATGCAATAGCACAATCAATGTCCTTCAACAGATTATCCTAGCCCTTCATTAAAAAAAAATGTTCTCCTTTTCTGCTCCCACATATTTTCCTGCCCTGTATGATTCCCAACTCTTCTTACTCACACCCTGATTGCTTTCTGGAGATTCCCACTTTCAAAGCGTGATTCAAATAACAGTACAGTATCTTCTGGATCTTTTAAGGTGGCAGCAGCTGACTTGATAGGTAGCCTTGATCCTCCAACTCGTGAAGCAATAAAATAGGCATCTGTAGTTGCTGCAGAAGAAAAGGAATGCCTGTCAACAAAGTTATCATAGATCTTGCTCTGTGATAAGTAGATCTGTGTACTAGCTCTGCAAAGTTTGTTATTAAAATTACTGACAAACACTAATCTCCCATGGATAAATAGCAATTAAAATTGATTGCAGATAAGTAACCTGATTCCAGTTTTTCTACTTTCTAAAAATTGGGCAAAATTAAAAACACTGTACAGTACTTCTCTAACTTTCCTCAATGATGACTTAAGAACTAAATTAGATAATACATGCAAGACAATGTGTGTAACAATCCTCAAATTATTCAAATTCAAAGCAATTGGGAGAGGCTATGGTGGAACAGCAGAATAGTTGAAAAGGTGCATAACTCTGCCTTCAACGAACATTTTTATTATAGTTTTCTACCTTATGCCCTTTTTTAAAACCTTTGAAATAAGTACTTTGACATCTTTGGTAAAGACCCTGAGATACGGCAGGGTGTTAAATATAAGCAGTCTAAGTCTCACTCAACCCATTTTTTTCCCTTTCTCCCTCTTCCTTCAAATTACTCTTAACATTTTTTTTCCTTCACTTTACATCATGCCCCCCCCCAAAATCAGCAAATTTTGTGATTTATTATTTTAAATTGAAAAATGTACTGTGTATTCTCTGAGCTTGTAAAAATAACATTTTATTTTTGGATAATCCACTATGTTTACACAGTGACTGGCATTGGAAAGAATGCTAATGATGATGGGTTGGTAGATAGGCAAAGACATATGGAAAGATACAGCTCTTTTTTCATTGTCTTTGAACCCTCACATCCCTAAATATGACACCTACCATTTCCTTTCCAATAGCAAATGTGAAGTTTATGTTCTGCAAATTAATACTCATTATGTTATCAATACAATTAATTCTTGCAATTCCAAAAGTAGTTTTGGAACCATTATTAGCATTGTATATGTTTAAGGAAGTGTGAGAGGAGTGATAACCTAGAGGTCTTGTACAAGATTCTGACACTTAGAAATTACACTTATGTAATTCAGTCAAGCAAATAACTTGATTATATTCAAGAATACGATTCAAGATTTATATTCTTCATGTATACATCATGGCTTGAGAATATCCTTAATTTAGAATCTACTAAGATGATATGAAAATCAACCTCACAGAATTTAATATCCAGACAAATCATATTTTGATAGGAGATAAATCATACTTCTGATTGATAATCCAGCATGATTTACTTTCTTTTCTAGTATCCAGTGGTCTATTATCCACACTACTTTCTTTCTCTTTCTCTATTCTAATTCACAACTGACTCTTGTCTTTATTTTCTAATTCCCCATTTCCAAATTTCTCTTCTGATTTTATCAATAGATTCCTTCTGTCCTGTTGAATTTTCCATCATTCTCTCTGGTTGCCATTCTCAATTTATTCTTTTATTAGAACTAATAAAATGCATTTAAAGTATCTGTGTAGGAACAGATTTCTTAAGTAGGCGAGAGCAATGTATATGGAACATAACTTTTAGCTGATACATTATTTGACTTACAGGTATGTATTATACCAGAGGTTGTGAAGCTGAGAACCACTATGGAAAAGCCAAAATATGATTATTTTTAAAATGTTACAATATGTAAAAAAAATAAAGCATAGATTATTTATGCTCTCAATTTAATGTAGGGTTTCTATAACTAATTTTTTACAGGTGACCAAAGTCATGTATATGTCAAAATGTATATGAATTTGCAGCAAATCATTGAAATTAATTCAATAATTAATAAAACGTTATAATTGATTACACTGAACTACCAGTTAGCCTAAAACAGCATGCAAATTTAATGTTTGTAGACGTATATATACACTCAGATAGATGTACATGGATGATTTCAAAATTAAGATTTTTTTTTAGCCTTTACAGTAGATAGCCTGCACTATTCTCAGCCACTAACTAATAAGGCATCTTTATAGCAATGTATTATCACCCCATATATACCAATACCTGGTTCTATGAAATAGACAACGGTTCCAGAACTCTCTCCAACTATTTCCGGTGCAAATTCATTTCCAGTTGGCTGATAAAAAGGTTCCGGTTTAGGAGGAACCCATTCTAATAAAGAAGCAAATAATGGCACATACTTATTTCACTGTGATTTTGATTTCCCAATTTAAAAATTCAATACTTCCTATTTGCTCTGGTTGACTCCTTCCTCTCAGTTCCATTCTAAAGACACTTCACAGTATGATATACGAGCATACAGAACACATTATATATATATTTATGTGTATGTGTGTATATTCACACTTACAATTGTAGCAACTTCCCCATGGTCACGTGATCAAAATTAGGATGCCTGGTAACTGACTCATAATTATGATGGTTGCAGTGTCATGGTGTCATGTGATCATCTTTTGCAACCTTCTGACAAGCAAAGTCAAGGGAGAAGCCAAATTCACTTAACCACCATATTAATAACTTAACTGCACTAATTCACTTAACAACTGTTAAGGTCATAAAGTGAGGCAAAATTGACTTAGCAACTGTCTCACTTAGCAACAGAGATTTTGGGCTCAATTGTGGTCATAACTTGAGGACTACCTATATTGTCCTGGATATTTTTCATTTATCAATTTTTTGAAAGCATAATATTTCAGAGGCTATTTCAAACATTTGTTATTGAAATCCAATATATAGTTTGCCCCAAATTTCAATGCTAAACAGGATAGACAAATTTTAATTGCAAATTCAATGCCAAATTAAGATAATGCTCTGAAGGTTTTGAGGAAATCTTCAGTTACCAACCCCCGCTGTAATCAACCTAAAGCTTTGACATTATGTTTTAAATTAAAAATTGGGAATATTCTCATTATAGAGCTATATCCTGGTTTTTTTTATTGTATAAAAATATTCTGAACAATGATTGAAAATACCTATTTAAAAAATTAATTAGTCATAAAGAAACAAGCCTTGCAGAAAGAAAATCAGCATTATTTCCAGACAATTAATCCTATCTTGCTATTCTTAAGTTCTTTGAAATTTTCATCAGGCATGAGAATAAAAGTGATTGTCAACATGGTATATTTGGATCTAACTCTGTTGATAGTATATATTTGGATTTTTTAAAAACCATTTCTCACCAAAAAGTTGTTGACTTAGCAGTCATAAGAAAAATTGACTTGGTGTCTTGTGCATTTGGTTACAAACAGAAAACACTTCCTCACATAAGCGTATCATTAAATTGTGAAATTCATTACCCAAGACATAATAATAGTCACTAGCAGGATAGGCTTTAACGTGGAATCAAATAAAAACATGGAAAATGGAACTAGCACTCCTGAATACTCAATTTGGAATACCTCCAGGTTGTGACTAGCATGGCTCTAAATACTAGCTGTAGGGGAACAGTGGTGGGACAGAGCCTGTATCTCCTACTTTGATCTCCTGAAACATCCAGTTGGCCATTGTAAGATGCCGGATTTAGATGGACCTCAGTCTGGCCCAGCAGAGCAATTCCCATGTCCTTCTTTTCTCTTAAATGTACAGGATTATTTCTGGAATGATTTGCAGGCATATGTAGCAAAATTCTATTTGTACAATAAATACATTACATTACAACTAATACATTTTTCCCAATATAAGATTCAGATTACCAATGTGATAGATATGATCCTCGATTACTTCACACTCGATTGGCCAGAGTGGGCTCAATTTTGAATTTCTACCTCTAGGAAGAGAAAAAAGATTCCGAGGTTCCCGTAAGCGCAAGATACTAGGGCTTTCTAGTTGATCAAGCATGCGCTGTTTGCTTTTAAGAAGTGCAGTTTCCATTACTAGTGAACCTGTCAAAGGAAAAACATATACAATATGCTACTACTTTCTTTTCAGATACTCAGTGAAGGTTTTATTTCATTTTCAATATCTAACGCGCAACAGGTTGATAATTCTGTTTACTTACAGAGTAGGGTCTTGTCTGAATCATGTTCTTTTCTATCTTTTTTGCAGAGGTTGCCTGCTGTCAATAAATGGCATGAGTTCTCCCAGCTTTCAAAAGGAAAACTAAACTTGTGAGGAAAATTTTCCTCATCTAAGAAATAAATTTTTATAATATTATTTCATGAAATTAGTTATTTTTAGTTAATCTTATAATTACAAGCTCTCAATGAATTACCGTATAGCTATTACAAATTCAGGAACATATAGATTGAGAAATTATGCTGTATTACCAAAATCATATTTATATGCCAGACTCACAGCACAGCTGCCAATGTGTTAAATTCAGCTGCAACTGTCTGCAGATTCCACATTGCCTTGCAACACTCTTACCCTCATATTTCCCTAAACTATTCTGGAGGATTTGGGAATCCCAGATTCCTAGAATTCTGCTTGTTTGAGGTAGGTGATACTGCAGTCCAGTATCATCTATATGATATAAGCTGCCCATCCTTGAAATTGGTTTATACTGTACATAGGACCAGTTTCAACTGCTGTCTAATCTGATGTGTATTATCAACTTCAAGATTGGGCAATTTTTCATCTGAAGGCTGCACTTAAAAAGAAAAAAAACAATGTTGGCCTCCAAATCCCAAAGGTGTTTTTCAAAAGGCAACTGGACTTTCTTATTTTTTTCCTTGAAGACTTCAAAGAAAGTCCAGTTGCCTTTTGAAAAGCACCTTTGGGACAACTATGACCTGGAAATTGGGAATCTCCATAGACAGTTGGCTTCCAATGGTTACTAAAGCTGCCCTATATATATAGTGAAGATTGAGACTGAAAATGAAGGTTTAATCATCAATTTCAATCTTTATAATCAAATATCAACTATGTTCAATTAAATTCCACTGGTATCATCCTAGGGATAGTCAAGGGAGAATGAAAAGTCTATTATTCTCCCTATGTCCCTAAAGTCCATTGTGGAAGGATTATCTGTTTCAGAAGGTTAGGACTGAGGCAGAAGTAAAAGGACAATGTCTTATATTGTGTGGTATCTGTGTGTGCTTATAAGTCAGTCTTGACTCCTGGCAACTGCTTGGACAAGTCCAGGCAGTTTTCTCAAAACATTTTCAGAATTCCTTAGCCGGTGTCTTCTTCCTAGAGCTGAAAGACAAAAACTACCTCATATCATTCTAAAAGTGAACTAGAACTCTGAAATTTTATAACCCAGTGCCTTTAACCATTATATTAAATTGTAGTAGTATAGTATTGGAATAATGTGTCATTTTTTCAATATTTTCTCATTTTAGAAATGCAACAATTTTTTTTATTAAAAGACATTTATTTTCATATGAGAACCTATCCCCTAAAGTGTTACCCACCTATCCAGAAGCTGGCAGAAAACTACACTAGCACAAAATTTGTTGTGCCCATTGCTGACCTCTGTCTTGCCTCCACCCTGTCTCCAATTACTCTAAGTCAGTTGACCTTTCTCCATGATAATAGGTGGCAAAGCTTAATAGATTCTATATACCTTGAAGCTGTCCTTAGATGGTATCAGAATAAAGGGGAAATTACTATTTTAACATTAGCACAGCTAAGGACAACTTAAGCTTGTTTCACTTATGGATTGTGGACAATGGACAAGGGCAAGCTGATTTTTAGCTATGATAGGTTTCTTTTATTGCTACATTTTATTGCACTGCATGCTAACTCACTGCTCACTCCAGGAGTTCAGTCCTGATGGGCTCAAGGTTGACTCAGCCTTCCATCCTTCTGAGGTGGGTAAAATGAGGACCCAGATTGTTGGGGGCAATATATGCTGACTCTATAAACCACTTAGAGAGGGCTGTAAAACACTATGGAGCGGTATGTAAGCCTAAGTGCTATTGTTATGGCTATAAATAACAGTAAGCACTAAGGTTTTCTTAATGTTCAAACAATAAAAACAAGCAGTAAAAAGCAATCCCTAGCTAGTCCTTTGAAAAAGGTAGAATCTCTTGCTATAGAATGTTACAGATGCAATAAAGATGAAAACATCAAATTGAGAACAGACGCCTTACCTCTGAAATAACCATAGTACTGGAGATGTTGATATATAAACTGTTCATATGGGTCTTTAAACTGCTGTGGAAACAATAAGATATCTGATCATTCTAAAAGCCAGCATGTATACTTGAAACTCATTTACCATAGTGTAGCAATGCTGAGACAAAAACAAAAATATCTGAATATGCTGTATTTTAAGTATGCTCTTTGAAAAACTTCTTGCTGGTCACACCCAAAATCCAAACTATGACTGTTCATCACATCTTATCTATATACTATTAATACTGTTGTGTCTGTTTGTTTGTAGCCTTCAGTTGGGCAAAATTGGGAAGTACAGAGCAACAATTATTGAACCAAGGTAACCGAAATGGGCTAATATATAGAATGCTGGGACCTATGACTCCTGTGGGAATTAAATTTGGGAAAGTTGTGGCCACTTCACACCAACGCGCCTTCAACTATATTTCCCAGAAATCTGTAGATTGTATGACACAAGGAAAGATGGGAAAAGCAAATTCCCAACCTCCTTCCTACCTCCCTCTAGTCCCTGAGGCCTGGGAGCAAGTCCTGATGGGCAAGTGGCCATTGGCTGCTTTGGAACCAAGACCAACATTTGAAATCTCCTAATGGCAATGACTGGTGATGAAAGGGAAGGAGCTACTGGGATGCTTGCTGGTGAGATATAGTTGGCTGGTGAGTGGTTGAGAGTGAGCCCTCTTCCTCTCTGAAAGGAGGTGCCATTGGTGATATGCCTGAATAGGGGAATGGAGATTTGCTGTTCCCTTTATTCCTCCTCCCCAATCAAAGTGATAGGCAGTCCTGTAGGTTTGAGGAAAGAAGGACAATCGAGCACTTGGAATGCCTGCTGGTGAGATAGGGCTGGTTGGGGGCTACTGGTAGTTGGCAAGGGGGACATACCAAAATGGGGAACGGGTGCAGTTTTCCTTGTGGTCTGCAACTCACTTGGTTCCCCCTTCCTCCAGCAAAGTGGCAGACAGTACTGTGAGCCAGCCAAGAAGAAGGTGGCAGTCACCTGAGGATCATAGGGGAAGGGAAAAAGTGCAAGCATGTGGAAAGAAGAGTGACTCAAAGGGTCACAGGTCACTCGTGTCTGTAACCTTTAACTGGGTGAAATAGTGCGTTGAACAATTTTTGAATCAAGATACCTCAAATGGGCTAATTTACAGAAAGTGTCCAAAATCTGGAAAAAAATAACCCAACTCTAGTGGAATTGAAATTTGGCAAATTTGATGAAATATTTTAATGACATAAAATTTTATAAAGCACTTTATGACTTATTACAATGTGCTATTAAACATTTCTATGCTCAACTCCTGGTGTTTGATTATGTTATGCAACATGGGCTACTTTCAAGGCAGATACATCTCTAAATATCTCACTGAGTTTTTAACAGTTTTTCAATACATTAGCTCTGTCATTGTTGACATCATTGAGGAATCTGTTGAAATATCAGTAAAATGATGATCCAATGGATTATAGGTTGTATAATTTCTCCAAAATATCTAAAAGATTGCCCCCTTTCCCAGAAACCCTAGTTTTTGCTTTACCACGGATCCAATCACTCTCAGAAATTTAAAAAAACGAGAGACTTTTAACCTAATTTCTTAAAATATATGAACTCAATTTTGTACTAACCTGAAACTCAGGTTGTGGGTCTAATGAACACATGTTGAATGCAGTGATGTTATCTGATGATGCCTAAAGAGAATAGAAGGGGAAGGGGAGATACCTGAAGGTTTACGACTTTTTCTTTTTTTGCTTAAAAGTAACGACTGGTTATTGTGCAAATTTCTCACAAATATTATCAAGCACAAGATGATGGTGGAGTTGTGAAAATGACAGGACTAAGCAAAGCACAAAGGATCAAAGAAAATAGGGGAAGGACAAGGAAGGGCAGCAGGAGGAGGAGAAACCAGAAAGAGGTTTTGTCTTAGACAGACTTTTAAAAACAATCCCTGCTGCCAAGATCAAGACACCGTCGCCTCCGTGACCACGGACTCTCACAACCACACACGCTTCCTTCCGGGGATCAAGGGCGTATGTGCGCCCTGCCTCCCATGACCCGCCAGCGGGAGCCGCTCCTGCACTAGCCTTAACGTACAACAGTCGCGCTCCTGTCTCAGGAGTGAGGAAGGAGTATTCCGCCGGTCCTTCGTGTAACCGACGCAAGGCTTTGCTCCATTCAGGGTGACGCAGGCCCGCCTCTCTCGGCCTTCGGGCATCTCCAACAGTGACACCCACCGCCTATCTCTCTTGTTCCCCTCATTCCCTCTGGAAGCGAACTTGGTATCCTAGCGACCAGTCACGCCAAGCTGCCCGGCGGAGGGAGGGAGAGGGCGGGCTAGCGGGAAGGTGGCTGTTCATTGGCCCGCCGAGGAGGGCTCGCGGCAACGACAAGCCTGCAGTGGCTTTTACAAAACTGAGGCGGTTTCAGTTTTCTTGGGCGCGCTGCTCTCCCGTAAGGGGGCGAAGTTGAGTTTCAGTGGTGCTTGCGTGTCTGTATTAAACGTTATTGATATCAGTCGGCACACTTTCAGACCGATAGGGATGTTAGGATGGGGTGCGTCTCAATCAGCCCAGCTGTTGTTTCCATGTTCCCTTTCAGACGGAATAGCGAGTTGAATGAATAAAAAAACTGGGCGGGGAAACGTCAAAATTAACATGGACTGGGACCCTGTAGTCGTGTTTCAGCCCAGGCTTTTTAGTTTGCTGCTGGTTTACACAGAATGAAAGCAAAAATGATACAGCAGGTTATATATATTTTCAGAGATGGAAATACTAGGAAAATTATAATTAAAAATACAAATAGAAATTCCTTAACGCTTTCCCCTAAATTTTCTTGTTTAACTACTTAATGTTTCTTCTTTTTTTGTGAAGTGTGAACAGTTAATACGTTGTCGTCATAAGGGGATTCATTATTCCTTGGAATTCCCAGAATGTCTACTTATATAAGAAAAGATTCTTTAATCTATTGTTGCAATTGTTTTATTAAAAAAGTGGCTCCTTTAATGCTTTCTAAGAAAAAAATGACATGACTTTTTCTTGTAATAATCTTATTTGGACATGATTGGATACAGCAGTAATATCTATATTATATTAAACATCCATTCAGCTAAGGATCTAGATTCAAGATCAAGATCCAAATATATAATCTCTTTTGAAGATTATGCAGTATGGTGGCTTGCAGGACAAAACAATTATTTTTAATGAAACCTTTTTACATATAAATTTTAAAATCCCATTATAAAAGTTAATGGTAACTAGCACATGGGAATTTGATGGCGTATTATTCTATCCTGCATTTAATTAACAGCAGTTAATTGGACAAGTATAAAATTATTATTAGGCTCATATGAAAATATTTTTCAAAATTAACAACTGCAGTTAAAGCTGTCTTTGGGGAATTACTAAGACGTGTTACAGTGTTTCTCAACCTTGACAATTTTAAGGCGTGTGGATTTCAACTCCCAGAATTCCACAGCCAGCATTGCTGGCTGTGGAATTCTGGGAGTTGAAGTCGACACGCCTTAAAATTGTCAAGGTTGAGAAACACAGTTAGAATATAACAATGTGCTATAGTGATTAAGGATTGGGATTGATCCAGGATCAGTTTTTGTCCTCAGCTATGGAACCTTTTGCTGCTGCTGTTTGTTGACTGCTAGTAACTGCCTGGACAAGTCTCGGCAGGTTTTCTTGGCAAGATTTTCAGGAGTGGTTTGCTATCACCTCCTTCCTAGTGCTGCAACAAGTCATCCAGCTGAGCTCATGCTTAAGGTAGAATTCATGCTCTCCCAGAAAGTAGCTCAGTGCCCTTAACTGCACCAAAATACTATAGCTTTTAATAAGAAGAGCTAGCCCAACTCAATCAGTTGATGTGTGCCAAAAGCAAGGCTAATACCCAGGTTTTCCTTCTCTTTGTTCAGCGTATGCTCTTCAAGTAATTGCAGGATTCAGAGCCAATCACGCTATGGTATTTGAGCTCCTGCGGAACTGTGAGATACAAATTTAACAAATAGGAATAGTAAAATATAACTAGAGAAAAGGAAAGAATAGATTATTTTAATGTTATTTAAATATCAACTTATTTTGAGTATTTCCCCTTAATTTCTGTTATGCTGTTTCATCATGGTGGGAGGTGAGAAATGGGTTTCTTGGGAAGGATGAGCAAAGAATGCCAGGAGTATATACCAAAAATGTGTAATCCCAGCAGGATCATGCAAAGCATGAAGGTCGTACCTGCTCAGCTAAAGCAAGCAAATGCTGCCTATATTGGGCAGCAGCAACACAAGATCCTGGAGGCAGACCACCACTTTAGTGACAAAAGCAAAAGCATAAATTCATATAGTGAAGAAGACAAGAGTAAACTGCTCCCATTATTTAACCAAGAAAAACTACATGGATAGAAAATATAAAATGATTGATGCTATAGTGCTAGAGCAGCGGTTCTCAACCTATGGGTCGCAACCCCATTTGGGGTCGAACGACCATTTTACGGGGGTCGCCAAACAACGCGATCCGCCATTTTTCCCCCTCAGGGGTGGCGCCGCGCACACGCGCCGCACATGGGGACAGCACCGCACACGCACGCCGCGCATGGGCGGCACTGTGTATGCACAACGCGCATGGGGCGCCGCGCATGGGGCGCCGCGCATGGGGCGGCACCACGCATGCACAACGCGCAGGGGGGCGCCGCCACGCATGGGGCGGCACCGCGCATGCACGCCGCATCCGTGTGACAGGGGTCGCCGTCACACAAAGGTTGAGAACCGCTGTGCTAGAGGATGGGCCCCTCAGGATGGATAGTAATCTATGTGCTACTAAAGAAGACTTGAGGATTCTTTTGCCTTTGGGGCTCTACTAGTAGCCAAGAAGTATGCCAAAGACTAGCACTTAACAACCATGAAGGCATTGAAAAAGATATTCAAATATCCTTATGTATCTTTACTTACAAAGATTATAGTAGTGCAAAACATGATATTCTATGGATGTGAAAGATTGTGAAGAAGCAGAATATTATAAAGAACATTGGCACTTTGAACTTTGGTATTGTAGAAGACTCTCAAGAATACCATTGACAGCCAAGAAAACAAACACATGGCTCATCAAACAAATCAATCCAGAATCCAAATCAACTTCACAGCCAACCAGAGATAACACCGACCCTCAACCAAGTCACACAAGCCAGTTCACCTCCCAACGAACCTGACCTGATGTATCCTCCCCATTACAAGATCATTACAAGATTCTAACACTGACTCACCTGACCTATCATAAGACCCTCAATTGACACACCCACACATGACACCCTTATAAAGAGAAGAACACTGACACTGACATCTACTAAACTCCGCTGAAGATGTTATCTAGCCTGGTAACAAAACGTTCGGAAACCAACCCAGACTTTCGGAGAACAAACCTTCACCCACAAATCAATCCAGAATTTTAACTAAGGCATAAATGACCCTGTTCAAATTATCTTACTTTGAATTCATTATGCAAAGACTTAGCTCTCTGGAGAACACTAGATAGTGGGGGAAATGAAAGAAAAAGAAGAGGACAATCAACAGGAAGGTGAATGGACTCAGTTACAGTGCCAATGAACGTATCATTGAAAGAACTACTGGGCCAGATTAGAAACAGATGCTCATGGGGAACAACCTTTCCATGGAGTGACTAAGCATCGATACTAATTTGATAGCACACAATCATAATACTATAAATCTTTTATACCTTTAAAATGAAATATAAAACTCCAATGATTATTTATCGTAATAATTCAGCAAGCTATTAAGATCTCTTTTTTCTTAGTGGTGAGGAACAGTCAATTAAGGGGTCAAACTATAATACCTCTGGAAAATTCTTCTGGATTCAATAATTTCACATTCATCCCGCCATATAATTTTAGAGACGCAGTCCATATGAAGTGCACATTTTATACATTTTTTCTGAATCCCAACAAACCACAAAAGTAAAAAGAACTGGCTCATGATTATTTTAAATTTCATAAATCAGGGAAGTTATTTGTTGCAACTTTTGATTAAAATACTTAGGTCTTCAATTGTGCTATTTCAGATCTGCAGATCAGTGAAAGATCTACCATTGATGCAGATGGATATACTATCCATTGTTGTCTTGAGGTACGCATATTTGCAGAAAGGTAATTTTGCAGAGTTTTCATATAAGATATATATTTGCTAGGTAACTCAAGCTAGCATGAAACAGTTCTGAAGTATAAAAAGAGATTTTATTAACGTGTATGTACAAATTTACATAGCCATAAACTGGAGAAATACAAATGGCATTCAACCATAAACCACCTTTTCTTTCATTTTACAGAAAATCATTATTACTTGATTTAAATTTTTAAAAAGCAAATGGAGAATTCAGACATTCATAGGTTGAATAAATATTCAGCCTGACTTTAAACACAGACTTTCTGCTGGAATTCAGTGACATGGGCTTAAGAATTAAATACTGAGAAATTAATTTTCCCCACTCTTCTAGCAGATATCTATCAACTGGCAGCCAATTAGATAGGGCTTAAACACAGATTAGCGTACAAATTCAAGTCTTTATGAGGGGGTGCTGTATTGGGACTGATCCAGGACTATGGAGGCCACTCAGCTATTGCCTGGCCAGCAACAGAACTGCAAGCCACCAGCTTTTTATACAAATGAGTCATTTGGCTCCTTCCTTCTGAATACCCACCAATAAAAACATGGGAGTCCCCTCCAATTCAAAAAGTGCTCAATATGGCAGCTACATACAATGTATTTTCCATCTTGTTTTAGCCACATCAGGGAAACTAGTAGGATGTTAGAGCAGCAAAAATAGAAAGGGAAGATTATTTTTAATACAATTAAGGGAATTGCCCAGGGCAGAAAAACAAGGTTTTTTTTGCCATACTCAAAGTTTTGACAAAACCAGGAATGAAACAAGGGATTCAAATCCTGAAATGTTTGATCTGAGAAGACTATACATTTTTCAAAAAATGCAAGTGGCAAATTACAGCTAGACACATTACAGTACTTGAAAAAGCAAATGTGGAGTAAGAAATGGAACCAGCCAAAGTGCATCAATTAGTTAGTTATGTGCTCCACCAGGGAACTGGACAGAATAGTGTGTCAGCTGTCTGAAATGGGAGCTGCTTAACATAGAAGTATCAAGCCTAACCATCATTTCACAGGCCTATTTGCCAAATATATCTCCAAACGATTCCCAAGTCCAACAACATTCTCTCTCAGGTAATTGAACTGAAATAAGTATCTTCAAAGTTACAACAGATCCAACAGTAAAAGGTTCTGAAC